CTTTGCTTCTAAAAATCAGGAAGTCTGTACCAGGAGCCTTTGCTGGTCTTGCTTGTATATAAAGCAGTGAATAGTGATCATCCTGTGTGAGAAATGTGGGGTCCAGTCTCTGAGAATCTGCAGCTCTTCTCTGACCTTATGGACAACTCAGAATACTGTGTACAAGTGTCATTTTTCTGATGCTTTCTACCTTAAAAACTTCCAAGGATCGATCAATTGATCTCCCTCCCTCCCTCCCTCCCTCTCTTTCTGTCCCCTCTCCCTCTCTCCTCTCCCTGTGTCCCTCTCCCCTTCTCCCTCTCCTCTCCCCTCCTCTTCTCCCTCTCTCCCTCTCCATCTTCCTCTCTCCTTCCCTCCACCTTTCTCCCCCTCCCTCCCTCTCTCCCCCTCCTTCCCTTTCTCCCCCTCTCTCTCCCCCTATCCCCTTTCTCTCTTTCATTACTGTCTATATCTCCTAATAGAATCTAGTTCACTGTCCTTCCGGAAAGTAACATAGTTTTTTGATAGAAGTTGCTTATCCCTAACTGCAGAGCTGTGAGTCCACAGATCACAAGTGCTGGATTGATAACAGTTGACATTAAGTGGGTGAAATATCAGTTTAAGAGTTGTTAAAGTTTTGGTAAAATAGATGCTTCTTATAGAAATGTAACATATAGAAGAATATTAAAGAAATTAAGGCATGGTCCTCAGAGCTGGAAATAGTACTTACTGGCAATGACTTTCAAAGGGATGTTTATTGACACAGACCTTTATATTGAATGATGCTAACTACTTATATATCCTGCCTTTTTAATTTTTTATCAATTAAAAAATTTCCAAAATATCATTTTAATGTTCATACTGTGCTACATGTTTGCCTCTTCTAGTTTTTCTTCTGTTGACAAACAACTTTTATATATAAATTTGTAAATGACTGGTTATTTCCTTAGGATTAATATATAGAAATTAAATTGCTGGGTTAAAAGAATGAAAATGGCTTTCTTGATAACTCCTCAGTAGTCATATTTTAATTATTTTGAACTTTAGTAGCGTGAGGAGGAAGACAGGCAGGCATACTGTGTCTTCTGGAGCAATTCCTGCTTCCCTAAGGATAACACTGACTCATGTGTATGTGCCCAGGGACCCAGAATGAGAAAGATTATCATACTTGTGACTGTTTGCACAGCAATCGCTAAAGAAAGCTCCTTAGATAATTGTTTAAACTAACTCAGGTATTATTGTATGTCAGCAGTCTAAGGATAATTTGTGACAGCATTCCAGGTAGACAAGTATAACAGCTCCTTAGATGGCAGACAAATTAATATTGATTATTACTGCTTTTTAGATTGATCTGTTCTCTGTTTACTAAGAACTATGTTCTGTATTCAATTTCACAGTACTAGCAAATGATGTATTTAAATTAGAGGTAATAGTATGATCAGGTTCAGATGAAGTATTCTTTGCAGTTTAATTTTAAAATGAGATTTTATTTTGTCATGTTTATGGATTTTTAAATTATTAGACAGATTTTGTTTTTGAAAAGAAATACTGTCTTAAAACTGTGCTCCTAATAATATATACTTGGCTGACTTCTATGTACAAAAATATGTTCCTTCCTGTGCATAAAAAAAAAAATGCCTGGTACAGCTACCATGGGTAGACAAAGTAGAAGCATGGTAGTGCCTTTTATTGTTCCTTCAGTTTCACTGATTCTAATTATAGAAGCTTACATCACCTTCGTTGATGATAACAGCTTTCCTCTCCCTCCTTGCTCTTTCTTCTTCAATCACTCCCTAAGGATATATCATATTTCATAGTACATATGGACTTCTCGTGGTTTTGACAGAGATTTTTGATAGCAGGCAGGCAGTGAACACATCAATGTGCTGAAGAATACTGTTTCTTATAAAAGAGTAGAAGGAAAGCTTTCATACTCTGACTTCCTTTGATACTTACTTCCTTAGGAATGATGAGGAGTAGATAGGACAAGCAGCTTGAAGGCAGAAATTACTAAAGGGCAACATAATTAGAGTTAACCATGTTTGATAACTACAGATTCATTCCTGGGCAGCATGGGAAGGAGGGGCGGGCGGGGGTGGGGGTGGGGGGAGGAGACAGCATGTGGCTGCTTTACAGAAGCTGGTGTGCTGTCACTGACCATTGCAATAGCATCATTGTTTTATTTTCCCAGTGTTCAACTACTTCCGTGGGATTTACTGAAAATCAGTGTGTTTAACAGTTTATTATGTAAAATGACAGTTTTACTTTTATTCTTCTCCTTTGGCATTTGGTATCTCTAAATAGTGTTTATACTGTTTAACTATGCAGATTGGGGGTGTGGATTGCATGCCTGAAATTAGTGCAAATCTGATTTTGTTTTTCATATTGCTTCATAGGTATGTTAGCTTTCGTTTGTTTATGATAATCTTTTCCCTGTTCTGTTTTAGTGTCATCACTAACCAAAATAAAAGGGTAGCATGTTTATAGTGTTAACTATGAGAATCTTATCTTCGGTTTTCTATGTAGCATAATTTCCAATATCCAGTTTATATTTTGTTCATAAATTACATATACAGATAGCAAATTTGAGTAACTAGATCATTCACATATTTATAAAAAAAAACTGTTTTGTAATTATTGGAAACTTTGCTTGATCTTACAGTAGTCAAATTCTCCTTTTAAAGCTAAAGATTGTGTCTGTATGACTTAGCATACTGGCATTTCATGTGCAGGGGAAGTGTGTTCTTCAGTGCATACACACACATAGCCTGTAGTGCTGCTTCTAAACTGTATGAATCAGGACTCCGTCCCTTGCTGCACTGACCTCACTTGATAATGAGGGGCAATCATGATAAATTCTTAAACTTGATGCTCATGAAAAATAATTGATTCACATATTTTTGTTATTTAACAAATTACTGACCTCGTTTCTGTAAGTAATTAAAAGGTTAGTTGTTGTACGTGAAGAGACGGTGGAGGAGAGTATCGTGACACTGCTTGTAGAGTTTTCGTGCTGAGCCTAGTTTGGCCTCTTGGTTTCTTCTCCTGGTATTGTTACCCCATGAGGTTTGCATGATAGGTTCACAATACTGGTTTCTGGAATAGCAAATACTGTGAGATAATTGGTGGAACAAGATGATGTCATCTTCACTTATAAGCCAGCCAAACTGGAGAGGGAGGAGGAGAGAGAGAATATTTTGATCCTTTATTGGGGTGGCTGTGTATCCAGTAGGTCTGACATATGGCATCAGTGGATTGCATTTCACTCCAAAGCAGCAGCTGAAAGATGACTGTCTCTTGCCCAGCTTGAGGCCCTCCTTTGTGTCAAAGGAGTCAGCACGACTTACGAAAGGAACAAGGAGCCACTGCAGACTTTGCTTTCGATTGGCTGTCATTATCCTACCAACACATGCATAAATATATAGTCTGGCATATAATTAAAATATTTATTGAGTCCTGTTACTAATTTTTGTGGTTAATAATTTTCCTTTAGGAAAGGTATCTTTAGCAAAAAATTTTATCTTTATCCACATTTTTCTATTTAAAAAGTGAATAATTTTCAATTGTACTTAAAATTGTATTTTTGAAATTTTAGATTACAGTTTATATTCATTAAATTGGAAAAATATTTTAGTTCTTAAAAATCAATCTGTCGAAATATTAAATGGTTTACCTTCAGGAAACTAGTGCTTATCTGAACTCACCAGAACAAATTTTACATTTGATTGTAAATTTTGTGGGAAAACGTTGGGTTTTTTGAAGAAAACATAATTCATAGGCTTTTAAACAATCGTAGTTTGCAAACATGGCAATATGCTCAAAATAATAGCATTACTGTGTTAAATTTTAGTGTTTCAGAGGCAGCACATTTCAGATTGGGAGCATAATGTTGTTTGGAAATTAAGAGACTTCACCCGAGGGAATTGAAAAACTGTGTGTGTGTGTGTGTGTGTGTGTGTGTGTGTGTGTGTGTGTGTGTGTGTGTAAAAGATGTATAAAGAGAAGGATAGTTGTATTACTTTTCTCACTGACTGCTAGTCTCACAGTTTTGCTGCCTGGAGGTTTACGTGACTGTACTTTGGAAATGGACCGTAGCCATTGGGAAGCACCATTAGGAGATGAAGTGCTAGGTGGGTGTATATGCAGTAGGTGCCAGTGTAGCAGAAGCAGAAAGGAAAGGGTGGATGCTCGGGGTGACGTGCTTTTCTTATTGGAGAGGGTGTGGCCAAATTTTTTCTTTTAAGTTTTAAGGGAAAAATATGATAGCTTCCTTTTAGTCCATACTCTTATCAGAAACAGGTTTAATTGTTTCCTTTTCTGATCATTTTGTGTTTTGCCAGCTGTCTCTTTCTAGGAACTGCACACTGGGCTGCAGTGAAGTACCGTATTGTATAGATTATTCTTCGTCAAAGGAATTGGTACATATTGTGCCTGTATGGTTTATGCCCCCCTTGCAGAAGGATTGCTTTTATTGAAATGTGTTTATTTAAATCTTAGTACATGTTTTTATTTTTAATGCAAATTTAGTGTGGACTTGAAGGTTAAACATGCAGAACATTCATTCAATAAATAGCAACTTTTATGCAGAAACGCATGAATTTGTGGTATTAAAATCACTTTGATGTAACATCTCTGAACCAGACTGCCCATGTATTTGGAATTCGGTGTATCTTACTACAGCAAATTATTTTCTCTTGGGAGAACAATTCTGTGTTAAATTTAAATAATATTAGGAAAGAGGCTTCTCAAATACAACTTCAATAATGTACAGAATTTTTAAATGAATTTTTGAAACTATAAAACAGAAGGGTATGTTAGCCAGGTTTTTTTTTCCTTGCAGAATTTAGCATGCCAGCGTGTCTCACAGAAGGTCGTGTGTGTGTGTGTGTGTGTGTGTGTGTGTGTGTGTGTGTGTGTGTGTGTGGTGCGGTGCAGTAAATTGCTCTTGGGCTACATCTGCAGATACAGTAGCCAATTGATCTAATGCAGTTTGTGAAGGCTTTCTGCACAGGTGATGTCATCCTTTTAGCTCTATTCTCCTCCCACTCTCTTTCCTTCTTATTAGATATTTCATCTTACTGCAGGGCATAGAATCAATAGGAGCTTCTCCTTAGGGAGCTGCCGTGAAGCCAGCAAGGACAGTAGGAATTAAGACAGTAACAGACTCTTGCTTTCACAAAAGATCTAGTGGTTTTTGTGCTGCGTCGTATACACATGTTATCCAGAAAGAGCAGACTTAGATCACCAGTGCTTCCTTACTGATGCCTTGGAACCAGGAGCCGTATTGCAGAGCTGTGAAAGTGCTTGGGAGAAGAGAAGGTTGCTTGAATTCTGGATATTCTCAGACAGTCTACAGGACAAACCTGTTAGAATATTTGTCTTTGCCTCCATTTGCTCTGTGGTTGGGTTGGTGGTGGTGTGAGGGGGAGGCGTGTTGGTTTTTTTGTGTTTTGTTTTGTTTTTTAACCTCTAACATTTGATAATCTAAAGAAGAGACTATAATCTTCAGGATACAGCATTTGCTTTGCCTCTGATGCAGAAGACTCTGTGGTGCTTGCTCTTCAGAATGAAATAAGTTGAAGAAAAAACAGCCACATTACAGAGAAGACAGGTTTCACGGATTCCAGGAGCACAGATTCCATGCATATTGCCTATTTGCTTTGACTGATAAATACAGTATTAGCTTCTGTGCTGCCAATGTGTACGTCTGTGTCAGATGCCTGAGGACACATGTAACTGTGTGCTGAGCCAGAAATCTAAACATCTTATTTGATGTTACTTGCTTGTAAACTGACATTTAAGGAGAATTCTTACACTTAGAACAATACTCTGCTTCTGAAAGCTTCTGATTTTTGTAAAGAGGGTTGGAGGAACTGCCTTTATATAACAATGATGGTATATGGATTGTAAAAAGAAACTTAGCAGAATTTTGTCAACATACACATCAGTGTGGCTCTGGTTTAAAAGAGAAATTACCCCCTCCAGCCACAGAAATGGCTTTTCTTGTTCGCTGTTACGCCAATTGTCTTCAGCCATGGGCCTCCAAAGTAAGTAAATATTTTTTTATTGATATAATTTAATCGTTAAATTTAAATTGCATTTGAATTCTAAATGAGTTCTATTGTGCTATTTTCTAAACTATAAAAATAAGAACTGTAAATTAAGTCTATAAAGCCTTGATTCCTTGTTATTTAATTCAGAGAAAGTGTAATACAGCCTCTGAGATGGATTGAAAAGACTCATTTTAATAGTTTGCAGACTTAAAATGTACGCCTGAGATACATACCTCAGACAGAATCGTCTCTTGGCTGTGATTGTTTCTGAAATAACTTGTGGCCATACTTGATGCATTCTTTTGTTTTTCCTTTACCTTAAATAGCTGATGTGTTTAGACATACTGTTCTAATCCTGGGCTTATATAATGTAGCTCGGTTAATGTGATGCTACCTGATAACTTAGAAATGAATTGTTCTATTTTATTAAACTGGGGGTTCATTCCTAAAGAGTAACATAAAGAAAAATGTGAATGAAAATTATGAAAAAAAACAGTCAGTGTTCCAAAGTATTTTCAAAGGAGTAATAGCTAAAACCACTTGTCATTATAAGGCAAACATACTACCTGTCAAAATAACAAAATGCTAAGTTGCTGAAACTATTTGTTACAATTCAGTTTTATTGTAGGTAGTGGCTATTTACAGTGTTTGGACCTATCTTTCTTACCTTGTGTATAAATTTCAAAACAAAAGACCAAATAATTTAGAAAATGCTTAAATGGTACTTTAAATATGACAAGATTTCTTTATGGTTCTCTTAGACTGGCACACTGTAGGCTTTTCATAGGAAGGTCTGAAATCATGTCTTTGTTTCAGAGGTTTGCTATGATGGTGACTAAGGGGGAATAGTTTTGACAGCACTGTGTTGTACTGTTTATTTGGCCTAGCTCATTGCAGATTTTCCTGAATGCTCTTGTGGGAGGACATTTGAATGTACTGTCCATTTAGCAAACAGCTGGCTGTGGCATAAAGAGATGGAAAGGAGCCTAGGTACACAATTTAAGCTTTTATCTGCACATACAAAGAGGGTGGCTGCATCAGTGCAGACGCCACCTGTGGGGCCCAAGCACTGCTGACAGTAATATTGGCACTACTAAAATTTAAAACTGCGTGTGGAAGGGAATTGAGTGAAACCAGATAAAACTGAACAAAATTAAGAATGGCGTATAGGAGTTGTTTTTGAAGGAGACACACACACACACACACACACACACACACACACACACACACACACACACACACACAAGAAACAAACCTTGAAGAGGAGTACTAGTAGCCACTCTTAAACCATGGTTTAGCAAGTGTAGAAGAGTGAAGGGCTTTTTAGAGATCCGCTTCCACATTTCATTAAGTGACAGCAAATCCATGAGGAGAATTCTGTGATGGGTGCTTTCCTGTATAAATTATTTTTAAGTATACATGTCTCCTTCATCTCTTATGTTACTATTAAGATTTAACTCTTCACTTAAACACATTAGGCTAGTTATTAATTTTCATACTCTTTTTATTTGATTTTCTGATTTGTTTTATTCCTTTTACTTTTATTTAATGATTCTTTTTTTATCATTTAGTTGTATATAAAATAACCTTGTTGTCTTTTCTTTTTAGCTTTTGAAGAAGTTAATACATGGCTTTCTGGTATCTACTGTTGCTATGAGAAGTTTGAACTTTGTTTGTTTGTAGTTAGTTGTGTATTTGTTTAGATTTTTTGTTTGTTTGTTTGTTTTCCGAGACAGTGTTTCTGTGTGTAGCTTTGGTGCCTGTCCTGGATCTCGCTCTGTAGGTCAGGCTGGCCTCGAACTCACAGAGATCCGCCTGGCCCTGCCTCCCAAGTGCTGGGATTAAAGACGTGCGCCACCACCACCCGGCTAGATTTTTTTTATCCATGAAATTTTACCAAGCATCAGAATGTTTTGTTTTTATTTCTTGGTGCTTTGAGGACTCTTTCAAGCCACAGAGTCTTGTTTGTCTTTATTTGTAAAAAAACAAACAACAAGAACAACAACAAAAAGCACAGTTGTTTTTTGTTTGTTTGTTTGTTTTATCTCACTCCATAGCCCTGCCTGGTCTTGAGCTAGCTTTGTAGACCAAAGGGAGCTGCCCACCTCTGCCTCCCTCCCGAGTGCTGAGATTAAAGGTGTGCACCACTATACCTCCTGGAAATTGTTCTTATCAGAATTGCAGCTCCTTCATTTTCTCTCATCCTTTTCTGCCAGTAATGTCTATAAACATTTATTTCAGCTTGATTTTTCTAACTTACAAACTCATTGATTGTTTGTAACCAGTGCTAGATCATGTCTTAAATTTTTAGTTTGAACCACTTGTGTTTTTTGTTTCTGATGCCTCATAAATGATACCTTTTCATAATTACCTGTTTTAGTGATGGTTTTTATTTTATAGGCGTGATTTTTTTTTTTCCTCTCCCTGTATAGTCTTGTCTTTGGTTCATTGGTTTCCAGGGATTGGCTTTACTCAGGAGATTGTTAGTTGGTTGCTCCTTTCATGATTGGATGGGCTTGCTTGATTGAGGTGGCCTCTCGCTGTGGTGGGGAAACCATTGTGCTCTGGCTTCTGTTTTCCTTCTTTTAGCTGTTGTACAGCTGGGAGCCAATGAAAAAATTCATAAACAGCTCAGCTAACTTAGGCATGCCTTGCCTTTACGTTACTTCACTTCTCTACAGTACACACACACACACACACACACACACACACACACACACACACACACGTGACCATGACAGAGTGGACAGCATAATCTCTAACATCGGGTAGCACTTACCATGTATTTCCCTTGCTTGTTCTCAACCTTAAGCATATTTATACTGATTTCCTCTTTCTTTCTACAGATCTTTTTTACTTTTAATAAACATTAACCAGCAAAGATTGATTAAAATCTCCATGGTTTAAAAAATACTTAAATGAGAAAGGATGTGTCTTCAAATGGAAAAGCACTAATTTTAGTAAAATGGTTTAACAGCACCACTCCTTCAAATTTCACTTTTTAAAAAATGAGTAGAAATCAAGTTTTATGTGCCTCAGAACCGGTGCTACGATCTCTACCATCTACACCAAAGGCCACTAAGATACTAGGGTCAGGCTTCTGTGGAAGGATGCTTTTTAGATCTTAGAATCTTTTCTTCTCTCTTTCTGTTTTTTTTGTTGTTGTTGTTGTTTTGTTTTGTTTTGTTTTGTTTTTCAGGACAGGGTTTCTCGGGTAGCCTTGGCTGTCGTGGAACTCAACTCTGTAGACCAGGCTGGCCTCAAACTCACAGAGATCTGCCTGCCTCTGCCTGGGATTAAAGGTGTGCACCACCACCACCACCACCGGGCTCTTAGAATCTATTTTTAGTGCTCGCGCTCTCGCTCGCTCTCTATCTCTCTCTCTCTCTCTCTCTCTCTCTCTCTCTCTCTCTCTCTCTCTCTCTCTCTCTGTCTCATTGGCATCTGACAGTTTCTGTGTGTGTGACTCTCGTCGTACTGAGGGGTCCTTGTAATTTTTGGTGGCTTAATTTTAGTAATTATAATTATTTGTGACCACCTCCACCTTTTAGGCCTTGTATTGGGCTTATCTCTGTGACTTTCTTTTCATCTTGAATGTTTCTAGAGTAATTTTTACGAACCAAATCACTTGCACTTTCCTCCTTAAAACTCTTTGAGAGTTCCCTATAAAACAGGAGTTGTAAGCACTCTGGAATGCTGTCTGGGGCTTGGGGCATGATTTAGTGGGAGGGGGCTGTGGCTAGCATGCATAAACCTGGGATTCCATCTCCAGCGCTGCCAAGAAAAACAGGAGGAGGAGGAGGAGGAGGAGGAGGAGGAGGAGGAGGAGGAGGAGGAGGAGGATCTTACTGTCATTCTCGGTATGAGCTGTGCTGCTCTGGTACAGTTTCTGATGCATCATCAAGTCTCTGGACTCAATGCCATTTAACAGAAATATGGTGTGCAAATTAAGTTATATTAATTTTAATCGTTATATATAAAATACATAAACTATATGTTATGTTATCTATCCAAAATATTGTTTCATCATGTAATAATGTAATAATTAGTAATGAAATATTTTACCTTTTGTGCCATGTATTATAAATTCAATGTTATTAGAACACATCATAGTCTGGCCTAACCATACTTCTCATGTGTAACCAGATTTACTATTTTGCATAATACATTTCTAGGTCTTTGTTATTAATTTTTAATGTTTAGTCTTGATTTTCCTAATGATTGGCCTCAAACATCACTCACTAAATAATTTTCTTATTATAACATTTTAATAATTTCTTAATCTACTACACCCCAAGACTTTCCTTGAGTGGTTTTTTTTGTTTGTTTGTTTTGGTTTGGTTTGTTTTGGTTTTTCAAGACGGGGTTTCTCTGTGTAGCTTTGGCGCCTTTCCTAGAACTCACTCCGTAGCCCAGGCTGGCCTCGAACTCACAGAGTTCCGCCTGGCTCTGCCTCCCAAGTGCTGGGATTAAAGGCGTGTGCTGCCACCACCCGGCTTTCCTTGAGTTTTGATTATGGCTAGCATTGGATATTTAGTAGAATCTTTTAGCTGTAAATGGAACGTTAGCAAAGCATAATAGCAATGTATATGTACATTAATTAGCATCAAGCTCAAATACGTTCCTGAAAGCAGTGCATGGGAACTTACCAACTTTGGTACATAAACAAGAATCATTTTTTCCCCCATGGTCAAGCAAGTGGCTTCTGGCAAAGTGTTTCTATAATCCAGTAGTTGAAATCTTGAAAAGGGATCTTTAACAATGCAGTTTGGACTTAAAATTGATTTTTAAAGAACTGCTGTCCTTTAAGGGGTACACAAAATTTAAACCTTTTTAGAGCTAATACTGTTTCATACTTCGGCACCTTTTGAATGTCTTTGTCAAATCAAATAGTGCTTGGGTGTAGGTTGTAAGAAATCAGATATTTCAGATAGCAAACTTTTTAGATATTTCTTTGTTAAAAATGCTTGATTGTGGCAGGTTATTCTTAAAGTAGGACATAGAACTGTCAAGCAATATTGCTGCCTGTGTTTGTGCTGGTTCAAATTGTGCCCTTCCCTATCTGCTGAGTTGCAAGTGTTCTTCATGGCTATGTCTTGACTAGCACTAGTTGCCCTATAAAAGTATTTCAGACATGGAATTGTTGACCATGTGAGATTATCCAAAAGCAGTATTTCTTAACACTGGTAAGATGCCAATAAGAGTATTCGGGAAAATAAATTTGAAGAACAGTATGTGTAAAATAGATTTCTGTATTGAAGGACTGCTTATGGTATAAAGAGCTGAGGGACATAAAGAGTATCGTTTTCCAGTTTGTTCAACCATAGAACTCTTATTTAATTTTCAGTATTCCTGAATCATATCTCTTAGAATACAGCTTTGGAGAATCTGTGCTTGTGGAATACAGACTCTGCCTATGCTGAAGTATCAGTGTTTAGAAACCTGAGCAGCAGTGTCACTGTTGAGAAGCCCAAGGCAGTCGTTCAGTCACTCTACGGGTGTTTAATGAACAGGTGCTGTATGCAGGGTAGACACCACTACACCAAGCTTTTATTTGATTGGGAAAGGGGGAATAATGTAAAATACCAAGAGCCAAAAGTTCTACATTCAAAAGAATGGAGTAAAATACAAACATTTTATTTCCTATAAACTTCTCAGCAGCTTATACTAGCTTCATCTAGTTATCTTGTTTGACTGCTTTGATAGAGAAAAATATGAATTTGTTTTTCTGGTTGCTGGCAAGATGAACAGTCTGTCCTAATCATTTCTTCTGCTGTCTTAACCTAAGTGATATGTTTAGATAGATAGTAGAGCCAAAAGACAAAGGAATCTGGATATCTGAGCCTTTGCATAGTTTCCTTCAAAGAGTTCTCTGCACCTCTGGAGATCTTAAGTCTTCAAAATGTATTCAATCAGCAACTGGCTTTATACTTCTGTAATGTTTGTATTCAAGACATTTTCCCCATGGGAAACTTGGACAGTAGTCTTCATAAACACATGATCTTCAGCAAACCACACAAGTCCACAGATACAAAATACACAGAGTCTGACAGAACATTTTGCTGAGCTTAATGGGTTAGAACGATGATGGGATAAATAAATTGTGTTGTCTGGTGAAAGGTCAGCTATTAAATTAGACTTGATCATGAAGAAAAGGAATAAAAGTATTCCATTTTGGTTCTTACATAGTAAATAGAAACTTCCAGCTTAATGTCATGAAACATCTACCTCATTTGGTCTCATGCTCAGATCTGGAAATCTGTGTAAAGGCATATAGATGCATTTCCTACCGTTCACAAATGAACCACCTAAGGAGCATGCAAGTGTTAACTACAGCCACTGGCTTTTCATCATAACTGTTCTCTTAGAGAGGTTCAGGAAATTCCTATGTAAAGTCTAACATCACCCCAACTGTCTCCATCTTTGTGTTACCACTTGTGATCCTAGCATAAAATACATCCTAGTGGGATGCTAAAATCAAATAGACCCACGTATGAATCCTTGTTCCACTACTTGAGACTAAGCACATTGCTCAGATATACTGCCTCAGTTTGTCATCAGTCAAGTAGGAAGAATTAAAATTTTCTGCTTTTCAAGGACTGGTGGGGGTTAAGATTTCTCAGTACACTATAAGTATTTCCAGGCCCAGTCTATAGCCTTGTTTGATTACAGTACTGTCATAAGTGACACCTCCTTGCTCTACCTGTCTTTGTAGGAATCTTGTGTGTATGGTATGTAGTGGATGGGTGCAGGGTGTGTGGTTCCACATAGAATTTAGATAGTTAGATCATACAGTATTTGTCCTTTCTGTTTCTGGTTGGTTTTTCCTTGCACATTTTGATACTGTGTTCTGTGTGATTTTTCTTTATCTCAGTAATGGCATTTTTATGACTTTCTTAACCCATCAGCAGTAGTTCATGGTATAATTGGTCTGTGCAATTTCTGTAGTCTGTATTCTTAAGATAGGGGAACTCAGACTTGGTCATTTTCTCCTTTAAAATAGGTGTAAATACAATGAACGTGCTCAACAAGGAAACTTTTAGGTTTAATGGTTGTGAGTAACAAATTGAAGAGAAATTATATGGAAGGGTGGTGAATGATCTTATCTCTTACTTAAAACATTGAATGCTTTGGAGCATAGTGAATCATTTCTTGTCTTAACTTCCGTAGCATTACTTATGAGATAACCTATTTTATTTCTTGGTATGAAATATATTGTAGAGTCTGCATCCTTGATAACAGTAGTCATACATTAAAGATCAAATGGTAGAGTCATTTCCTATTTATTTTTATTTTTTAATTACATTTTGTTCATTTGTGTGTGCACATGGACATGCCATGACAAGCATGTGAGGATGAGAGGAAAATTTGTGGGTATTGGTTCTCTCTACTCTGTATGAATCAAGGGAACCATCTCAGGCTATCATGCTTGAAGAGACAAGCATCTTTACCCACTGAACCATCTTGCCGGCCCCATGTCCTTCCAGTTTTTATTGTATCTCTGCACTTAACCCAGACATTCATTGAATAATTTTGACCACCAAAAAATTTTTCAGGTGCCAACTACATCATAATACAATGTTAAGAACAAAGGTTATGAAAAAATTTAAATCTTATCTGTAGTCATTTTGTAAATCTTAAGTCTTCCTGCCTGCAGATGTTCTTCTGTAATCTCAAACATTATTATTAATTCTATTCAAGCATGCTACCAGTGTGTCTGTATGTGTGTTGTGTGTGTTTTCTACTCTTGACATTGAAAGCTGTTTGGTTTCAGTTTTTAAACTTTGTTTCTATTTTATCTGTTTGGATGTTTTGCCATATATGTGTAGTGCTCATAAAGGCCAGAAGAGGATTTCGAATCTCCTGGTACTGGAGTTACAGCCTGTTGTGAATTGCCATGTGGGTGCTGGGAATCAAACGCAAGTCCACTGGAAGACCTTTTAACCACTGAGCTGTTTCCAGCCTGCAGCTGATACTCTTGTTAGGGTGAACAAAGAAGTTGACTCTCTCCTAAATTATAGTTAGTATTGGTAGTCTCTTTGAAAAATTGTTCAGTGGGCTTATCTCTATTAAAATTGTCTATCAGTTTAAGAAAGTGTGTTTGGGTCTTACTATTTCCAAAAAACTTTACTAAGAAAGAAGGATTTCTATCCTTGAGTTCTGAACAGTGTACATAAAACTGTGCTGTAAAGTTCCATTATGTCAAGAACTCTCTAATAGGTAAAGCTTGGCATTCAAAATAACTCAAGTTCCTTTTTTCTTCAGCTTCCAGCTGATCTTACCAAGATGCACCTCACAGACAACCCTCATCCACAGGTGACTCATGTGTCTTCTAGTCAGTCTGGCTGTAGCATTGCCAGTGACTCTGGGAGCAGCAGTTTATCCGATATCTACCAGGTAATACCTTAGGCTGGGTGCTATGCATACAGACTTTTTTAATTCTGCAAAATACCTTCTGCTTATCCTCTAGATCAGTTGTTCTCAACATGTGGGTTGTGGCCCATTTGGGGGTTCAAATGACCCTTTCACAGGGTCGCCTAAGACCTTCGGAAAACACAGATATTTGCATTACGATTCATAACAGTTACAAAATGACAGTTATGAAGTAGCAATGAAAATAATTTTATGGTTGGGTGTTATGTTACCACAACATGAGGGCCTGTATTAAAGCATAAGGAAGGTTGAGAACCACTGAGCTAGATGATCATCTATCTATCTTTTAATTCAAGTGTGAAATTCAAGTATAAGGTTTCATCAAAGTATGCTTTATATTCTGTCTCAGATTCATCAGCCTGATTAAAGAAGCAATCTGTCATTTGAGAGGATTAGTATAATCCAACAGTAATGACTATGGGATTTTTCTTTTCTTTTATCCAGTTGAATCCATATGATACAGAATGCATAAGATATAGAAGGGAAAAGTCTGTGTGTTTTTGTGAAACAGAATATTGCCCTGTAACCCAGGCTGGCCTGAAAATTTTAGTCTTCCTGCTTCTGGCTCCTGAGAGTTGAGATTTCAGGCATCATGCCTGGGTTTAAAGAAGATTTTTGAAACAACAGTTTACACCTGTGGAAGGCCTGATTTTTATAATTGTAGAAGTAAAATTTATGAAGAAAAGTAAGAATTGGTTTTGCACCATCAAACTTCTATCCTGTGTAACATTAATTAAATAGAAAGTTAAATAGGGGATGTAATTATGGACTTCTCCATTTTTAAAACTGAACAGAAGTTGGGCGGTGATGGCACACGCCTTTAACCCCAGTACTTGGGAGGCAGAGGCAGGAGGATCTCTGTAAGTTCCAGGCCAGCCTGGGCTCCAGAGTGAGTTCCAGGGCTGTTACACAGAGAAACCCTGTCTCAAAAAACAAACAAACAAAAAAACAAAAAACTGAATAGAAAAAATTCCAAGCTAAATGAGATTTCTTGTCTTTCTTTTATCCAGTGACCCTTGTAATAAAAAGAGGGTTCTGGAAAGGATTACAGACTGAGAGAATCCTTGAACAATCCTACTGGATTAAATCCAAATTGGGTTTGGGCCAGTGCTGATTTGTTAAGTCCTCATGGTGGGCTGTGATTCTGTCTTTAGTGTCAAATGTCTAGGGCAGATTCCTAGGTGTAACGCCTTATAGCCTGAAGCCTAGTGGGAGTAAATAACCAGAGATTTGGTGTTGATGGTTGGGTTAATCAATAATTCAGATCTATTTTGTATTTCTGGGCTGACAAGTAGACATTTAATGTGAGCTACATATTTAATTTAAAATTTCAGTACTCATCTAAAAGGAAACGTAAAATTAACTTTGGTGATATATTTTATTTAACATAATATTTCTAAATGTCATTTTGACATTTAAGCAGTATTTTAATATTGTAAATGAGTTTCTTTGCAGTTTTTTTTTTCATGCTTAGTTTAGATTTAAACAGCCCATCTCAGTTCTGACTGGTCAAACTTCAGTGCCCCAATAGCCATATAGATAGATAGAGAGATAGATATAGATATAGATATATAGATAGTGGCTACCATGCAGTAAAAAGCAAAATTATAGTCATTTTTTTCTGAAGAAAATATTTACATTAAATTTCTACTTAGTTTCTCAGATTCCAGTATTTTAAGAAAATAGCTTTTTTCTATGAAGGGGAGCTTGTAGGCAGATGGAAAATTGAAAAAAAGCTTGCAATTTTAGGTCAATATACAGCTTTCTTGACGAAAAGATACTAGGACCATCTCTGACTTCCTGTTTGCCTTTTTATAATATTTATAAACTAGAAATTTACTCTTTCTATTTTATAAAAATACTGTAAGGAATCTTAACAAATAAAATCAAAATAATACATAACTCTTAGCTACTCCATTTCTTTAGTAATTGTTGGGTTAATCCATTCTACTTCTCGAAAGGAAGTGCATTGTAGAAGGACTGGAGGTGTTGCTGCATCTAGGAATCAAGTTAGAGTTGTGGTTTTTTTCTGCTTCTGTGTTGTTTCATAAAGGAATCCTGAGGAAGATTGACTCTAAAACAACCAAATGGAGTGGTGTGGCTGTAGATTTCTCTCAAAATAATTGGTTATGTATGCCTTGCTAAGAGAGACAGTAAGCAAGATGTGGCACTGACAAATTATAGGTACCTGATCCTGCTGGGGGATTCCATTTCTAAGAGAGAAATGATTGCCTTTTTGAGGCAAGAAGCAAAGCCCTGAATAGTTGTAACAGAAAGAACGAAAGTGAACATATTTTTAATTCAAGTCAGTGCTTTGCTGTGTACTGGAGAATGGACTGTGTGTGCAGCTGGTATTTCTCCAAAGATGCTAGAAGAGGGTCTAAGATACTGCACTGATGGTAGCTTCTTCAGGTTACCTACCTACTAGTGATAGTTGGAAGTCTTGTATTGCAGGATGATGTCACTGTATGTGGCTGCCTTGCTTGCACCCTTCTATGCATCTTCCTTCATCAATAACAGTCTGCAGTTTGAATTACCTTTTTGCTATTTTCTTTACAATTAGAGAGAATATAGGTAAATGTCTTGCCTGTTATCCTTCATGTTACAGAGTATTGAAGAACATACTTCATAATCCAGAAATTCGAACGTTAATTTTTATTCTTCCTTAGTTACTGAGTTCAGTACCATGTCATCAATTCTGTTTCCTATATCATTATTCATGTGTGCATATGTTTCATGGTCATTAATGCATTATTTACATGTAACAAAATTTACCTTCTTTATGGGAAGGTAAATATGGGAAATTGGCATCGGGTCTGAAAGCATTTTAGACTTGTTTGTAGTCAGTTCCTCTTCTGATCTCTATCCCTGTGAAAAAACAATCTGTTCTACACTTATTGTTTTACATTTTCAAAATGTTATGTTAAATAGAATCTATACAACTAAAAAAGGGAGTGTGCATTTATGAATTACCCAATAAGACAGAGAGGTTAAGTTTTAGTGAATTGAGAGAGTGAACAATAAAAAGATAACAGACATTGAAAATTCCGGAAACAAAACAGGACTCAAAAATGTAAAGAAGAAAATTGTGGTAGTATTAAACCCAAAATGCTGAAGTGTAAGATAAGACCTTTTTTTTTTTTTCTTTTTTCTTTTTTCGAGACAGGGTTTCTCTGTGTAGCTTTGCGCCTTTCCTGGAACTCGCTTTGGAGACCAGGCTGGCCTCGAACTCAGAAAGATCCGCCTGCCTCTGCCTCCCGAGTGCTGGGATTAAAGGCATGTGCCACCACTGCCCGGCTAAGATTTTTTAAGAGTGGCCAGCCAGTTAAGGTAGAAATTCTCAGATCCTTACTTACAGCTAACTTTTAATTAAGGCAATTTCCTAGAACTAGAAACATCTTGACAAAAGCAACTTAGGGGAAATGGTATGTTTGCTTACAAGTCCAGGTTTACAGTCCATCATTGTAGGAAAGCAACTAGTCACATTTCATGTATAGCCAGGAGCAAAGAACACTGACTTAATGGCTGCATGCTTGTGCTCAGCTTCCTTTCTCTACTCTTACACAGTCAGAATCCCCTGGTCAGGTCTTCTCACCCCAGCAGAATCACAGACGTGCCCACAGGCCAAACTGATCTAGACAGTCCCTCACTGAAATCCTTCCCAGGTGATTCTAGATTGTGTGAAGCTGATAGTTAAACTGTCTATCACACACCATAAAATAAAGCAAAACAAGCCAACAAGATAAAAGTAGACATGAATTCTTATATTTTATGTCTTGAATAAACTTGAATGATAATTTGTAAATGTGTGGTAAATAATTAAAGGAATATATAGTAAAAGAAAAAAGAAACTAGAACAGAATTAAAATAGAATGATAAAGTAGACCTCAAAAAATATAAAATTTCTAGAACTGCAATTTTAATAAGAAACCATGTATAGGATAAGAAATATTTAGAAAAATTGTGTGTACCTGCATGTGTGCGTGTGTGTGTTTCCAATAGAGCCTAGGGAATAAAACAGGTAAGAAAGGTTAAATGTTAGTACTGGACCAAAGGCTGTCTTTCAAGGAGTACTTGTTAAATCTATGAATATACCAAAGCTGAATGTTCCCTGAAAAGGGTTAAATGAAACCCTGGACCTGATAATGCTGAAAGGAAAAGCATTGAAAGTATGAGGTTCTGGCTTAATACTTAAACCTCAGCTTAAAAATGTGGTTTTCATAAGTTTGTATAACATTTTTATTATGATCTATAGCACCTCTTACTATAGCTTCATGGTTATCTGGCTGCAAACAGGAAAAGGATATTCTCTGGTGATTTATTTGGTGACTGCTAGCTCATCACAAAAATCAGCTCATACTCACCAAATGATAAGTACAAAGAGTTTAACACTTGACCTACTAGACCCTGCTGTGTCTTCCCTGTGCTTAATCCGTTTAGAGGGTCTGCCTCCTAGGGCTCAGTTTGCTAACTATCCTACAAAAATGATTCCACAGTCTTCTTCCATCTCTTGATATTATCATTCTAGTCCCCATGATTCTGTTTATTTTTGTTGCCCATTGCCAATCTTTTCTGTTTGAATCTTCATATTTACTCTTTTTACAGTGCCACCCTCCCATCCCACCCCACCCCTCTCTATACCCTGGGCTGGTCTATAGAACTCATGGATTCAGTTTTTCATATGTTAGGATTGTGAGCCTGAGCCACCATATCCAGTTAAATTTATTCATCTATTCATTTTATAGTGTATGCTTCCTTAACAAGAGTCCTTATTTTTGCTTTACAAGTGCTTGGTAGTCACAGAATAGGATTTCTTCTTTGTGAAGCAGTATAGTCTATTCAAGCTGGTATAATAAAATGTCATTCACTGGGTAGCTTACAAACAGTAGAAATTCTCTTTTCGTAGTTTTGGAAGCTGAAGTTCCAGATTAAGGTACTGACAGACTTGGTATACTGCAAAAGACCTCTTTCTGGTCCATAGATGACACTATCTAGCTATTTGTTCATGTGGAGGAAAGGTTGGATGAACTCCCTCTGGTCTTTCATTAGGGTACTACCCATTCATGAGGGTTCTAATAACTTTATGAGTTTATGGCAGCCCAAAGACCCCACCTCCGAGTACTGTCATCTTGAAGTTAAGATTTCTTTCTATTAAGAATTTTTAGGTAAGTTTGAGGCCAGCCTGGTCTATAAAGTGAGTTCCAGGACAGAAAGGTTACACAGAGAAGCCCTGTCTCAAAAAAAAAAACAAAAACAAAACAAAACAAAAACAGAAACAAAGAAAAATTTGAGGGTGTTAGAGCACTTGTTTTGGTTCCCAGCTCCCATATAACAGATCGTAGCCATCACTATCTCCAGTGCCAGGGAATCTGGTACCACCTTCTGGCCTCTGAGGGCACCAGGCATGCATGCAGTTCACTTACCATACCTGCAGCCAAAACACTCATGCACATACAATGAAAATAAGTGAATGAAAACAATTTTTCGGATCTGAGGGTATACCTCAGCTAGAAGAGCCTTGGGTGGCCCTGTATTTGATCCTTACCACTATTGAAAAGGGAGAGAGATCTGGGAATGTAGCTCAGTTAGAGTGCTTACCTAACATGTTGGGTTCAATCTCAATACTTTATAAACTGAGCATAGTAGCGCTTTTCTATCTATAATCCCTAATGGCAGCAAGAAGATCAGAAATTTAAGGGCATTTTTGGATACAAGTCTTGAGTTCGAGGCCCATCTGGGAACGTGAAATCCTGTCTCAAAAAGGAAAAGAGGGTAACTGGGTCTAGACCATAGCAGCAGACTGTTAAAGCCAGCTTTTCTAGTCTTAAATGGTCTCAAGTTGTGTATTTAATGTGGATTACTAACCACTTAAAGGTTTGTGGGAATCCAGAAGCAGTATAAATTGTGCATAAAACAAGACTGAGTTGTTACCAGAGCCCTAACTTGAATTAACAAAGGCCAAAAGAATAATGTGCTGACCCACAGACAAAGTGGAAAGATTTCTGACGGCAGAGAGTCTGTACTTGCAGACCCTGTCCTGTCTCTGGTCATTTGGCACGCACACCCTGTGGTTTGCCTATTTTTCCTCCATCTTTCTCTGTGATACTGTTACTGGTACTCTTTCTTTCTCTGTCTGGTATGTTGTATTTCTGTTGCTTCATTCCTCTTTCTGGCTCTGCTTTTCTTACTCAGAATTCTCCTTCTCATTTTCCTGCCTCTTCTCTTCCTATTCGTTTTTAATTTTGTTCATATTTTTTACTCTGAAACTTTTCATTGATGGTCACAATTCACCTTATTTAACTGTTACCCAACCCTTCCTCCCACCTCTCCATGGCTTTCCCTCCAGTTATGTCTCTCTTCCTCTTTTGGGGGAAAAAAAATCCGTGTGCATACACACACACACACACACACACACACACACACACACACACACATCCATATGTCCTGAGCTTGAGCATTATTAGTGCTGCCCATGTGTACAAGGTTGTGAGATTATCTACTGCAGTACAAGGAACCTGCCAGTGGCTACCCCTCAGAAAAGTGACTCCCTCTCCCCCCACCTTATAGCTCCTCAGCTATGGGTAGGACCTTAGGAGCAACTCCCCAGTCCACGCTGGACTATTTTTCCTTTACACTGACTTTTAATTTTATTCCAAAGTACTTTTCTAAATAAGTATACCACGTTATACTGGATATTTTAAGTGCTTTGATCTTGTATAGTAGGTAACCACCACTGATGTGAGTTCATGAGTACAACATGTTATATACAAAGGAAGTATATCAGACCACTCCTCCCCGTTGTCTGGTTCTGCCCCCTCTTCGGTCATGTTCCCTGGGGAGGGGGAGGTTAATATAGAGAATAAATGACTGTGAAAGAGGACAGGAGGAATGTAAGCTCTAGGTGAGCCTGTCATAACCTTCACTAGTACTCATCTTTGAATGCTTATGTTTATTTTTATGGAATTCTTGTGCTCAACTCATTGTTTTCTGTGACTGCTTTAATATTGAAAAGTAGTACCTAATCAGTTTTTACTTTTGAAAAGATATCTTCATTTTCTGTGAATGACAGCTCTTAAAACCTATTACTTCCAAAGATATTCAACATTGATGTTTCCAAATCAAAGTTGTGGTTGTTAGGTTGATTTTAGAAATTACTTTGAATAATCTTTGCTCTTTGCAATGTTTTTAAGGCCCAGTGATATATTAGAAAGTGATAATGTTTCTTTGGTTTTTATGTCAGTGTTAGTACTTTGTAATACTATTGTGCCTCTTCTCAAACTCCTGCTCTCTTAATCTTCATGATTACCTGTCCTACTAGACTTTGTATCTTTATGATGAAAGAATAACATTTTTCACAATAAACAGCATGTATTAACAAGGTACTGGTTCATCTGTTTTAGAAAGCTTTGCTTTAGGAAAAGCAAATGTTTATTGGAGAACAGTTACTAATACATTTAATAATGTTTGTGTCTTATACGTAACTAGATCTGACTTATCATGTAGATAACGCAGAAGAAAGATAGGCCTGCATTTTAGGTAGAACAATGTTTTATAAATAAGTATCTTTCCATTGTTGCTGAATTCCTTATATTTGGCATTTAAGGCCATTTTGGTCAATTTACAGTGTGATGTATAGTATTTTTAGCATGAAATGATTCATTGAAATTTCTTTCTGTAGGCTACAGAAAGTGAAGTAGGAGATGTAGATTTAACACGTCTTCCAGAAGGACCTGTTGATTCTGAGGATGAAGAGGATGAGGAAGAGGAGATTGATCGAACAGATCCACTGCAGGGTAGAGATCTTGTTCGAGAGTGTCTTGAAAAGGAACCTGCAGACAAAACTGATGATGACGTTGGTAAGAAATATATCTGTATTCAAGGCCAACCAGGACTCCACGGAAAAAACAAAAAATAAATAAATAAAAAATAAAAATAAAATGCATACGTTAACTTAAGCATTTTTGACCTTATATGCAGAATAGTCTGTTGCCACATAACATACTATACCAAAGCTTAACTTCTTAAAACAACATACATTTATTATTTCATAGTCGGAATGTATATACAGACTTCAGTCATCTGAGTCTTCACTAGAGTGCATGAGAATATGTCCAAGATGACTTACGCACAAGGCTTCTGGCACAAGACCTCAGGTCTATGTTATGTAGTCTTTTGTAGCCTGTCTATTCACCCTAACAACGTGGCAGTAGATCTCCTCTAGTGTGGGTAATTCAAGGGTGAGTCTGCTCCAGTGTCTTTTATGACCATCATCACTTCTGCCACAGCCATTACACCATGCAAAACTGAGACAATGTTTGTGAAAGACTATACCTGGACATTGATATCAAGATGTCAGCTCATTGAGAACCATTGTTAAGACTTGCTGTGTTTATAAAATAAAACCATGAATTTCATGATACTGATTTTTCTATTTATGTTCATAAGACATTTAAAGCTCTATGGAGTTGTGCCTAGAGTCTATGAAGTAGTTTTTAAATCAATTTCAGATATATCTGTGTTACCTTCGTGTGTGTGTGTGTGTGTGTGTGTGTGTGTGTGTGTGTGTGTGTGTCTGTGTGTCTGTGTTAAAACTATAGATAAAACTTTTTACATATTTCTAACAGAACTAGTTAATCTATTTTAATTGAAAATTTGAATTCTGAAGATGTTGATGTGTCTTTAAGGAATTAAGTTTACTTAGTGTCCATTACATATTGCTATTGTTCAGTTAAGATTTTAGATTTTCTTTTTATAATCATTGCTGTTAACATTACAAGTCAGTGCTAGTAAAAAAATGTCATAACTTCATCAGTATATTTGATTGCTATATATATAATATATATCAATATAAATGATCAGTATATTTGAGCATTCGTGGCCATTATAAAGATAGAGTATTATTAAATAACCACTGTTTGGACTCATGCTGAAAATGTCTGCATAGACACTATGCTAGTTTCATGAAGTTTTAAAATTGAAGTTTATTTCATTCTGATTACATGTGAGATTCTTGTGTGATCATTTCTGTTGAAGCTTGTTTAACTTAACTGCGGATATATGTGTGTTTCCCTTGTATTTATCTTTATTAACCATATGTTTTTACCAAAAAATACCTTCAGAGACTCATAAGCATTTAGTAAGAAGTTAAGTAGTTGATGTAATAAATCTTGAGGTACAATTCACTTTAGTTATTCCTAAGTTACCGACTAACATTTACCAGTAGAATTAAGACAAAGAACATTCTAGACAAAAGGGTTTTTGCAAATCAAAGAGCAGCACTAAACTGCACCACCAATCAGGTGCCATCTCCAGCTATGCAAATCACAGATGTTACAGCTTCATTTGAACCTGTGTGGTTTCCTGGTTCTCTGAGTGTTCTGAATGATGATATCTTTCAATATGCCTGTATTTATAATGTGAGGATAAATATACATACAGTCTATCAGTGTGTATGTGCACACATATAACCTTCTAAATAACTGGGTTTTAAAATTATTTTTTAATGTGATGCTTATTTTACCTGCATGTATATCTGTGCATCATGTGTATGCAGTGCTATGGAGATCAGTAAGGGAGTGTGAGAACTTCCAGAATTGGAATTACAGATGATTGTGAGCCACCATGTAAGTTCTGTGAATCGAACACAGGTTCCCTGGAAGAACAGCTGGTGCTCCTAACCACTGAGCTGCCTCTCCAGCCCCTATTTGGTTTGGTTGTTTTGGTTTTTTTTTTTTTATATGAATGGTTGTGACGTGATCTATCTTGATGTTCTTATTTTAGCAATATAAGTTCCTGAGTAGATTCCTAATAGAATATTGAATTATAGAATTTGTTGTATGTTAAAGTAGTATCCTTGATCTTTATGCTAGAATTTCTGTTTTCTTATAGAACAGTTGCTTGAGTTCATGCACCAGCTCCCTGCCTTTGCAAACATGACCATGTCTGTAAGGAGAGAGCTCTGCTCTGTCATGATTTTTGAAGTAGTGGAGCAGGCTGGGGCTGTTATTCTTGAAGATGGGCAAGAGGTAGGTCAGCAAATAAATCATTAATTTCTTTAGGCTTGTATAAATCCAAGATTTTGAGTTTAAAGTATTTTAAGTGAATGCTGAGTCAAGGTAGGTTTTTGTTGTTATTGTTGTTTGGTTGGTTGGTTTTGGTTTTGTTGTTTGGATTTTTGTTTGGTTTTATATTTTTTGGTTTTTCAAGGCATGGTTTCTCTGTGTAGCCCTAGCTGTCCTGGAACTCACTCTGTAGACCAGGCTGGCCTTGAACTCACAGAGATCTGCCTGCCTCTACCTTCCAAGTGCCAGGATTAAAGGCAATGTGCCATCACCACTTGTTGGTAGTAAATTTTTGAAGAGATAAGTTGTTTCTGGGTTTTTTATTTTTATTTTTTTTTTTGTGTGTGTGTGTGTGTGTGTGTGTGTGTGTGTGTGTGTGTGTGTGTATTTTGTTTTGGTTCGTTGTCTTTCCCTCCTAATGCTACCATCCTTTAATACAGTTCCCCATGTTGTAGTGACGCCCAACCATAAAATTATTTTCATTGCTACTTGGTAACTAATTTTGCTACTGTTATAAATTGTAATGTAAATAGATATGTTTTCTGAGGTTCCGAGGGAACCCTTGTGAAAAGGTTGCAGCCCATGGGTTGAGAACCCCTGCTGTAGTGGGACTGGAAAACACTACTGTAAGATTGATGCTGAGAAGTGAATTACCAATGTTTACTATTAGTAAATTGTTTTAACATTTCTGAAAATTCATTTAGAAATTCTTGATATGAGCCGTACTGTATTGACAGTCTCTAACCTGTTATTCTACTTAACTGGTGTCTCTCCTTAGAACATAATAAAAAATCTCAAGAGTTATATCTAAAGATGCTCATTACATATTTGTAATAGAAAGAACTGAATATGCCATCATACAGTTTAAGAAGAAGCAATAGCTAGCCAGATAAACACATAACCATGGGATAAAAGATTAGTGCATTCTCAGTCATTCTCTGTGGTGTTGGGGATCCAGCCAGTATACTGGACAAGTGATGTCCCACTGAGCTGTGTACTCCACACCCTCACACTCTTTTCTTAAATTGCTTGGAATTCTTTCGGGGGCTGAGATCTTCTCCAGCCTTATTTACATGTTTTGTTCGTGCATCTAATGAGTAGAATATCTATCCCCAGGAAGTTGGAGGAGACAGATGAGTGTAGTTTGTTTTTGTTTTTAAAGGCACTGGAGAGATAGCTCAGTTGGTGAATTATTTGCCACCAAGTGTGAAGACCCAGGTTTGGTCCCCAGAAACTACAACAGAAGCTGGATATGATGGCATGCACCTGTAAACCTAACACTGAGGAGGTGGAGACCTAAAGATCCCTGGGGCTCACTGGCCAACCAGCTAAGCCTGTTTGGCAAGCTCTAGGCCTAAGAGACCCTTTCTAAAAGAATTAGTTATGGATGGTATCTGCAGAAAGACAGCCGGGGTTGTCCTCTGGCCTCCAAATGAGTATGTTCACATATGCCAGCCAGCACATATGTGTACCTGTACCCACACATACACAAGCAAAAATAAACCAGGTTGGACAGCACCTGAGGTTTACCTCTGGTCTCCACATACACAGACACATCTACCTACATACATGTAAAAATATATACACTGAAAGGCAGAATAATCTAAATATATTTCAGCATCTTATAATTTTATATATATATATATGTATGTATGTATATGTGTGTGTGTATATATATATATATGTGCACAAACGATAAATAAAAGCTCTGTAGACAATAGGATTTTAAGCAGCTTTTCTTTTCTTCAGGTTTTTATGTTCTCTAATTCTACAGTTCTATTAGCAAAAATGTATTGTCTGGTTGGGCAAGGTACACACGTTTAACCCCAGTACTTAGGGAGGCAGACTGATCTCTGTGTTCAAGGCTAGCCTGGACTATATAACAAGTTCCAGGACAGCCAAGGCTACATAAAGACTTCGTTTCAAAAAGACAAACAGCAACAACAACAAAAATACATTGTTTGTCAACTTCCTGCTAGGTACTTCTGTAAACATAGGAATATGATGGGAAAAGACAGTCTCGCTCTCAATAATTTATATATAATCTATAAATCCTACCGTGTTTTGTAGTTTGGTAACAAAAAAAAAAAAATAGACTTTCCAAAAAAAATTGTTCTTGTTACCACTCAGAACTGGCAGTCCTAGGTGTTTTTTAAATTGCATTGAAAGTTTAGTCTAATAAGAAGGGGTGGCTACTAAAGAGTAAGTGTTCTTTCACTGATACACAGCATACCTTTAAAAATATAACTCTGGGCTGGAGGGATAGCTTAGTGGTTAAGAGCACTTGTTGCTCTTTCAAAAGACCCAGATTCAATTCCCACCACTTACATGGAAGCTCACAACCATCCATACCCCCAGTTTCAGGGGATCCAACAGTCATATACGTGGTACACATACATCCATACAGGCAAAACATTCATATGCATAAACTAAATCTTTAAAATTAAAATATGTGTCTATGTATGTATTATGTGTTATGTATATCATCTCCCAGGCCAGCAAGATGGTTCCATGGGTAAAGGTACTTGCCACCAAGCCTGACCTGTATCCCATCTCTGGTACCAACATGTTGAAGGAGAGAACCAGTTCCCAGTATTTGTCCTCCTGCCTCCACACAAACATTGTGGCACACACACACACTCCAAAAATAAAATATAATAAAAATGTATCTCTTTCCTATTAAATGAAGAATGTTTTTTAATATAAGCACAACTTTAGGATATTTTGTTACATGTGACTTAAGATTCAGACTTTTGATAGTTTTTGTGAGTTATTAGAATGATTGTATGTTATGTACTGTTCTTAGTATGTGATCTGTATTAAATTGACCATCTACTTCAGTAGTTCTACATTACTTTATTTATAGTCATTTTAGCAATAAACTGAAGCCTTAAATAACTTGATAAAAGTCACTGTGCTGCTCAGTGACAGGGTCTGGATTAAGATTCTAAGAGTTTGTGCTCCTGATAGATGACGTAGCAGTTGAGAGCACTGGGTATTTTTAAAAAGGATAGGGACTCAGTTCCCAGCACCCAGGGGACAGCTCACACTTGTCTGTAAATCCAGCCTCAGGGATTATGAAGCCCTTATCTGGCCTTCTAGGGCACACATGTTGTACACATACATACATGTAGGCAAATACTTGTGCACATAAAATAAATTATCTTTAAAACAAGAATTATGCTCTTAAACATTACAGTATTTTTGCCTCAGAGAAATTGGCCAGTTCTGAAAGTCCTTTGGTGACTAAAAGAAGAAAGTGAAAGAAACTAGTTGTTTTGTGTAGACAAAGCAGAGAGTTGATGATTAATTACTGAATAATAGAGCTAGGTCTCCTTTGTCTTTTTTAAGTGATGTATTTTATATATTTTGCTAAATTGTTCAAAGTTAACTTATAACTGTCTTTTTTAAAAGGTTCTAACACCTTTATTTTCCTTTGTAGCTTGACTCCTGGTATGTCATTTTAAATGGCACTGTAGAAATTAGTCATCCAGATGGGAAAATTGAAAATCTCTTCATGGGAAATAGTTTTGGAATTGTCCCCACTCTGGACAAGCAATACATGCATGGAGTCGTCAGGACCAAGGTCGATGATTGTCAGGTAAGCTGACTTCTGCTCGGTGTTCCCTCATCCTTTGACTGAAAATGACTGCTTTTTGTTTTCTTCCTGGAAGGAAAACAGCTTTAGTGGAGAATTAGGATTTTCACTAGTCTACAGTTGACAAGAGAAAGTAGATTTTATAAATCTGTCTCCAATTTTGTTGAATTGAGCAAAATATAAATTTTTAAGAGAATGATCCCAAAAAATTGTTGGTTTGTTTGAACATTTAGAGTCTAATTATCCAGTTCAGGCTCTTTCTGTTTTCAAAGAAGAAAGGAAATAGGAACTTGTGAGTTGCTTGTTTCTGACTTACTCCTGCTTCATGTTTTCTTTGCATAATGTCTGTTTAAGAGAAGTGGATGGTCACTTCTCCTTTTACAGCAGAATTCAGACGATTCCACTTTAGTCTCTGTGTGTGTGAATTATTTGCCTTGATTTTCGTTTAGGGTTGAACAAATTGAATAAGAAATAACTGATGCCTCTTGACTTCTTACCTTTGTGCTCTGCCTTGGTACATAGTGATGTGTTTATGTACTATAGATTCATTAACTGTCCCCATGTTGTTCTTGGACAGTTTGTCTGTATAGCACAACAGGATTATTGGAGAATTTTAAATCATGTGGAAAAAAATACCCATAAAGTTGAGGAGGAGGGAGAAATTGTCATGGTACATGAGCACCGAGAACTAGACCGGAGTGGAACCAGGAAAGGACACATTGTAATCAAGGTGGGTATTTTTGCTTGGTTGTTTGATTGGTTGGTTTTTCGAGACAGGGTTTCTCTGTGTAGCCCTGCCTGTCCTGGTACTTGCTCATAGACCAAGGCTGGCCTAGAACTCAGAGATCCACCTGTCTCTGCCTCCCAAGTGCTGTGATTAAAGGCATTCACCACTACTGCCCAGCTTGACTTAATTCTGAAATTTCATTCAAATCTTTCATCTTACTTTAAAAATAAAAAGGCTTTAAACTACTTTTTTGAATAATGTAAAATTCTTCACTAATATGTTGATGTCTGATTCAGCAAGTCCCTTTTCCAGCTGGTTATAACACATTTGAATGATGGATACTTATTGCCATTTAATATCCAAATTGATGCAATATTATTTTAGATTATACTGGCCAAATCATTTCTTCTTAAATGTATAAGCTTGATGGTGGGTGTTGGTCTTAAGAAAAGAAATCAAGCAGTATTAGAGATAGACAGGAACAGGAAATTTCAAAACTAGCCACAAAGACAGTGAAGATGCAGAGCTCCTGCTCGCATTGAAATAAGCTGTGGCTTCTCTGAACCTTACTTTAATTGAAAATAAAAGAGATACAGGAAGTAAAGTTAGGACTGAGTGAGGTAAATCTGAAGCTTTAGCATAATCACAGTCAAAGCAGCAATATCCATGTTCCCTTCTCTGTCTTAATCTCCTATATTTTTTGTCATTCTTGCTTGTTTGAAAACCTCTACATACAAAGTAAAGCAAGTATAGTTGAAAATACATACATGTGCCTCTTTTTTTTTTTTGGTTTTTCGAGACAGGGTTTCTCTGTGTAGCTTTGCGCCTTTCCTGGAACTCACTTGGTAGTCCAGGCTGGCCTCGAACTCACAGAGATCCGCCTGCCTCTGCCTCCCGAGTGCTGGGATTAAAGGCGTGCGCCACCACCGCCCGGCAACATGTGCCTCTTTTTAAGCTAGCCTTGTTTACAAAAAAAGTATGTTGTTGTTAGTTGGCAAATAAACAACTTAGTAGCATGTGAGTCTGATGTCATATCAGTTCTCTCTTGGGTATTGAATTCTTAGAGCTGTCTCTTAGTATAAGCTTTGTGTGTAGTAAAGGTAAATATAGTGTGTGCTGGATGTAGTGGTTGCACACCTGTAATCATCCCAACACTGAGAAGGTAGAGACGAGGGGATCAGGAGTCTTTCAAAAAAAGAAGAAAGGAAAATATATAAATAGAATACAGAAGCTAATGCATATTACTTATTTTGTCTTTGGCAAGGATCCCTATTTTTTGTTTACATTTTTGAGTTTTGTTTTGTTTGAGACAGTTTCTCAAACTGTAGCCTTGGCTTTCCTGAAACTCACTCTGTAGACCATGGTGGCCTCTAACTTGGAGATCTGCCTGCTTCTGCCTCCTAAGTGCTGGGATTAAAGGCATACACCACCACGCACAGCAAGACCCCTATTTTTTAGTAGTTCAGACTTACAGAAAAAATTTAAGAACTAGAATAGGGAGAGATGGCTTGGTTTAGTAAAGGGCTTGTCTCACACGTGCAAATATAGGGACCTGAGTCTGTTTGTTTCCCCCAGAACTCGTGTAAAGAACTGGGCACACTGGTTTGCGTCTGTAATTGAAGCGGTAGAGAAGCAAAGGCAGTAGGGTCCCATATCTCAGTGGCCAGCCAGTCTAGCTGAATTGGTGAACTCCAGGTTCAGTGAGAAACCCTGTCTCAAAACAAGGTGGAGAACAGTTGAGGCAGACATCTGAAATTGACCTTTGGCCTGCAAATACCCATGTGCACATTAACACCAAGAAAAGTTTCAAGAACGATGCAGACAGCTCTCTGAGTCAGACTCCCCTACTTTGAATATTTCATTGCCTTTGCCCCATTTTCATCAGTCTTCTTTTGAACTGTTTAAGACGTTTTACAAATGCAATGTCTTAACATTGCTGAAAAAAAAAAAAGGCAAGAGCACTCCTACATAAACATCTTAGAATTCTCCCAGTATGGAAGTGCATGTTGCTAAGATAATAGAGGCAGCCTGAGGTCCCTAGTCGATTCTCACCAGTGGTCCCAGTAATGTTGCATTTTCATTTCTTGTCTGGGTTCATTCTTGGTTGTATTTCATTGTCATGCCACTTTGGTCCGCTTGAGTTGCTTGGTCTTTCTTTGTTATTCATATCCCCAGCAGACCTAAAGAAACCATGTCTTACATCCTGTCAAGTTTACCCATTATCAAACTACAGTCATGTTTTACATAAAGGAATTCCACTGTAATTAACACTCTTCTCTTTGCATTTGGTGCAGTGTTGACAGACCTTCCTCTAGGGAAGTTAACCTTGATGACCTCATGTCCATCTGCCAGGATTTTTTACTGTAAGGTTATTATTTGTGACACTTCATAATTGATGAGTACCTGATGAAGAGATGTTCTGAGATGATTATCAGTATACTGCCTCTAGTTTGTGGATATTAAGATCTAGGTGCAAACTTCTTCCCACCTGTGATGACTCCTGCTGAAAATGGTGTTTTCCTTCTATAATTTCTCTTATAATTAGTAACTGTCATTTAATTTATGCTTAGTATGGACTTACGTGTCATACTCCCTTGCATTAGTATTATTCTAATGCTCAGAATTCTCTGAGATGCCAACCAGTGCTCTACAGGCTGACTCTTGTATTCTTTTAAAATACCCCCATCATTCTTTGAGCACTTTCTGGCAGTTAGTAAGGATTATCATGAACTTTTTTTCCTACTCTGGAATCAGCCATTTCTCCAGAAAGTTCTTGATCTTTCCAGTTGAGGATAGCATTTATAAGCCAGGATCTGGGAATTCACTCTATATTTACAGCCTCTCATGAGTCTGAACTAAAAAAACAAGTATTTATGTTAATTATCAATGCACATATACAATTTTGTATTATACAACCATGAGTTTATATGATACAATTCTAGTACTGTCTTACAGACTTTTCTCTAGTGTTTTACTTCAATGTATATTAATACCTTCTCCTAATTATTTGCTGGGTTTTTTGTTTTGTTGGTTTTGTTTGTTTGTTTGTTTGGGGTTTTTTTTAATGGTTTTTCAAGACAGGGTTTCCCTATGTAGCTTTGGAGCCTGTCCTGGAACTTGCTCTGTAGACCAGACTGGCCTTGAACTCACAGAGTTCCACCTACCTCTGCCTCTCCAGAGCTGGGATTAAAGGCATGTGCCGCCACCGCCGGGCTATTTGCTGGTTTTAACCAGTCCCTACCATACCAGTATAACCGTGTCAACCATGTCTTTTACCTTTCATCCAAGTGGAGATTATCCAGAGTGGGATAACCTCTTCAAGTATCCCACTTTCTTGGTTACTAGTATGGACATAGGTGACATACCTCTTCATGATAATTTTGAATATATATCCCAGACTCTGTAGGAACTCTTGTCTACTGATTGAGACAAACAGAATGATGTTCTCCCTTTAAGGTTGACCAGTTACCACACTGACTTAGCTTGTAAGCCCTAAAACCACATAAATTTCCTAGACCATGATTGGCCTAAATAATCAACCCATTTTGATAATCTTAGACTTAATATTTTTGAGGGTGAGAAAAAAAGAGGACTAACTTCTAGTCTCTATGCCATAAGTAGGATATAAAGTCTTTCTTACTCCTGAGTGCCTTCAAGAGAAGTGATTTATGTACCTTGTTAGCATTGGGTGCCCTTGGGGGGAAAAATTCTAAGGTAACAGCATTGTCAGTATTAATGTGTATTTCCTATATAGATGTTGTGATCAATTAATTATTTGTATAGTTGCAGCAAATTGAAGTCTGAACTTAAGGGCCACAGTTAGATTTTTAAATTTTATGTGTGTGCACCACATGTGTGCCATGACTACAGAGGTCATAAAAGGGCATTGGATCTTCCAGTACTGGAGTTAGAGATGGTTGTGAGCTAACATGTGGGTGTTGGGAACCAAACCCAAGTCCTGTGCAACAGTAGCAAGTGCTCTTAACCACTGAACTATCTGTCCCCTACAGTTGCTTTTTAATATCCAACTTAATATTTGTTTTCTTTTTATGTGTGTTCTGTTTATTCTTTTGAAAAGGTAGCAAACCTAGGTTGCAAAGGTAGTACAGTTGATAAAATGCTTACCTTGCAAACATTAGGACCTAAGTTTGACCCCCAAAACCCACATTTATAAAACCAAGCATAGGAGGTTGTAGAGATGGCTCAGTTGGTAAAGTGTTTGCTGGGCAAGCAACAAGGATCTTATTTCAGATCTCTTTAAAAGACTGGTGTGATTATGAGCACCTGTAATTCTTGGACTGGGGGAGGCAGAAACAAGGGTTTCTATGGCTTTCTAGCCAGCCAATCCAGCCACTTAGTGAGCTCCAGGTTGAGTGAAAGACTGTCTCAAAAAAATATGGTTTGAGGGCCGGGCGGTGGTGGCGCACGCCTTTAATCCCAGCACTCGGGAGGCAGAGGCAGGCGGATCTCTGTGAGTTCGAGGCCATCCTGGTCTACAAAGTGAGTTCCAGGAAAGGCGCAAAGCTACACAGAGAAACCCTGTCTCGAAAAACAAACAAAAAAAAAAAATACGGTTTGAGGAAGATGATATCCTCTGGCCTACACATCTCACACATGCACACCTCACCCTACTCACTCTTCAAAAAGCTAGGCATGATGGCATATGCTTGTAAGGCTTACTGGCCAACTAGCCTTGCCTACTTGGCACATCCCAGGCTAGTGAGACTCTATCTCAAAAAAATAAAGGACAGTGCTTGAGGAACAATACTCAAGGTTATTCTCTATCCTCCACGTGACAAATAAATTTTTTTTTTTAAATTTCAAAGTCTTAATAAATTTTTAACATTGATTCAGAAACTCAGTAGGAAATGTTTGTTCATGTATTTTATTTTTATATACATACACATATAAATTTTGAGGTAGACAAATCTTTGAAATGCTAAATGTACAAACAGTAAGGGGTTTAGTCATTTCACACACAGCAAGCAGGAAGTCTAGAAGAGTAAATACCTGTATATTATTCCTGTAGCGTGGGACAGAAAAGAATTTGAGGTGGATTAAATGTGGAAGAAAGATTTCTTGCTCACTTTCTTCTTTTTGTTGTTGTTATTGTTATTTATTTGTTTGTTTTTCTAGACATGATGTCTCTGTGTACCCCTGGCTGTCCTGGAACTCGCTCTGTAGACCAGACTGGCCTCAAACTCACAAAGATCCACCTGCCTGTGCCTCTTTGAGTTTTGGGATTAAAGGTGTGCACCGCCACTGTCTGGCCGACTTTCTTCTTTCTTTCTGTTTCCTTTGCCTTGGACAGTCATTACATGCCCTGTTGTAGCAGAAGTAACAATAACAGCCCATACAAGGGATAAGTCAGTAAATTTCCTAGGCCCTGCGGTGATGAAATGCCAGTAGAAACAAACACAGCTGAGCAGATGCTGCTGGGGGCTTACCCCTCTACCATTTCTCAGCTCTAAGCCTCTGGCTGCTTCTGAATTATGATCTGAAGACTGCATTCTCCCAGCAGTAGGCTTTAAAGGAGAATAATGGGAGATACTTGACTCCTTTAGTTTTGTTTTGTCTTTTGTTTGTTTTTTTGTTTGGGGTTTTTTTGTTTTTGGTTTTTCGAGACAGGGTTTCTCTGTGTAGCTTTGCACCTTTCCTGGATCTCGCTCTGTAGTCCAGGCTGGCCTCGAACTCACAGAGGTCTGCCTGCCTCTGCCTCCTGAGTGCTGGGATTAAAGGCGTGCGCCACCACCGCCCGGCCTGTTTTGTCTTAATCTTTTGTTTCATTGGATTTTTAGGCAACACCTGAGCGTCTGATCATGCATTTGATAGAAGAACATTCTATTGTGGACCCAACATATATAGAAGATTTCCTATTAACTTACAGGACATTTCTTGAAAGTCCTTTGGATGTTGGGATCAAGCTTTTGGAATGGTTTAAGATTGACAGCTTAAGGGATAAGGTTGGTTTATAACTATAAAAGACATGAACTTTAACCTTTAAATTTTATTAGCATACACTTGCATTTTATAGTTCACATGGGTTTTTTGTTGTTATTTTTATGAAAAAAAAAAATAAGTTTACCTAAATAACTTAGTGAGTGTAGACATGTGTCTGGTCATTTTCTCAATGCCTTGGAAAGTGCATACAAACTAGAAATCCGAAACCGAAATAAGACTGTGATAGGGCCAGCTGTAAACTCAGGAACCATGGCAGTTTGTGCAGATAGATAAAGCATGAAGCTGGTGAGTGGATTTTGAGGAATAACAACCTGGAGATCTGAGTTCAAACCCCAGAACACACATACAGGTGAAAGGAGAGGACCAGCCCACAAAGTTGTCCTCTCACCCTACTACACACCATGGCACGTGTATCCACACACACATCATGAGCATACACAGTAATTAATAATGAAAATACTTTTTAAGAACTAAAACTATAATGCTCTTAGACTAATTGACTTTGAGTTTGGCAATAGTTCTGCAGATGTGACACCCAGAGCACAAGCAAGAAAAAACAGAGAGAAACAGAACTTCCAATATTAAAACCTTTTTTCCTGTATCAAAAAGTACTATCAAGCACAAGGTAGGGGCTTTGGGCAATGGCCCAGTGATTAAAACACTTGGCTGGGTAAGGTTGAGGATGGGAGTTTGGGTCCCCAGACCCCATGTAAATGCCAGGTGGGCATGGCAGCCAGCCTCAGAAGGTGAAAATGGGGTTCTCCTATGCAAACTAGCTTTCAAGACAAGCCATATCAGCAAACTCTGGGTTTGATTGAGAGTCAGTCAGTGAATTGACTGAGTGAAAAGACTCAGTGAATTAGGTATAAGAGTGATAGGGGATGATTCCCAGCATCAACCTCAGACCTGTACATGCCTACCCCACACAAATATGAAAATGGAATAACAGAAAAAAAAGAAATAAAACAACATACAGATTTGCAAATCATAGATTTGATAAGACTCTACTAACCAGAATACATAAACTTAGAACTGAAGGGCAGAAAGACACGCAACGTGATTGAAAAATGAACAAATGACTGGAGTAAACACTTCTCTGAAGAAGATTTATACATGACCAACAAGCATATGTTCATCATGATTGCACATATGGAAGTCCACTCAAAACCACATGTCTTAATTTCTTACTTAACCTGTTGGACAGTATAAACTAACCACTTTGAAAATTTGACGACATTTAATGAAGTTATAGATTGGTTTTTCTTGAAAATTTTGGTCAAGTGCATTCCTAATTGTAGAAATACTTTTAATGTTGTGTTCTAATTGAAATGACTGACTGCACTTACAACAGACATGGGCTTGTGTTTAAGACACTAAGGGAAATACACATCCCAGTTTGTATCTTCTTTCAGATCTAAAGGAAACATATGTGGAAACTAAACCATGCCTCTCTGTTAGAACAACCCTTTTGTGTAAAATGAAGCCCAAGAGTGGCTAGCCAGACAGAAGGAATGCGTCACATAACCACATGCCTTCTCCTGTTCCACAGGTGACCCGGATTGTACTCTTATGGGTAAATAATCATTTTAATGATTTTGAAGGTGATCCTGCTATGACTCAATTTCTAGAAGAATTTGAAAAAAATCTGGAAGATACAGTAAGAATTTGTTTTCATAATTCAGGGTTCTCCCTATTCCCTCAGCAAGAACAGCAACTCAGAACAATTTCCATCTTCTCCCAGATATGTTGTAGGATGGGAATTCCTCACCACAATAAAAAACTATATACCCTCTATGTTCATTTCTGTTTTAGAGCTAGCATCTGGTTAGAGCTCTGTACTTGAACAGATTGCCTAAGCTTTATACCTTAGATCTTAATAAAAATGGGCTGGGTGGTGGTGGCGCACACCTTTAATCCCAGCACTCAGGAGGCAGAGCCAGGCGGATCTCTGTGAGTTCGAGGCCAGCCTGGGCTACAGAGTGAGTTCCAGGAAAGACTCCAAAACTACACAGAGAAACCCTGTCTTGAAAAACCAGAAGAAAAAAAAAATGGTAGTCTCCAGTCCTGAGAGAGTATGTGAGGACTACAACGAGGTAATGAATGTAACAACTGAAGACAAACTGGTACTGAGAAAATACTCAGGAGCATATTTCCCAGAGTAGATTGAGTTGAACACAGAGGGAAGAAAGTGACAGCTCTGGTCCCTTTCTTACCCCTCAGTTCCTGTAGACTTTCCTGCAGCGTATCTGCCTTGTGCAAAATGAGGAAACATGAACAGAGATTGGGGAACTTGACTAATAGACCATTGAGGCACACCAACATCATTTAGCTCTTGCAGTACCAGTATGTAGTTATTTAAGAGAGACTGGAGCCAGGCGGTGGTGGCGCATGCCTTTAATCCCAGCACTCAGGAGGCAGAGGCCGGCGGATCTCTGTGAGTTCGAGGCCAGCCTGGGCTACCAAGTGAGTTCCAGGAAAGGCGCAAAGCTACACAGGGAAACCCTGTCTCGAAAAAACCAAAAAAAAAAAGAGAGAGAGACACTGGAAGGAAAGATTGAGTCATGGAATTCCCCCACCCCCAATGAATAATCAAATATTTATTGAAATCTCCCACTCACAGGTACTGTATACAAGTGTAAAATCTGATTCCTGCCCTGGAAGAAAAAAAATCTTTGGCTTATTAGAGCCATACCATATTCACAAACATGTTTCATTACCTATTTGAAAATAATTGAATATTAAAATAGGAGTAAAACTTCAAATTAGAATATTATTGAATTTACAAAAGACTTAATGTATCTGAGTATTAGACAATATTCAGAAAGGAAGTTACTCCATTTCAACCAGGAGGTATGCAAGATAGTACAGTAGGAATTGAGAAGATTCAGGAAAAATCTTTCATTATCTAAAAGTCTTTTAAAACCCTGTTAAGAAATTTTGTTGAGTGCTCTGGGGTGGAAGTACCCTTTCCAGTTTTGTTTACCTAGCTTGCATGTTCTGTAGTTTGTGGGTTTTGCTTTTAATCATAACCATTGTAGAATTTTTCAAAGCCTGTAAGAATAGGTATATAAATGTACATTTTAATCTTCTCTGCTTCACAGAAAATGAATGGTCACCTCAGGTTATTGAATATTGCCTGTGCTGCAAAGGCTAAGTGGAGGCAAGTTGTGCTACAGAAGGCATCCCGTGAGTCCCCGCTGCACTTCAGCCTGAATGGAGGCAGTGAGAAGGGATTCGGTGTCTTTGTTGAAGGAGTAGAACCTGGGAGCAAAGCTGCTGATGCAGGACTGAAACGGGGTGATCAGGTAAATAAATAATCCCACACTTAAATGAGAACTTGTATAAGTAGTACATCTGTTACTTTTGTCCCTTTTCTTTGGGAGGAGGGAGTAGTTTAGAGAGAGAGAGAGAAAGAGAGAACCAGAGAACAGACAATTTTGAGTGTTGTTCCTTGTTCCTCAGGAACTGCCTACCCTTTTTTTTTTTTTCCAGTTGATCTATCCCCCCAGCCCTAGTGTTAATATTTAGGTTTGTTGTTGTTGTTGTTATTGTTGTTGTTGTTGTTGTTGTTGTTGTTGTTGTTGTTTTTCCTGAGGCAGTGTTTCTCTGTGTAGCTTTGGTACCTGTCCTGGATCTCGCTCTGTAGATCAGGCTGGCCTCAAACTCAGAGATCCGCCTGGCTCTGCCTCCTGAGTATTGGGAGTAAAGGTGTGCGCCACCACCACCTGGCTAGTGTTAATAATTAAATAGGGTTTGTTTTCAAAATATTTATCATATATTCATAACTTTTGATGAAGAATTTTGTAATAGCATGGTTGAAAAGCATGTGTTTCTACAGGGCTCAACCAGTATAACCTCCTTTGAATGGCCCTTCCTATTTTCTAAGGATTGGGAAATTTTTCCTTGGCAACTTCAGAATATTCCAGAAAGATGTTCATAAATTAGCACCTTAGAAGTTTTGTGAAGTAAATGAAATTTAAATTTCAAATGTAAGTAGCTGAAGATTAAGTGATGACATCAAATTAACTAATGTTCATATGGTACCACAGCTACATTTACAAGCAGAGTGAACTAGGTGAGGGACCAGGAAAAACTGAGACAAAGTGGGTCAGTGGTGGTGCACGCCTTCAATCCTAGCACTCGGGAGGCAGAGCCAGGCAGATCTCTGTGAGTTTGAGGCCAGCCTGGTCTACAGAGCGAGATCCAGGACAGGCACCAAAACCACACAGAGAAACCCTGTCTTGAAAAAACAAAACAAAACAAAAAACAAAAAACTGAGACATGGGAGGAATTGGGTTGGGGCTTATTCTTTTGGGAATTTGTATGTTTGGTGTGGTTTTGGGTTTTTGGGGTTTTTTTTGTTGTTGTTGTTTTGGTTTGTTGTTGTTATTCTTTTTGGGTTTTAGACAGGGTCTCACTGTGTAGCCCTGGCTGGCCTTGAACTCAATATGTAGTAGAGCAGCCTGGGCTTGAACTCGCAGAAATCCTTTGCCTCCCAGTGCTGGGATTAAAGGCATGTGCCATTATACCTGGTTGGTTTATTCTTTTTAGTCATTAAGTAGCTATTGTTTAGCCTAATTCAAAATATAATGATCTTATGCATAAAATGTAATTCCCAGGCTTATCTCAGTCATTGTATTAATGACATCCTCAACAGAAAAGTTGGGAATCTGTTGAGATTTTTTTTGTTGTTTTTATTTTCTAGTACTGGAGATGAGACCAGAGCTTTGCAAATGTGAGACAAGTACTTACCATCAATTTTCATCCTTGTCCCAGGAATATGTACAAAAGCCCTATAGATGACTCTCATGGAGTTGTTTCCTTGCTGGCCTTCGGTTCACATACAATATGACCATCGTTTGGTCTGTAGATGATTCTCATGTACACCAGGGAGTTGTTTCCTTGCTGGCCTTCGGTTCACATACAATATGACCATCGTTTGGTCTGTAGATGATTCTCATGTACACCAGGGAGTTGTTTCCTTGCTGGCCTTCAGTTCACATACAATATGACCATCGTTTGGTCTATAGATGGATGATTCTCATGTACACCAGGGAGTTGTTTTCTTGCTGGCCTTCAGTTCACATACAATATGACCATCGTTTGGTCTATAGATGGATGATTCTCATGTACACCAGGGAGTTGTTTTCTTGTTGGCCTTCAGTTCACATACAATATGACCATCGTTTGGCAATGTCTAAAAGAGGCGTGTGCACACACTTGTGTTGTTGTTGTTGTCATCGTTTGGTTTGGTTTGTGGACAGTGTATCTACGGAGTGAACCAGGGCTTCACATGTGATGGGTGATCACTGTATCTACTATACTACATTTCCAGCCCCTAAAAATATTTTTTGGGTATCAAAACCTAGGGATTATTGCTGGTGCATTGTGAATAGAGACCACCGAACGGCCTGCAATACCCAGATTGTTGGAAACTGGGGGAGATGGGGTGGTGTAAAGTAGTGGGGAAACAGTAGTGGGCCAGGCATGGTGATCCCAGCACTCAGGAACCAAAACCAGGCAGGTCTCTTGAGTTCCAGGCCAGCCAGGGTTAGCTACAGTGAAACCCTGTCTCAAAAAGGAAAAAAAAAAAAAATTGTAGTAATCCTTTGATTTCCTTAAGGGTGTTTTGGGTTTGTTTTTTTTTTAATTTATTTTAAATTGGCCTGTTCTTCAGTCTTCTCATTAAAAATACCTAATAGCCAGTATCCTAGAATTAATATATTTATTATGATTTTTCAAGTTTCTTATCATAAAACATTTAAAGATAACATTTCTCACAGTGGGTGAGAGGACAGTGAAATCCAAAACTTACATTCCTAACAATGAAATTGATTGTGGCTTCACTTCTTGCATTCATCCCTCCGTGATCCATTCTGTCTAGATCATATTTCCCTATTATTATTCATTTTACAGACATGAGTCTTTATATATCTGAAGATGTTTTTGTTCAGTGTGGTATAAAGTTCTACGGTAATAATGATTTTATTCCTTAAGAACACTGAAGTTGCAGAAAAGTATCACCTTATCTTATTGTTGCCCAATAGAAGTCAAAACCAGCCTTTATTTTTCTTTAATTCTGTTGATTCCTACACATAAACACCTTTATTCTCTGTCCTTCAGATTCAGAGTTGTCATTGAGAATTGTTAAAATGGGTATCTCTTTAGTGCCATGGCATTTTGGTGTGTATACGTGGGTCTTTTTGTTTTGTTTTGTTTTGTTTTGTTTTTTAAGACAGTTTCAAAACGTAGTTCTGGCTGACCTGAAACTCACTCTGTAGACCATGCTGGCCTCAAAAGATCCACCTGCCTCTGGCTCCCAAACACCAAGATTGCATCATCGCTCTGGGCCTGATGTGTCTTCTTAGAATTCTGAATTTTGCTTCTATTGATTTTTCTTTTCCTGATATATTGTTTGTGTCCTCTTTACCTTTGAGAATTTTTATATCACTTTTGAGATCTGTCCGCTCTGCTGCTTATTTGTTTGTTTACTGCTAAATTTTTGCTCATTGAATTTTTATCCTTTTTTTTTTCCCTTCCAGGAAGCTTTTAGTGTAGGAATGAGTTAACCAAAGAAAGCAGTTTCTCAGTGGAGAAAAACCATCACAGTAGTGCTGCTTTTGGTTGGTTGCCTGGTTCTTTTGTTAATTAAAAATAGAAACAAATCTGGATTTTATTCATTAATTTATTTTTGGTTTTTCGAGACAGGATTTCTCTGTGTAGCTTTGGAGCCTGTACTGGATCTCGCTCTGTACACCAGGCTGGCCTGAAACTCACAGAGATCCACCTGGCTCTGCCTCTCAGGTGCTGAGATTAAGGGCGTGCACCACTGCCGCCCAACTGAATTTATTTTTTCTTAAGACAGAGTCTGACTATATAACCCTGGACTTTCAATCTTCTTGCCCCTAGTATTGGAATTATAAGCATACACTGTTCATCCAGCATTAGCATGTTCTTTTTAAATGAATTATTTCACATTGAATTACACTAAATGTCTCTTTAGACAATTTGACTAAAATTTGTGTATATATACATAGTGTCATCTTCTAGCTTACTAGAAGTGATTAAAATTTTTCTTCACTTATAAACCATTTTGTGTGTGTGTGTGTGTGTGTGTGTGTGTGTGTGTGTGTGTGTGTGTAATTATGTTTAGTGTATGTATGTGTTCTTGTTCACATACATGTACCATGGTGCATTTGTGGACATCCAGGAAGTCAGTTCTCTCCTTTTACCATGTGGGTCTTGGAGATCAAATTCAGGCTTGGTAGCAAGCACTTTTACCCAGTCATCATCTCTCCAGTCCCCATCTTAATTTTTGTTTCCTTTTTCTTTTTTTTCTTCCTTTTTTTTTTTTTTAAGGTTTATTTTATTTTATGTGTATGGATGTTTTGCCTGAATGTGCATCGTATGCTTGCCTGGTGCCAGCCGAGGTCAGAAGAAAGTATTGGATCACCTAGAATTGGAGTTAGAGATGGTTGTGAGGCACCATGCGAGTGGGAACTGAACCTGCATCCTTTACAACAGCAGTTCTAGGTCTTGACTGCTAAGTCATATCATTTGGGATCCCAGAGAAAATGACCTTTGAAAATACATATGATGGAGGATTGGAAATTATACAGTAAAACAAAAAAAAATGGTAGTCCAGTTTCTAAAAACAATAATCATTGCTCACATATGGAGTGATTTATTCAAGTTCTATTTTGGTTTTTCTAATATTAAACTTTTGAGGTAATAGGTGATACTAATACTATTTCTTTCTTAATTTGTATTTTAAAAATATTTTCAAGATAATGGAAGTCAATGGACAAAACTTTGAGAATATTACATATGTTAAAGCTCTTGAAATTTTGAGGAATAATACTCACCTTGCACTTACTGTGAAGACCAACATTTTTGGTAAGTTTTGTTGTAACAGCTACTGAGGTAAGCTTTTGTTTTATTATATGTAAATAGAAAAGTAAGTGGGCTGGAGAGAAGGCTCAGAGGTTAGGAGCACTGGCTGCTCTTCCAGAGGTCCTGAGTTCAATTCCCAGCAACTACATGGTGGCTCACAACCGTCTGTAATGAGATCTTGTGCCCTCTTCTGGTGTGCAGACATACATGCAGACAAAACACTATATCCGTAATAAATAAATAAATCTTTAAAAAAAAAACAGAAAAGTAATAAAAGTCATTTCAGTGAGGTAGATGATAGTAAAATATAAACTTTTTTGTATAAGATCCTAAGATTACTATGATTTTATAATTTATAATTTTCATTTGATCTAAATTTCATGGAAATAGAGATATAGCTTCAGTTATATATAAAGTATCTGTTGAGCTTCTGTTGTGTACTATATAGTGCAGAGTACAAAAGTAAAACTTGAATGACTTGAATAAAGCTTTGAAGTCATAAGCAGGCTCTTTTCCACTCTGAATGTACAAAGCTAGCTTTCTTCAATGAATCAAATGCCAGAGTAGTTGTTTCATCAAATAAATTCAGTGAAGCTTTCTAAATCTATGAGTGAGATTTCTAAACAGCATGTCCTTCCTTTCTCTGTAGAAAGGTTTATAGTAGCTACACTGTGTTCTTCAATTTTGTGGTATGAGGGCCTGGACCCAAAGCCTTTCACATGCTGCCCAAGTGTCCTACAGCTGAGCTACATCTCCAGCCCTGCGCTGTCTTGTTTTTTCATATTTATATCTGAATAGAACATGTATTAAGCTTGTGCTTTGGGGACTGAAGAGTTGGTTCCGTGGTTAAAAGCACTGGATGCTCTTCCAGAGAACCCAGGTTTAATTACCAGAACCTACATGATGGCTCACAATCATCTGTAACTCCAGTTCAGGGTTATCTGACTCCATATTTGCAGGCAGAAGAGACACATAAGGTAAAAATAAAATAAGTCTTTTTTAAAAAAGAAAAAAACAAAAAGCTTGTGCTTTTAACAAGATATAACATTCTTTTGGTTGAGTGATTTTTATGAAAGATTTATTATCATTTGCTTTAGACTCCATTGAATTTTGGCTAAAATCATGAGAAATTTAACAGTAAGTCTAAAGTAACAATTAAAAACCAAAGACCACTTAGGAGTTCTTACACAAAAATCCCTTTAGGTAGATTAGATTGCAATCAGAATGACAGTAGAATCCTAGAAGTATGCCTTTTTGGGTAGAAAATGATGTGTTTTGGGGGGTTTTTGTGTGTGTGTTTTTTTTTTTTTCCACTTTGGCTTGTCTTTCTTTAAACTGTCTTCAGTCATAGAGAAAAATGAAGTATTTTGTGATTTTCCTCTTTTCATTTGAGTGCCTTGGATATAATTACTTCATGTTAACTTGTCGATGGGCAGTTTTCCAGCGTTAAATAAGGAAGCCTTCAGAGCTTTTTACTTTCTGGATTTACACTGTCTACTAATGCCAGCTTTTAGGTTAAATTAAAGAATTCCAGTTTTGAAAAATATGAAAGCAATCCTTATTCTGTCACCTTGAGCCAATTATTAAGTCTCTCCCATCAAGTGTGTTTTATAGAATTCTTAAGGATCTGAGAACCTGAGAGTTCTTTGCACCTGTCACAAAAGTGATTACTGATACCAAGTACTTAGCAACATTGGCCCTGGGGGGAAAGGAAGGCTTTTGGATATAAAGGACAGGGAAGCCATAACCTATGAGCCTCTGGGTAGTAAGAATTCTGTTGTCCTCCCAGGAATCCTACATTGGTTGTGGTCAAGGATGGGGACCTACATGGTACTGCAAAAGTGTGGGAGCTGGGGAAGAGCAAAGCATTGCCAGCCCATACCTCTTTCCTTATGCCAGGTAGAGTGCAGTCAACCAAGCAGAACACCAAAGACTACCTCAAACAAACATTTATGGAACATTTGTGGAAATGGAGGGGGCGCCTTCATCTTTATATAATGTTCACAGTGACTGGCACTGTCTTAAAGTCAGGTCAGATATCAAGTGGAAAGCAGCAGAAGATGGGCGTAGAGGATCTTTTTCAGATTATGAAGAAGAAGAAGAATTAATTTGAAGAAGGGACAGAAAACCTGTCTAGTGATTTAAAACCTCATCTCTTGAAACAAGAACAGAAAGTCGGGGGGAAAAAATCATTGAGAAAGAAACAACTTTTAAGAACAGTGATGGTTTATAGTTCAGTGCTCACCAAGGACCAGAACACTCGAGCAGCACCTTTTGGAATTGGAACTCTCATAGACTCTCAAACAGATAGAACCGAACTGTAGCTTCCTCTCAAAGAAACCAAAAAAAACTTGAAAATTTTGCTCCTGGTTCTGAATGTCAAGAGCCTTGCAAGGGGGTGGGGGGTGCGTAACTTGGGCGCACCCTATTTCAAAAAAATTTTTTTCAAAAATAATTAAGCAAACAAAGATTTTGAAGTACTGGGAAAAGTCTGTATGAGCCAGAAGTGCATGCACGCCAGAATAGCTTTTGTAAGTGGAAATAAAAACTGAATTATGGGTTCCATTTCTAGATAAGATGTAGTAAATTCATGTCACCTTTCCTCTTCTACTGATTTTAACCATAAAACCTGAACAGAATCATGACTCATATATTTGAGAACAGGCAGGCCACAGAAGGACTTAAGAATTCAGGGTACCATCTTAGTGAACTTACTATCTTCCCCGGTAACAGTCCCCCAAGGTGGACTAAAGGAACTTGAAACCTGGATGTGAGTACTGTGTCTTAAGGAAATAGAAAGGGAAATCTTTAGGCTCCAACAAAATGAAGGAAGTCTCCGTTGTTTTACTTTCCTTGTTCTCCATGATGATCTGGAGCAGTACAGAGCAGTCACAATAGCCTGCCGCAGAAGCCTACAAGAGCCAGTCCTCTGGAGAAAGGACTCCTTCATCTTATACCACTGTGCCTGTTCCCGCCTTCTTCCCTCTATGTCCTTCTGCCTATCACGAATCTTAAAAGGTCTTATAATTAAAAAACCCAGAGCCAGATATTGGAGTGAAAGCTGAAAGAGGAAAGATACAGAACAGCCAGCCACTAGCTTACCTCTACAAAATCCTCAGCCTCAAGAGAGCAAGTTCCTGTTTCCTCATGCCTTATATAACTTTCTGTGTCCTGCCATATTACTTCCTGGGATTAAAGACGTGTGTCACCACTGCCTGGTTCTGTTATTGTCATGTATCCCTGAATTCACAGAGATCTAGATGGATCTCTGCCTCCCAAGTGATAGGATTAAAGGTATGTGCCACCATTGCCTGACCTCTATGTCTAATTTAGTGGCTAGCTTTGTCCTCTGATCCCCAGGTAAGCTTTATTGGGGTACGCAGTATATTACCACAGCTCTCTAGGGTCTCTTAGGACAAAACACAAGGGAGGCTAAAAATAAAAAAACTAGGTTGATAACTGTCTTAGTCAAAATTTTATTACTATGAAGAGACACCATGACCACAGCATGGTTTTCAAAAGTTTTGCAATGCTATTTAGATCTATTACCTTGACAACTCTTATGATTGGGGCTAGCTTACAAGTTCCGAGGGTTAGTCCATTATCATCATGGCAGGAAGCATGGTGGCATGCAGGCATGCATGGTGCTGGAGAATTAGCTGAGAGTTCCTCATCGGGATCTGCAGGCAGCAGAAAGAGAGAGACCATGGGCCTGGCTTGAGCATGGAATGTCAAAGCCCACTTCCAGTGATAGACTTCCTTTAACAAGGTCATACTTACTCCAATAAATCTACATGTTCTAGTCCTTTAAAATATCACTCCCTGTGAGCCTATGGGGGCCATTTTCTTTCAAACCACCACAATAACTAAGATGGGGAAGACAAACTCATAAAGTTGATTCTGAACTCCTCAACATGCCCCCAGCTTGATAATATTGGGGGAAATGTAGATTTTTAAGAACCACTGTTGCAGATAAACCTATCAGGTCTGAGACATATCATTTTGTGACCCCAAATGGCAGATCTGAATAGCATTGCAAAACTTTTAAAAACCAAGTATTGGACCTGTAGCCCCCAGGACAACCACAAGCACCATTGTTCTTTACAAGATCTAAGCATTAGAAGGATTCTTTATTAAAATTTTGAAGGTGAGCCGGGCGGTGGTGGCGCACGCCTTTAATCCCAGCACTCGGGAGGCAGAGGCCGGCGGATCTCTGTGAGTTCGAGGCCAGCCTGGGCTACCAAGTGAGTCCCAGGAAAGGCGCAAAGCTACACAGAGAAACCCTGTCTCGAAAAACCAAAAAAAAAAAAAAAAATTGAAGGTGGAGGACTCTGTTTTGGTGGTCTTATCCATTTCTCTATAGATGTCTTGCTTGGTTTTAAAATTCTCGTGGCTGTTTTCACTTCAGATACTGCCTTTAAACCCCCTCTCTATCTCTTTTTCAAATCAGAGATTAATATTTTCTGTAGTATCCTACATAAGGTGTTTTGTTTGTTTGTTTGTTTTTTTGTTTGTTTTTTTTTTTAGTTGTTGTTGTTGATTGTTGGAGGCACTTGTGGAAGTGAGAGAACAACTTTCTCTTTCCACCCTCTTTTGAGGTAGGGTCTTTCTTGCTTCTACCACCCTGAATATCCATGGTAACTGCCCACATGCTTCATGGTGATTGTCTTGTTCCACTTCTCAATCACCGTAGTGCTGTGGTTACAGATGAACACTACCCGATCCAGGACCAAACTCAGGTCATCTGGCTTGTGAGACAAAGCAGTTTCTCCCACTGAGCCATCTCATCAACCCTGATCCTGTTCGTACTGTATTCATTCTGGTGCTTAAAATGTAGAATGATTTTAGTTTTAGAAATTTAACTTTTAGGTTCTAGAGTAGCATTTTTTTTTTTTTTTTTTGGTTGTGAATCTAGCCCTTGACAGCTGAGCCATCTTTCCAGCCCTAGAATGTACATTTAAATCTCTCTTAAGGATTTAGTTTTTCTTCTCTTGGTTTGGTTTTTGTTGCTGTTTGTTCTTTGTTTTGGTTGTGTTTTGTTTTTGTTTGTTTGTTTGTTTGTTTGGGTTTTTTTGATACAGAAGGTCTTGCTGTGTTGCCATGCCTAGACTGAAACTTACTATGTAGCCCAGACCAAATACCTTCCTCCTGAATGCTGGGTTACATATATGTACCACCATCTCCACCTGAGATAGAAGTGTCTTTTAAACCATTGAGTCCTCTCACACACCTGCTGCATTCAGAGGAACCTGCTGCCCCTTCTGTTCTCATAACAGAACACTGGGACACTTTACTGTTTTCTGGCCTTTCTACCTTAGTGTCTATTCATTTCCTGTTCTCCTTCTACCACAGGGACTTTTAAATATCGTGTTTACTTAGAATCATTCCTTTCTTTGTTGACTTTAAATCTCATTTTTAAAATCTTTTCTCATAAAGTAACTTTCGTAAGGTTACTCCTTTCCTACTGTCCTAAGTAGCTTCTAAGGCTGTGTTCTCCCTACACCAATTATTTTACCTGACTGCAAGTTCCACACCTAGAGAAACATACAGACATTTGGTGTAGTATATACCACTTGTAGGTTAGTAAACATTCTGAATGGATAAATTTCTTGATTTTAGCTTGACAAGCTATTTTTTATCTTTGCCGAGTGGTTTAAACAAAGGTGAGTTTTTAAAACTAGAAACTGAAAGGAACTTTAATTTAGTAAAGCAAAATATCTTTCAAAGATGAATCCTAAAGGATTCAAACATGAAGGCAAAGTAAAATGTCTCTCTTGGGGCTGGAGAGTTGGTTCACTGGTTAAATAGCACTCACTTGCTATTCTTCCAGAGTACCTGAGTTCCAGCAACCACATCAGGAAACATCCACCTGTAACTCCATATTCAGGGAATCGGATGCCCTATTCTGGACTCAGTAGGCACGTGCACCGCATGGCAGACACTCATATATACACATAAATAAAAGTAAAATAAAGCTAATTGTTAATGTCATTTTCATATTTCGCATCTAGTTTGGCACTGTAGTCTCATCTTTGTTGAAGACCCTGCAGAATAGGGAACGATATTTGGCAGTTCTAACAGAAGCTTTATATCCAGACTGTATAAAAAACTTAAGAAGCTGGTCTGTGGAGGCAGGAGGACTCCAAGACTAGCCTGAGCTACCTAAGACCCTATCTCCAAAACAATAAGACAAGAAAGGAAAAAGGAAAGGGCAGGACTTGGAGGCTGAGGCAGGATTGAAGTTCAAGGCATGGCTGAAATACATAATGAAACACTGTCTCAAAAAAAAAAAGGAAAAAAGAAACAAGTAGGGGCCTGGAGAGATGGCTCAGCGGTTAAGAGCACCGACTGCTCTTCCAGAGGTCCTGAGTTCAATTCCCAGCACCCACATGGTGGCTCACAACCATCTGTAATGAGATCTGGCACCCTCTTCTGTGCACATAATAAATAAATAAATCTTTAAAAAAAAAAAAAAAAGAAACAAGTAATCCAATGTTTTTAATGAGTAAATTATCTAAACAAACACTTCACAAAAGAATAAACAAGCATGTCCAAACAGATATTTGAGAAGGTGCTCAATATTATTGATGGTCAGAAAACTGTAAATCTAGACCACAGTTATCTTCTGTCATAAGTATCTTTAAACAAAGAAGAAAAAATATGTGTTGATGAGGAAGATGTATGAGAAAGAAACTCCTTTCTTTAACTTTTATTGATTCTTTGTGGATTTCACATCATTCATTCCAATCCCACTTATCTTCACCTCCCCTCAAATCCACCCTCTGCCCTTGCAAACTCCCCCACAAAACAAAACTAAATAATTTAAAAGAAAAACCAAACAAAACGAGAGAGAGAGGGGAGAGAGAATCTTGTTGTGGAAACTGTAGTGTGGCCTGCTGACTCACAAGGTTTACTCTTTAATCTGTTCATCTTTACTTGCAAGTGTTCATTGCCACGAGTCATTGGTCTGGCTCGAGGCCTCTGGCTTCTGCTACCCCACGGATACACCGATAAAGGGCTCTCGCTGGGGCTCCTCTTGCCAATCCTGTTGTTGTCCTGTGTCGTGGAGATCCTGCTTTTTGGATCTGTAGGTTCATCCCCTTCACCTGCTCCAACAGTTCACAGATGAGGTGGATGTTGGGGTGGGCCATCTCTTAGCTCTGGTTCTGGGCCTGAGTGGTAGCTGAGTTGGTCAGTCCACCAGCTTCCACCAGCTTTCCCTCATCCTCACTACCCCGCTCTCCAGCACTGCCTCATCCAGCTCACCCAGTGCAGCCTGCAGCAAGGAGCGGGGCCAGTTCTCCTGCTCTCGGGTCCTCAGAACCGAGTCATTCTCATTCACACCACCAGGGCCAGCTCTACTCTTTTGCCCAGGTGAGGTGCAAGGATCCTCTCTCCTGATTGCTCTAAGGGGCATACGGGAGGCAGGGAGTATCAGCTCTCCCGGGTGCAGCCAGTGAGGGTCAGGGCTAGTTCTCCCACTCTTGTGACCCTAGGACCAAGTCTCTCACCTGCCACAGGTAGTAACAGGTGAGGGAGGAAGGCATCTCTCACCCATGCCACCACATAGTAGTTGAGGGTGGGGTTGTCAGCTCTCCTGCTCTCGCACCCTCAGGGTCGGCTCTAGTTTGGTGCCCATGGGAAAGGAACTCTTTACACTGTCAGTGGCAATACTTAGTGTAACTCCTGTAGAGAGAACGAAAAGTTCCTCATATAGCTAAACAATAGAACTAGTGTGTGCTGGTGCTATCTCACTCCTCAGTGGACAGCCACAGAAATGAAGTCAGAAACCAGAGAGATAGTGCATGTTGTTTTTTTCTGCTTTAACAAATAGCTAAGATCCGAAGTCAGTCTGAGGCCCATTAATAGGTAAAAGGATGATGGTACATAATACTCAGGAGTATTAAGCCATAACAGAGGTCAAATCCTGACACTTGACCAAAGTGGATGGAACTGGAAGACATTACACTAAGGTAATCCAGTCTGACACACAAAGACAAGTGTGGCATGTTCTCTTTTCTGTGGCAGCTAAAGCAGTATTCACCTGAAAACAGGGTTAAGATTATTCAAGGCTAGGAAAGGCATGAAGGAGAGTGCAGAAATGAAGATATGATAATGCATGTTGCATGAATGCATAGAATAGCATCCTGATCTCCATAAGTATATACAGTTAATATCTTTTGGGGTGGTGGTGGTGTTTTAGCAAGCCCAGTGGAGTGACACATAATGTAATCCCAGCACTTGAGAGTCCGAGATAACTGAGAGTTCAATCCCAACCTGTAAAGCAAAATCCTATGTCAAAACGGCAAGAGGATGGTGGGGAGGAGAGCAAGAAAGGACAGAGAAGTGAAGGAGAAAGGAAAGGACAAAGAAAAGCAACCTCTCAGGCTGGGCTGCAGCTCAGTTGTGGTGAGATGTGTGAGGCCAGGCAGTCTCGTTTCAAAGTGCACGTTTTCACACATGCTGGCAGCCTGCCCATTTCCTTTCTGTTATTCCCAATGACTTCATTTTATCACTTTGTGGATCTAGCAGATAATTTTAAAGTGAGTATGCACCTGATAAAGTGGTGGTTTTCCCTAAAATGTGTTGGTATAAAACATTTTAATGAGGAAAAAGGAAATGATGAATTTGTTTATTTCCACAGTGTTCAAAGAATTGCTCAGTAGGACTGAACAAGAGAAATCTGGTGTTCCTCATATTCCCAAAATTGCTGAAAAAAAAAGTAATCGCCATTCAATCCAGGATGTCCCAGGAGATATTGAACAGACATCGCAGGAGAAAGGGAATAAGAAAGTTAAAGCAAACACCGTTTCAGGGGGAAGAAACAAAATCAGAAAAATTTTGGATAAAACAAGATTTAGTATCTTGCCTCCAAAACTATTTAGGTAGGTAGTACCAATCGATTGTGTCAGATTGTCATATTAACTGAAGTTTTTATTGTAGGGATAAGAGATGTGAGTCATGTTTGTTTTATACATCATAAAATCTTCAATAATAGATGAGTAAAATCTAAAACTCTCCCCGTTATCTCTGTGGATTTATCACTGTTTAGTAGCTTTTAGTGTTGTGAATTTTAGAAAAGACTGTTTCGTGTTGTGCGTTTTTATGTTTTGGGTCCAATTTCAATCACTGGATCTATAAATTTGGACATGTTGAATTTTGGGGCACATTCATTGCTAGATTGCTCATTTCTAGAGCTCATTGCTCATTCATTTCTAAGTCACTGCTTTCATTAAGGTGAGTAGGTTATAGAAACATAACTTTAAAATAGCAAAAATATTTAATATTATACATATCACAAACAGTGAGACCAGTAGAGGCTGGGTGAAAAGACTATTAAAGGGGTAGCCCACACTAAAGAAGTTGGGGAGTTTGAGATGACCAGAAGTCACTGTGGAAAGGGAAAAATAATCTAAGGGCCAGAAAGCAGAAAATAATTCACATGGAGAGTTCTTTAGCAGGTAATAATCTTGAGTTTCATTTCCAGAAGCCCTGATCGATTGGTCTGGAATGTGTACATTGTTGTGACTGGTGGCACAGTTGTGTCATATATCATCTAAAATCAGAGACTGTTATAATTGTGACCCTTTCTGAGCAGCTGAATCAATGGCATGCATATTCTTTGGAGAGAGGAAGTAGGTTGCTAGGCGTAGACTCCAAGTTCATGGCAGGAGACAGAAGTTGCTATCACCAGGGACAGTTAGTTGAGCACTTCCCACATGATGACTTTGTATTGGGAACAAAGGAAGAAAAAATCTACTAGAAATGGGTTTGTTTAAATTCAGAATATATTTTTATTTAGTTTTTCATTTATTAATCAGTAAGCATTTTGAGTTTTTTGCTTTGTGCCTCAAGAAGTTGTTAGCTAAATACAAGCATGAATAAAAATGTGCTAAACATCTCTTCTATTCATGCAGTAGAGTAAAATGTCAATCATTTCAGTCACTGAAATCCTAAGAGATAGATTAGAGTCATATAAATTTCTGAAGCCAGTTTTATAAGAGCTACTTTCTCGTTTTTATCTGTCTGACCAGCTACTCTGTGTTTTTGAGACCATGTATTATTATTTTAACAGTCAAATCATTTAAAGTGAATTTGAATAAATTTTTCTTGCAGTTTTTGGGAGGCCTTCCCCATGCAAGGCAAGTGTTCTGCCATTGAACCATAGTACTAGTTCTTGGCTTTTTTTTTTTTTTTTTTTTAAACAAGGTCTCCCCATGTAGTTCTGGCCCGTATTGTATTCTTTCTGTAGCCCTGCCTAATCTCAAACTCTTCAGCCCCTCTTGCCTCTTATTCCCAATTGCTAGAAACAGGTATGCACCACCACGTCCAGCAAATGATTTTTTTGGCAAAAGTTTGCAGTCTAGCTAGATATAGGAACTTATGTTACAAGCCTAGCATTCAGAAACTCACCCAACTAATTGGCCATTTTGCAGAGAACACAAACAGGAAATGGAATGAGACTATAAACACCCAAAGTCTGTTCCCAGTGATGTACTCCCTCCAGCAAGGCCACACTATCTAAGCCTCCCTAGACAGTACTACCAACTGGGTGATAAAGTGTTCAAATATGTAAGCCTATAGGGGACATAGTGATTCAAACCACTACAGAGATTCACCTTTCTGAAGAACTTAAGTCACTTACGGATGAAAACATCACTGTGATGTCAAGTAGATAATAGACAGAGAATGCGACTTCAAATGATCCATATAGATGTTTATCCAAAGATGCAACACCCTTTCCATGGAGCTTGGTGGTGGTGGTGGTGGTGGTGGTGGTGGTGGTGGTGGTGGTGGTGGTGGTGGTGGTGGTGGTGGTGGTGGTGGTGGTGGTGGTGGTGGTGCCGCCCTGTTGTGTTGCCCATGCTGGCCTCAAACTCCTGTAGTCTTGTACTCATAAGAGCTAGGAGTACACTGAAAGTCCAAGTACAGGAAAGTGGTTAGCTAAGTGGTATGTTAGACACAAAAATTATCAAGGACAGATGTCCAAGTGTCTGCTTTGGGTTTGTTTTTTTATATATATACAAAGTACAAATAAGTTTTCCCTCTTTCTTCCTGTATCTTCCAAGTTTCCTGCTTTAAACATTTGGATTCTTTTAATTGAAATTAAAAATTAAGTAATTTTGCCAGGTACTGGTAGTGTACACCTTTAATCCCAGCACTAGGGTGGCAGAGGCAGGCAGATTTCTGAGTTAGAGGCTAGCCTGGTCTACAGAGCAAGTTCCAGGACAGCCAGGGCTACAAAGAGAAACCGTCTCAAAAAATAATAATAATTTTAATTCTATAATTTCTGATTATCTTTTGTGTGCCAGAACTCCTTAGGAGAGGCATGAAGACAGACTCCTCCCCACATAGCCCCAGAGAAGCTGTCACAGACAGCAGCATCTGTGGGAGCAAGAAGGAAAGAATGTAAAAAAAGTAGATACTTCTGATAAAAGTAGATAACACTTAAATCTCAAGCAATTACATACTTTTAAAGTGGAAAATTATTCTTAAAAGTCAAAGTGAAGATAAGTTATTGATCTGAGGGACATCTGTAAACTGTGACATAAAAGTACACTTTTTATTAACCTGAGAATATTTGGCTGTTCAGGAAATTTCCCTTTTTGTTTTTTTGGGTTTTTTTTTTTTTGCACTCAACTTTTATTCTGTATCTTTCTAGAAATGCACTGCTTTGTTTTGTGCATCAAGACTATTTTTCTCTCCAAATGTCAGTATATTTTTTGTTTGCTTTTAATATTGGGGTTATTTTTCGTATGCACATTGGTGCTGTTTTGTGGCCTCTTTGGTTTCATTATGAAACTAATTGCTTTTATTCTAAATAAATTTAGTGTCAGGGAACTAATTATTGAGGAATTTTTCAAAAATGTCTTGTTTCTGTTACTGCATCACCTCTCAGGAGACTGTTTTGGTAAGAAATGACATAATTATTTCTCAAATAGGCTTTATCAGTTCAAGTTTAAGCATGGATTTTTTTGCCAATTGTTTCATTCCTGTCATAGCTTGAATTGTGCCTGACAGAGTTTTCATCTCTACATGCTCACACCCTAATTACCATGAATTTATAGCCTGCTATTACATGAGTATAGCTAGATAGTGTTGTATCTGTTCATTATTAAAGGAGAATTAATGTTAAGTGGCATCAGTGACAATAGTACGTATTAAGAATTTTTAATCTTCTGTGGACTTTGTCTCTATAGTGAATTCTCTTTAACAAAAAATTCTGACTTAGTGCTGGGGACATGGCCTAACTGGCAGAGTGTTTGCCCAGCATCTGAAAGGCTGTGGGTTTGATCCTAGGCACCACATAATCCAGATGTGGTGCTGCAGGCATGGAATACCAACACTTTGGAGGAGGAGGCAGAAGGATCAGGCATTCAAAGTCATTCTCTCTAGTAGAATGTTGAAAGTCAGCCAAGGCTACATGAGACCTTGTATCAAAAAATAATGCTAATTTTAATTGTGTTGTAGTTCTGCTTTGTTAATGAGAGTGGATCACCTCTTTAAAGGTTTGTTTCCTTGGGTTCAGTTACCTGACCTTATGAATCCAAACACTGGTGTGTTTGTTTGCAGAAACAGTTAGAGAAAGACTATTGTTTAAACATACGCCTTTATACTTTTTATGATTTAAATACGCGACAGCATTTCTTTTCTCCTCTTAGCTTATCTTCAAATGTTTATTTGTGACAGCTAGCAGTGCCGACCAAGTTGTAGAGAGCTAGTTTAGGGTAAGCATGAATTACTTACCAAATAAAACCTTACTTCTCCCAAGAGTCGATTGATGTTTCTCCCTGGGAATAAATAACATTATTTATATCAGTTGTATTGTTGTGCCTCTACTTCTCAGTGTCAGTTAAAATAAATGTTCCTCCTCTCTAGTTTTGAATTGCTCTCGTTTTAATTTGGTAAAAGTACTTGGCTCTCTTCATAAGAATAGGAATATCATTTTTCATCTGCTTTAGCTGACTTAGTCCTTATAGTAGGCTTCAACCAATGGCAAGCTAGAGAAAGGAATTCATCTGAGACAACGAGCTAATTAACAGTCTGTCTGCCATCACTGTGTGTTCCTTCCATGCCACCCTTCTTGCCTCCCTGACTGTGCAGCCCTCTCTTGGCCTGGCTGTCTTTTTCTTGCTGTTAATAGCCCCTTACTTTGCATCTTATTTCATTTCATAGTCTGCCTAAATCTTATATTTTGCTTTAATATATTCTGTATATTCCATATCACTCATTTTTTTTTTTAGATTGTAGTTTAATCTTTTCCATGGCAATAGGTAAGTGTTTTGTGATCCTCTGTTTGTATATCAAGAACAGTACAGGAGGCTATGCTGAGTAAAATTTACATGGGAATAGATACTAAGGAACACATTTCAACATAAGTGAATTTAGGGAGAGAACTCTTATTTTGGTTATTGGTGATGATGGAAATCTTTTCCACTGTGATCTTAAGTTCTGTAGAACAGTTTTACTTTATAATTAAACTAATATTGGGGAAATACACAAAGTTTAACTGACAGTGTTTATATTTTTCCTTCCAGAGATTTTAGAATTACCTGTGTAATAGTTCTAAGTGTTTTAAAAGAAGAATTTCTTGTTGCCCTAGGTAATGGCTTTTTAGTTAATACGTGTTTTTGAAACCTTAAAAGAGAACCAACTCTTACTGACTTCAATCATCTTGTGATTATCATGTGTTTGGAGGGACATTTCCTGTGGTGTGGCTATGTATAGCTCGGTAAATATATTTGAAATTTGAGACTGGCAAATTTCAAGCAGTCCCTAAACATTCAGACTGAGTTTTTCTACCAAAACCAGAGGAAACAAATTCAACATTATTTGTGATATAGTAGAATCCTTCCATTTTATATTTCATTTTAATGTAATTTTCAAAAATATTTCATTGCTTTTTCTTCATTATAGTTACTCTTTGGTTGCTGAAATGTTTTAATCTTAACTGATTAAGTCATCATTCTGAATTGATCTTGTTATGCCTTTGTGCATAGGAGTCCAAATTGTTTGCTATGTAAGTGCCCTCTAATACTTGAAAGTGATATGTGTCTTTCTTTTGAAGTGATGGAGGCCTGAGCCAATCACAAGATGACAGCATCGTGGGAACCAGGCACTGTAGGCACAGCCTGGCTATAATGCCAATTCCTGGAACTCTCTCATCCAGCAGCCCAGATCTCTTGCAGCCCACCACCAGCATGTTGGACTTTTCCAATCCTTCAGGTAATGTTTCCATGTGACATCATGTGGCCAGATTGGTATCTAATACATAGTCACCTGAGCCTTGAGCCACAGATATTGGATTTACCTGCAGATTTTACCTGTGGGGTTTGACTTCATGCAAAAAGCCAGGGAAAATTATGTCTTTTTACCAAAGCAGGTTACTGCCTTCTAAACTGAAACTTCATAATAAAAGAACCTCAGTGGTATTTTATTTCAGCACCTGAAGCTAAAGTTGTTTGGGGTTTGTTTTTTTTTGGGGGGGGGCGCGTTGTGGAGGGGTGGTTTAGGTTTTGGTTTGGTCAAGAATTATTATCAGAGTATAACATTTTTTTCACTACTAATGATTTTCAGTATGGAACATCAAGTTGTTTTCTGTTTGTATTGGTGCCCAGAGGTATAAAAATGTCACATAAGTATATGATCTAAAATTTCATTGTAAAGAATGGATTATATACCATACATCACTTTTCTTTTCAAGAAAAGACAAAATTAAAAACTGAATATGTAATTGAATCCAAGGGAGATGGGGGAAATGATCCCTCAGTGTTTCTGATTCAGCCTAAGTTTTCAGTTCTAATGCACAGAGGAAGGGAGTTCATTCACAAATATTTCAGTGCCCAAAAGAAAATATAAGTGTATTTATAAAGTTTGTGTTTTCCTATAAAAACCCTTTAACACAACAGAAAACATTTACTGAAGGTTGAACTGTACATTATTTCTTGTTTTGTTTTGTTTTTTTATAGCAACCTAAAAACTCCCAAGGTTTAACAAAAACACAGATTAATGAAAGTAGTTATGTACATTGTTTGCTTCCATTCCCTACTCACGCTAGAGTTACTGCACTCAGCAAGCTGGTGTTGCACATCCTTTTTTCTGTAAGGCTGTCAAGACTGCATAGAAGAGAATGATTGCTTTGCTTTGAAAGTTCTAGCAGTTCCTGTTATTAGTGAGGGGTGTGTCAGGAGACAAATCAGAAATAAATACAGAACTGGCTGCCAGTATATAAAATTAAGTCTTTGCTTTCAGAAAAGGTAAACACTAAGGTGTCACAGAAGCAGGAAAAGAGCAGGCTGGGTTCAGTTCTGTGCTCGGGAAGAAATGCCTGTACCAGGATGAGGACGTGTTTTGGGGATGAACCTTCTTTCTAGCCACCTGTTCTGACAACCTGTTGCTTCATCATCTCTTGAGAGTGGCACGTGCTTTAAGGCTGCCTCCGTGTGCTTTGCCACCTGTAGGTTCTCTCTGCATGTCCAGTGTGCTGTTTCTTACTCTGATGTGTTTGTTATTCTCCAGTGCTCAAGCCCAGATCCCCTACATTATCACTTCAGCACATTTTAATGACTTCTCATCTTCATCATGTGGTAGAATCAAAATCTGTTTTTCTTTGTGTGTAGGTGTTCTATCTACAGTGGTATTTCTTACACTCTGTTCACAAATAAAAGATTTTTATACTCCCAGAGAATAACCTAAATACACATATTTTTTTGAAAGCAGTTATTTAGAAAGGGCATATGATTTTATGGATTTGCTTGTCTTATGGCTATATTGCTGTCCTAAGCATTTATAGATACTAGAGATGAAGACAGTCCAGCACAATGCCTCAGAAAGTTAAGGCACTTGCTGCCAAGTCTGACAACCAGAGTTTTGTCCTTGGAATCCACGTGGTAGTAGAGAACTGACTCCTGCATGCCATCCTCTGACCTCCACATGCATGCATACACAAAATAAATGAGTAAACAATTAGAAAGTGATGCTGAAGGAATAAAGAAGAACTTAAGGGAAAGAAGAGCAAGACGTGGACAAAGTAGGTAGACGGTATTCCACCTGTAGAAGTGAGGAGCAGGTGCTTCTCAAATTGCTCTCAGATTGGTTTCTCAGTTCTGTCCTTGACAACATCTTGAAAGGACTCAGAGATGCTTTTTAAATCTGCATAGAGAAAGTCTAATGCGGCTGAGACTGCAGCATATGTGAGTGTCAGTGATACAGCTGGACACACCTATCAGATAGATAGTTCACGTTTGGGACCCCCAGATGTACAGCTTTTTGAGAGACTTATCTAGTAATATGTTATTTGTATTTTTGTTGGGAAAAGTTATTACCAGTTTCAAATTCAGCTTCTTACATTTAACAGCAATACTAAAACTTACTCTGGGCACATACTTGACTGCAGGGAGCATGTGTCCTTAGTCAGCATTTATTGATGTTCGTGATTCTGTATACGTAAAGTTCTTATTGGATCATAGTCACCATGCAGGCCAAGCTGCAGAACTACTGAATAGTTTGATCTGATTGCTGACTTTTTATAATTTTGCTTTATTTTTGCTGCCTACAGCTGTTGGTTTTTACTGTAAGTATCTTGGTATTCTTTTGTCTTTTGTGTGTAGTTTGTTATTTTCTAAAAGATCATATGATAGAGAACTCAGTGAAGTAGGAAGCAGAGTTCTTCTTTCACTTGTGAGGTCGCGCTCATTGGTGGGAATCCTTTTACTTATTTTCAATAACTGTATATGTTTCTGTCTTCATATAGAGTCATATACATGCCACTTCACAACTTGTGAAAAGTTTTTTGAAATTTTATTTTCCTTTTTGTGTGTGTGTGTGTGTGTGTAGATGAACATGTGTCGTGGAATGCTTGTGGAAGTATTTTTCATGTAACGTAAGTTGAAGCTTAAAGAATTCAGAGGATGGAACTGGGGATGAAGCTTAGAGTGCTCACTTAGCATGTAGAAGGCTGAGTTCAGTCTCTGCAGCTTTCATAGCTGTCATGGTGGCACAGGCTTGTAATCCCAGAAGTTAGGTGGTAGATCAGAAGTTGAAGGCCAGTCTCAGCTACATGGCAAGTTTGAGGCCAGCCTGGGCTACATAAGACCCATCTCAAAAAAAAAAGAAAAAAGAAAAAAAAATTCAGCGTGGCTAAATAAAATTTGAATGTGAACTTCCCCTCCCCACCCCCGAGTTTACGTACAGAGCTCTTTTTGGTTACTTTTTCACTTGGTAGCTGAAATACTATTTATTTGATGTAGCAAACTTTATTTTTTTCTGTACTTAAAGCCTTTTTGCTGCTTTTTAATTTTAATTACAGGTATCATACACTTTTTTTTTAGTAAAACTTTAGAGAAAGAGTAAGTACAAGTGTCTCCACCCCTCACATTTTATAGTGACTAATTTACTTAGATCTTTTCACAAATTTCATTGAATGTAAAATGTGGTACTGATTGATCCCTTTGATTTAAATGAGATGGTACACACTTCCACTCACCATTTTATGTAACAGAGTTTCTTAAATATTTGTGTATCTGTATGTGGTGTTCTACATTTATGCCTCCAATCATGGGCATTTGAGTTTTTGCTATGTCTTTGTGTTCATGGATTCCCACCTGTTTTATATTTGCATTGTTTTATGGAAAGTTTTGTCTTGTTGTAAAAGTACATTAAAATAAGTAAAATACTCACTATTTAGCCCTTGATATGAGTAGAGCAAGTCTGGCAGTTCTTGGCCTTTTCTAGTCTATCCTAACCTTTGATGTGTGTGTTAGCACACCCCTAGTCACCTTGTGAGCTGTCCTGCTTGTCACTGTCTTTCCTTGACCACTTTCCACTCCCTTGAATGTTAGTGAATTTCCTGAGGGCAGATATTATCTACCTCCTTTACCACTATGTTTTCATCACTTGGAACACTGTAGATACACAAGTACTCAGCAAAGAAAAATGTCGAGAGTGAAAAAGCAAACTTTATTTTCCAAAAGATCCTTCTAAGTACCTGAAAAAATATTCTGTCTTTACTGTAATCTCAAGGTCAGTACCTCCTTAAAAGGTTTTGTTTTTGAAACAGGGTTTCTGTGTGCAGCCCTGACTGTCCTGGAACTTGCTTGGTAAACCAGGCTGCCCCTCACTCAGATCTGCATGCTTTTTCCTCCCAAGTGCCAGGATGAAAGATGTACACCACCACACCCAGCTTCCTAAAAGTGTTTATTTATTTTATACATACCAAATTAAAGTTATCATTCTAGAGGCCGGAGCAGTGCTCAGCAGTCACGAGCACTGACTGCTCTTTCAGGGATCCACAGTCAGTCAGTTCCATGGGATTCAGTGGAACTGCTCGAACGTTGTGCTCATCTGTACAGACAAGCACACACACATGCAAATGAATAAATAATCTTTAAAAATAAATTAAGTTAGCACTCCAGAAATGTGTTTCTAGCTTCAAAGTCCAGATATCTAGAGTTTCTGTTTGTTTCATTTGTCTAATTTGTTTTCTTAAAATCTGAGGGTCTGGAAAGAGGGCTCAGAGATTAAAAGAACTGGCTGCTCTTCCAAAGATCCTAAGTTCAAGTCCCAGCAACCTCATAGTAGCTCACAACCATCTGTAATGAGATCTGGTGCCCTCTTCTGGTGTGCAGGCATACATGCCAGCAGAATACTGTATACATAATAATTTTTTAAAAAGCATGTATTATATAAAAATAAAATCTGAGGGCTGATGAGATGGCTCAGCAGATAAGGGCATACTTGCCACTAAGCCTGCCCACCTAAATTCTGTCCCTGGGACCCACGTGGTGGAAAGAGAGAGACCAACTCCCAAATTTTGTTCTGCTTTTCACATAAGTGCTGTGGCACATGTTTGCCCCGCCACCCATATACCAGTCACACAAAATAAATAAACAAATCAAGTATATAGATAAAAATTATGAATCTCTGGGCTAATAAATACTGTACACGTCTAAGGTCTTTTAAAGCATGTCTTTCTGGGACTGCAATGATAGCTTGGTGGCAAAACTCTTGCCTAGCATATATAAAAGCCCTATGTTTGATGCCCAATACCACCATCACCACCCCAAAAAAAGAACTTTTCTTTTTAATGGAATTTTTTGTGTATGCATTTTCGCTTCATGACTAGACTTTAAGGTGATTAAACCATTTTTCCTGTTTGATTCTTTTGATCTCATATTTACTGTTAATCTAATTCTATATCATGAGTACATCTGTCATGAGCCAAATATTATGTTTGGCTCTGTCTATGATTCTTCATCTGGCAGTGTGTTTGCAATGTATGTACAGTGATTCTAAAATAAACAAAGATTATACTCTTGCTGGTGCCTATGAAGAGAAATTGTTTTCTTCTGATCTCACTGGTTTCCAGGTTGGTTTTCATGACATTGGTAGATTCATCAGTGTTTTGGTTGTGATGCCTTTGGGTAATCCTATTTATAGATTTCTTCTAGCACCTTTTTTTTTAATACTTGACTTTCTGTTATGTGACTACAGAACAATTTGTCTTTTCCTCTGAGGAACAAATGGCTTTAGAAAGTACAGCTTTTTAGCCTTGTTCAAGATACACAACTTTGTGTTCCCAAAAACAGAGAGTGAAGTTGTGCAAATCCCCACCTGTGGTGAATATATTTCCCTAAAGATGGTAATAATGGGATAGACCTTTTGCCATGCCCTCAAGGTCAGCCAGGATCTCTTGCTGAGGCTTAGACTCCAAAGCTCTATCAGAGAAATCCACTTTTGGAGCTTAGTGCTGCCCAGTTCATTAAGAGTGTAGGGACAAGCAAGTACGATTTGGTTCTTTTTTTTTTTTTTTTTGCTCACTTTCCTTCTGACAACCAGACTTCCGTTTGCTGACAGTAATTTCCAGCACTAGGCAGAGAAGCATGCCTGATTTGGGTGAATTATAAAACTGTCTAACCTTAAGTTACATAAGTTCAAGAATAATGGTGCTATTAGCTACACATTAGAGACTCACTCATTGGCAAGAAATCTGAGCAAGAAGTATTGTTGACTCCGATCTTTAAATACATCAAAGAAAGACAACTTGGTACCTCTTTCTAGAACAGAGACTACTGAGTACCCAGAGCAAGTAAAATTACATCCACGTATATTCAGTTGGATCTTTTAGTCTTGGGAGCTGATTTCTTTCTTGTTCTCATTTTCAGGGCACGAGGACATGGGGGTATTTTATTCTGTAGAATTATTTCCTGCTATTCTTGTTTCATTATTCTCATCTTCCCTTTTGAGACAGTTTTGTTTTGTTTCTTTAAGCTAGTGTTGCTTGTGGTACTAAGAAACAGTGTTGAACAAACAGGATAAAGTTACTGCCATCATCAGTAGTCGCAGCAATAAATATTCCTATTTGTAAATGCAACTTATTTTCATATGGAAACATAGCATTTGTTTATGCTGTCATGTCGCTCTTCATTTGTAGTGCCTGTCATTGCGGTAAGCATTATTCTGGAGGTGTGAATTCTTCCCTTGGAAGAGAAGCAAGACAGAAGGAGAAAATGTTTATACATGCATATCATAGGAACATATCTTTGTTACTTATTTGCTGGTAACAAAATCTCAGAACAGAGTTTGAAGTGTTTTATCATATAGACGTTTAAATACTTTCCTCTTAAAAAATAAAATAAATTTAAGCCAGGCGGTGGTGGCGCACGCCTTTAATCCCAGCACTCGGGAGGCAGAGCCAGGCGGATCTCTGTGAGTTCGAGGCCAGCCTGGGCTACCAAGTGAGTTCCAGGAGAGGCGCAAAGCTACACAGAGAAACCCTGACTCGAAAAACCAAAAAAAAAAAAAAATAAAAAATAAAAAATAAAATAAAATAAAATAAATTTAATATAAAGCTTAGAAAATGGGCTGCAGAGAAGATGACGCAGTAGGTGAAGCGTTTGTTGTATAAACAAGAGGACCTGAGTTTAATACCTAGCATTCATGTTTTTGTTTTTGTTTTGTTTTGTTTTTTTAAAAAGCTTGAGTGCTGCAGTACACACCAACCATCTCAGGGCTGGAGAAGTGGCGAGTAGGAAGGTCCTTGGGGTTCTCACTGACTAATCAATCTAGCAGAATCAAGGCGCCTCCAGGTTCAGTGAGAGACCCTTCCTCAAAAGACAGGTAGAGAATCATTGAAGAAGATAACTAATGTTAACCTCTAGCTCTACATGCACACTCCACAAACTCACATATAAACAGAAACACAAATAACATGCCCCCAAAAAAATAAGAAAAACAATAAAAGCTAGGAAAACAATTGCTACTTTATGTAGTGTTGGTGTCTTAATGTGACTCAGGAAGAGGACACACAGGCGGTACCAAGAAGTATTGGAAGCTAGATGTGGTGGTGCACACCTTTAAAACCCTGGCACTTGGGAGGTAGAGGCAGAAGGGTCTCTATGAGTGTAAAGGCAGCCTGGTCTACATAGCGAGCTCCAGAACCACCAATATTACATAGAGAGACCCTGTCTCAGGAAAACAAAACAAAAAAACAGTGTTGAAGACGAGAAAAGCCTTTCAAAATAGCAGTAAGGAAGGAAGGAAGGGAGGGAGGGAGGGAGGAAGGGAAGGGAGGGAGGGAGGGAGGAAGGAAGGGAGGGAGGGAGGGAGGGGGGGGAAGGGAGGGAGGGAGGGAGGAAGGAGAAAGAAAGAAAGAGAGAGAGAGAGAGAGAGAGAGAGAGAGAGAGAGAGAGAGAGAGAGAGAGAGAGAGAGAAAGAAAGAAAGAAAGAAAGAAAGAAAGTGATGAGCGGTTTTAATGGAGGCATGGCCAAATTTGCTGTCTCACATTCTAAGATTATAAAACACAACCTCTGGTGAAGGATTGGAAACTGTTTTCAAGACCTGAAAATATACATGCCTTTTCAGAGACCTTTTGAGAGTTCTCACTGAAGAGCTGGTCAGATTCCTTAAAAGGATAAAATTTTATCTACTGTAGGGGGGTCTGTATCATATCCTTTGTCGTGATAGAAAATGGTAATCCCATGATGGTTGACTCCAAGGAGATCAGTGCATCTAGGCCCCAGTAGCACCTGCGCTTGTATGCACATGCACACACACAATACATATGGACTACTGTCCCTTCATCCTTACTAAAAAAACAACTTGTTGGCTAGAGAGATAACAATAAATGTTTATAATGTCTTTAAAATGTTTTCTAAATTGTCACAATTTTTATCATGGTGAACTTCTATTGGTATCTTTCATCTGAAGAAAATGGATACATTTTTGTCATATCCTGTGTGAAATAGAAATGTATATTCCATTGTTTGGAGGGATCCATGTACTCCAAGTTGCTTATTGGAGTTTTTAAATGTTACTTTTTAAAATACTAAGGTTCATCTTTGTGTTTATATAGATATTCCTGATCAAGTTATAAGAGTTTTCAAAGCAGATCAACAGAGTTGCTACATTATCATCAGTAAAGATACCACAGCTAAAGAAGTGGTCTGCCAAGCTGTTCAGGAATTTGGTTTGACTGGTGCATCTGAGACATATTCTCTCTGTGAAGTTTCTGTTACTCCTGAGGGTGTCATAAAGCAGAGAAGACTTCCGGACCAGTTCTCCAAATTAGCTGATAGAATTCAACTCAATGGAAGGTGAACAAGCTTATTCCTGAATATGCAAAGTGCTATTTGTAGATTCCCTATAAAAATGAGTGTTTTAGGTAGAAACATCATGCTGCTTTGCTACTTAGTTCTAAGATTAAAATGGAATTTCTCTTCTTGTCAAATTTTTGTCTTCAAATTACATAAATAGAATCTTAGAAGGGTCCTTAGTCTGCCATAAAGAGGAGAGAGAACAGCCCTGTATAATCTGTGTCCAGCCGTAAATAATGTAGGGCCTGTCTCAGCTGTGAAGTACCACAGAGGCTCTGTTCTAAAGAGAAGAGGACATAAAGGTCTTTTGTACAAGGACAGGTCCATACCACTTGCTGAGATGCAAATTGTATTAACATAGAAGAAACCACTAAGAACTTCTGTCTACAAATCTAATTTTCCTTGCCTCACTTGAAGTTTCAAACAGGAGCAGAGGAGGAAATGGGTCCAGTAGCAACTACTGAATAGGGATGAAAACAAGTCTCGAAGTATGTGCTTTTTCTTGCCAGTCAGAAACCATGTTCACCATGAACAGATATTTATGTAATATTACCCATATGTCAGATACTGTATTAATTTTTTTATTGCTGTCACAAAATATCCAACAGGAACAGCATCATGGAGGAAGGATTTATTTTGTTCATAATCCATCATAGCAGGGAGTATGTAGCAGAGCAGAGTAGATCCCATCATGGCAGCCAGGAAGGAGAGAGAATGAGACCACAGACTAGTATAACCTTCAGGAACATGACCCCAGTGATCTGCTTTCTCCAGCTCAGACTACTTACATGGTGTGTACCACCTGAGCCCATGTGAGACATTTCATATTCAAACCATAACCTTCCAACCTGGCCCCTAAGAATCATGCAATCTCAAAATGCAGAACATGTTTCGTCCGTCTTCTAAGAATCTTCAAAATCTTGATCGCTCCAACTTGCTTCACACAGCTTATTCTGTCCAAGTCCAAAGTCTCTTCTAAGAATTAAAAAAAAAAAAAAAAAAAAAAGACGAAGGTGACACCAGGTAAACATTTCCATTCCAAGTGGGAGTAACACGAGAATAGCAAGAACCAGTCAAACCCAAAACAAGACATAAGTCCATCGAGGCAAACATTAAATCCTGTAGGTCCATCCCTGCATCTAGGACACATGGTGTTATTCTGTTGACTTTGGAAGATTCACCTTTGTGACCTCTTGAACTATCTCCATTTGTTCTTTACTTTCTTTGGCTTGTGAAACATTCCACGTTGTTAACATCTCCAGCATCTTGGAGTCTCCATTGTATCTTCATCTTAACCTTTCATTTTACTTACCACTTGCCCAGAGACTGACAGCTGCAGTCTTGAATCCCAGCACTTGGGAGGCAGAGGCAGGCGGATCTCTGTGAGTTCGAGGCCAGCCTGGTCTACCAAGTGAGATCCAGGAAAGGCACAAAACTACACAGAGAAACCCTGTCTCGAAAAAGCAAAGAAAAATCTTGATGGAAGCTTCCATGACTAAAACCTCTCTCAGTCTACATACCTGCAAATGCATTATTACATAGACAGTGCCACAGTCTGCTGCCAGAGTAAGCAATAGAGTAGCAAGCCCCTTTGGGTCCTAGCGCAGTGGTTTATAAAGGGCTAGATGGCCAAACAGGAAGTTTTTCACTTACATATTTTGTATTTGTTTTTGAAGTACTAGCAATTGAACATTGCACCTTTAACATGGTAAGACCTCCACTGCTGAGCTATATCCAAAGCCCCTCTCTTTTTAATTTATTATTTTTGAGACAGGATCTCACTAAGTTATCCAAGCACACCTTAATAGATAGAATCTTAACTGTCTCACATTCCCAAGTAACTGGAATTAGAGTCTGTGTTACAGGACATGATGTTTGAGTGCTTTAATCCCAGCACTCGGGAGACGAAAGCAAGCATATCTTTGTAAGTTTGAGGATAGCCTAGTCTACATAGAGGCCTGTGCCACTGGGTCCAGCCAGAAATTTTTTTTAATATGTTTATAAGTTCACCCTCTTTTAACTGCAACAGGAGCGATCTCACCAAGTCCTGATAAGCCCTTAAGACAGTTCCCTTTCATCCTGACACAGAGCACTTTGCTTGCATTTAACCGGTGGTTCTCAGCCTGTGGGTTGCGACCCCTCTGGGAGTTGAAAGATTCTTTCACGGGGTTCACATATTAGATATCCTGCATATCAGATATTTACATTATAATTTATAACTAGCAAAATTACAATTATGAAGTAGCAGTGAAAATAATTTCATGGCTGGGGTCACCACAACAGGGGAGCTTTATTAAAGGGTTACAGCATTAGGAAGGTTGAGAACCATTGCTTTAAATGGTACTGATCTTTTTTAAAAGCATGCCCTCCTTAGACCCAGCTTCACAGAGGCTTCAATAATGAAACTAAGTTAAAGATTCTACTCTTACTTTTTGCTCTCAATTCTTCCTGTAAACGTGGCTAAAGCATCTAGTAATAGCATTGCCCCACAACCTGGATACCTTAGCAGGATTGACATTGCCTCTGCCTAAATTATTTTTAAACTTGTCTTCCAGCAGAGTCTTGGGACAGGAGCGAAATACTCTTTGCCAGAGTGTATCACAGGTGACCTCTAATCCAGGAGCCCATTTGAAAGTTCGAGGGCATAGTCTTAACTGTCTACATTTGTGTTAGCATTCTGCTCCTCATAAGTCTGACTAAAATAGGCCATTGCACTGTACTTAGAACATTCTAGGACTTCTGTGTCCCACATTTCCAAGGTCTTGCAGTTTCCTCCCACCAACCAGTTCCAAAAGCTTAATGACTATTTGGTAAGGTTTAGTTTCAGCAATGACCCCACTTGTACAACACCACCAGTTTTCTGTGTTAGTTCCCATCACTGCCCCCAAAGAACCGACATGAACAACTGAAGAGAAGATACTGGTTTTGCCCCATGGGGCTTTTATTCTCAGGACAACACATAATGGTTTACACATATGAGTAGTTTCTAAAAATGACTGGCTTCAAGGTAATTTTCATCATTATTTTCGTGTTTTACAATAATAGATGTCAAATGGCAAGAAGTAGGACTTCTCAAGGTGTCTTTTGAATTATTTTCTCATTTCATCTATAAGTGAATATTCTGATGTTTATGGTAAAAAGCTATCCATAAAATGGTACTTTGGGAAACAAAAAGTAAATCAAGAAAGCATTCTAATAATTAAATGAAATTATTTATGATCACATTTATAATTTCCTTCCCATTTAGGTATTATCTAAAAAATAACATGGAAACAGAAACATTATGTTCTGATGAAGATGCCCAAGAACTACTTAAGGAAAGCCAACTGTCCATACTGCAGCTCAGCACCATTGAAGTTGCCACCCAGCTGTCAATGAGGGACTTTGATTTGTTTCGTAATATTGAGCCTACTGAATACATTGATGATCTTTTTAAATTAGATTCCAAAACAGGAAATACTCACTTGAAACAATTTGAGGACATTGTAAACCAAGAGACATTCTGGGTTGCCTCAGAGATTTTAAGTGAATCCAATCAGCTCAAAAGAATGAAGATTATTAAACATTTTATTAAAATTGCCCTTCATTGCCGAGAATGCAAGAACTTCAATTCCATGTTTGCAATAATAAGGTAAGTTTGTATAATTATCTGTGTAATGATTTTTGTCCTATGTAAGGCATTATCTGTGTAGGTATCTCATGTCTAGAAACAGAAAAGTTTAGAAAAGTTTTGTGAAGGGGGGGTACATAATGTGTGTATTTGGGTGCATTCTTTGAGCATTGTTTTTTTCAATGTAGATAATGTCAGAAGCTGATGTCACGTGTCTTCCCATCACGCTCCACCTCACATAGTGTAGTCAAGTCTCACTTGAACTCAGAGTTTACCAGTTCAGCTAGTCTGGATAGCCACATTGTCCCAGGGATCCTTTGTCTCTTCAGAGATCACACTGAGATCACAGGTGGGCCACCACACCTTCCTAGTGCTGTGGATCCCAGTTCAGGTCCTCAGTGTTAGGACAAACACTCAGCCATCTCCCTAGCCCCTAGTAAGTTTTTATTGTAGTATGATTAGATTTAATGTGTGTTCCATTCTGATGATGGCTCTCTCTGTTTTTATTTATTCTATGTTCCATCTTTCATTTAAAAAAATAAGCCTTTTTTTTTTTTTTAAATATCATTGATTTCTTTTTGTGTTGTCCAACTATTGCTGGACATGGGGCCCAACCTAACATGTGGTTAATATACCCAAAGAGACTCCATTGGAGAAAACTGATTTTTCCTTTGTCGCTGGGTATTGGTTACAGATAGCCTCTTGGTAGGGGTGGAAGCCTGTTTCCTTTTCCCCTCTCAAGTACTGGAATTAAAGGCATAATCACCACACCAGGTAGGAAAACTAATTTAAACTTTTGAATAAGCATTATATATACATGGCAGCTCACAACAGTCTGTAACATCAGTTCTGGGGGATCTGATGCCCTCTTCTGACCTCTGTAGGCATCAGGCATGCATATGGTACACATACATACATGTAGGCAGACACTCATACACACAAAAATCTTTAAAAAATAAAATATGCTGCTAAAACCCCATACATATCTTGAGTCTGTTTCTGCACTTTGTCCCAGCGATTTAACTATATTGCTAGAGCTTTAAATGGGTATTGAGTTCTCATAGGCCTGCTCAAGCTCTGTGTTCATCTCCTTACCCTTTCTCTGACTGTTGCTGGCATGTTTGATATGAGCTTCTGAGTCGATTGATCTAGGTCTTCTTGTGAATATTTTCATTGAGATTACACAGAATAAATATATAGCTTTATTTAGCAATGGCTCTTTTACCCACGAACGCTGCTGCACTGCTTCTCTCTGTGACATTCATAGCTTTGGTCATATAAGTCTTGAACATTTCTTTGAATGTTCAGTATGTCTTATTACTGAATGGCATCTTATATTGTCTTGACCATTTGTTGCTTCTGCTGAGTATTCTACTGTTTGTATGCATCAGTTCCATATATTGGCATGGTACAGCATTCTTTTTCTTACAATTTTGAGTTAATATATTGGGGGTTTGAATTGTATAATCTCATTTTCTTGTTTCTTTCAAATAATGATAAAGAAGTAGTTTCATCCCATTTACCTATTTCTTTGTTTTAACTACTTCTTGTTTCTTGGCATTTGTACATTAATACATTAATACATTACACTTACGAGCCTCTGCATAATTTTGGTTCATAATAAATGTTTCTAGTATTACTGCATTAAACATAATATAGTCTTTGGACTGAAAAATGAGCTATCAGTTATATTTTGCTGACTTCCTAAAAATTAAGAATGATTATTGAATTTGAGGTTTTGTTTTGTTTTTTTGTTTTTTTCATATGGTGAGACTCAAGCATTCTACTGCTGGGCTAATAGTTTCACTGTAATAAATTACCCTTCTAGTTGTTCTTATATGGTCTTACGGTTTATTTGTGAATTTTAATGTTATTACTATGCTGGATTCATAGAATTTGGAAACAGTCTGCCTTATCCTCCTAAAGGCAGGTGTCTTTAACGATTGTTGTGCTGCATGTAGAGGTGGCATTCCTTCTTTTCTCCACTCCTTCTGAATGAGGAGGTCCCTGTACTAGCCATTGCAGACGCTCAGATGAGAGAAAAGCTGAGGCACAGTTCCTAGCTAACAGGATTGGCCTTGTAAAGTCTTTGTTAGTGAGGGGACCAGCAGGCTTAGGGCTGTGTACACCTTCAGTTTTTCTCTGCTGTCCTCCTGAACAGCTTCCTTTCAGAATTTATCTTTACAGGCACTGATGTACTGTTACTTCCCCAAAACTCATGTTGAAGAGATCAACCCTGCTTGATGTCACACACAGACTCTTGTGCTCTTGTTCCAAATCAGGAATTGGTCTTTCCCTTGTAACTTTGGAGCACTACTGTTCCAGCCTTCCTTCCCTCTTTAGCTACAAATACCATTTTTTGATACCTTTGCTTACTCCTGCTTGACCGTGGCTAATTTTTGGCAACCATTCTAGTTTAGGATTTGAGCCTCTATGAGTATCAATAGAGGTGGAATTACATTTCTGTTTTACCCTTCTTACAGTAGTGGGGAGGTGATTTCTTAACATTAAAAGTTAGTGCCGGGCGGTGGTGGCGCACGCCTTTAATCCCAGCACTTGGGAGGCAGAGCCAGGTGGATCTCTGTGAGTTCGAGGCCAGCCTGGGCTACCAAGTGAGTCCCAGGAAAGGCGCAAAGCTACACAGAGAAACCCTGTCTCAAAAAACCAAAAAAAAAAAAAGTTAGAGAACATGTTACTTGCAGTGGTGTAGGTAAAGATCAGATGCCTGAGAAGCAAAGGACTAAACTGTAGGAATGTTGAGATGTGTTAGATACACACTATTTATTGATAGCTTGCCTTTGGCATGCAGCATAGAAGTAAAGGAATAGGGGAAGACTGATGGACATGAAGTCTATGTTCAAGTTAAGGGATATCTGAAACTTGTTTAAAGTACTCTGGAAAGGAGATAATAGATTTCTGGAGACTTGGGGGACGAAATTGGAACCTTGGGATATGGAAACTTTTGAATCAAGACTCTACCTCAGTTGGTTATTGTTTCAGTCATTCTTGGCGTCTTTTAAACCATTTTCAAATGGGTGTGAAGCAACACTGTGATGCTCGTGTTCCTTTTAAGTTAACTTTTATGTAATTGGTTTTTGTTTTTTGTTTTGGTTTGGTTTTGGTTTTTTTCTGGTTTTTCAAGACAGGGTTTCTCAGTGTAGTTTTGGTGCCTGTCCTGGATCTCCCTCTAAAGACCAGGCTGGCCTCAAACTCAGAGATCTGCCTGGCTTTGCCTCCACTCGGCTTCTTTTACATAATTGTTACGTTTATCTCTTATATGCAAAGTATGAAGCAATTGTTATGCTACTAGAGTTCCTCTGAAAGTGATTCTTGTTTTAAGATTAAAGGAGTCCCTTTTGTTTATTTTTTCATAATTCTTCTGTTTCAGCGTATTAAAATGGGTCCTGCTTTTTTTTTCCCACTATAGATCTTGGCTGTGTAGTTTATTGACCTAAACCTAACCTTCCCTCTAAATCCATTCTTAATGTTTTTATTCTCATCTTTGACAGTGGCTTGAACCTGGCACCGGTAGCACGACTCAGAGGCACTTGGGAAAAGTTACCAAGCAAATATGAGAAACATCTCCAAGATCTCCAAGACCTTTTTGACCCATCTAGAAACATGGCAAAATACAGAAATATTCTTAGTAGTCAAAGCATGCAGCCTCCAATTATTCCACTCTTCCCTGTTGTCAAGAAAGATATGACATTTCTTCATGAAGGTATTTGAAAATTTAACATGTTTAACTTTAGCTGCAGCATTTTAATCTTATCCATTTAATTGTAATCATTCCACACTACTAAATCCTCATTCAGTTAAATGCAGCAAATTGATGACATCAAAGCCATATTGCTGAAGTGTTCACTGTAAGAGTTCAAATATAAACTTGACACTGAGATGAAACCATTTACTGACACTCACTATCCTGTGGTGTGTTTGTTTAGTCCAAGTGCCTGATCATCCTTTCTCTACCTCCTAAGCACTAGAATTTCAGGCATGTGCCAGCCACACCCAGCCTTGTATTTGCTTTATGTTTAGTAATGTTTTTTCCTCCCAATTTTTGTTATTTAAATCACACAAATAAAACTGTCCGAAACAAATGAACAAGTAGTACAATTTGACAACATAATCAACTTCACGGGGAAAAGTTAAGCATTGCCAGTATCCTAGAAGTTTGCTCCTGCCCAATCCCAACCACTCCCCTCTTACCCTCCCCATAGGTGACTACTAACCTGTGCCACATTTAGTTTCAACTGTTCTTGAACTTTAGACAAGCAAATTTGCAAAATGTTTGTTTTCTTGCAGTTGGATTTGATTTCTGGCTTGTTTTGGTCAACAATGGATTAGGGAGATTCTGCGATGTTTTCCAAAACTGCTTAGCATTCCATTGTCTGGGTGCTATACTGTGATTTGTTCTTCTGATGGTGGGTAGTGGGTAGTTCCTCTTGTTGACCTGCTGTGAAGAATGCTGTTGTTGTCCATACTCTGTTCATACTCTTCAGGCAAGTATATTCTTATTGACTATACACTATAGTCAGAGTAGAATCTATGGGTCAACCCTTAAAAAAAATGTGGTAGTAGTGTCAGATGAGGTTGGTTTCTAGCACTGGAGGTGTTCTCACATTCCTCATCCCTACCACTGTCTGTTGAATTCAGTCTCTTTGTCTCTGCGCCTTACAGTAAATAAGTACTTGGCTCTTGACATGGTTATAATTTGGTTTCTGTGATTACGAATGAGGCTGAACACCCTCTCTGTGTGGTAACCCTCTTGTCAGTTAGCATTTTGAAATCCTTGCTCATTTTGTATTAGGTTTCCTTTTTTGTTTAATATTCCTACAGAAGTTCTCTTCTATACCCTGGGTGTAAAATAACCTAGCCCTTTGACTCTTGAAGGTTTTTTTTTTAATGAGTAGTTCTTTTTGATGTTTACCAATACAGTTCATCTACAATCTACGTGCATTAACTTTTCTGTGGTAATGGTATTCTTCCTACTTTGTTCCCTTGGTAACCTTGTAGTGTTTTGCTATTCTTTTAGCGTTTCACTAGAGAAGATAGCATGTAAGTTTATTTGCCAATATTCATTAGTGTTGTTTTATTTCAGGCCGTGTAAAGAACTTGAACTACTTAAGTTTCATTTACTCAGCCCCCAATTTTTTTTCAGCCATTGTGCTGTCCATCCTGCGTGCTTTACTGTTGGTTGCTAAAATCTGTGTTTAATCTCATGTATGTCTATTTGTACTTGCTGCTGTTTATTCCTTCCTATGTTTCTAAGTGTTCAGTTGGCTGGTGTACTTTGTGGTTTTGAGGGCTAGTTTGATTTTGTGTAGCCCATAAGGCCATAATTCCCTTAAATTGATGGAGATCTCAATTTTTGTTTATCTGAAATTGGCCTTCACTTTCAGAAATGTAGTTCAGATTGGCAGCTGCTTTCCTTCAGCATTTTGAAGTAGCATCCATTGTCTTCTGGCTCCCATTGTCACTGTTGAGACATCAGCCTCAGTCTTGCTCTTCTTTCCATTAACCTTAGCCTCTGCTGATAGCTGCAGTTAGGACCTTTGTCTCCTCTTTAACTCTTGTTTTTCGGTTTTACTAGGTGTGGGATTTGTGATTTTGTTTCATTGTAATTCTGATTTATGTTTACAGGTCATATTGAAATAGATAGTTTGATATTTTCCTTTGTTTTTAGAGTGTTCTGTATAGTTAGGTCTTCAAGTTTTTTATTTGCCATTTGCTGGCATCAGTTTTGAGACTCTGGTTTTACTTTTGTCTGATTTGACCCCTACACCTCTGTAACCTTACATCGTCCTGTAGCATTTGTCCTGTTGTCTTGCCGCATGCTGGGTATTGTCATTCTTGGTTGCCAGTCCTTCTCTTCAGCTGTATCTAATAGGTTAAACCTGTTGCTGAATTACTAATCTAGTTTGTTGTTTTTCAGTTTTACTGTTTCATTCTCTGTTAAAATTAGCGATGTTGGTTTTATATCTTTGAACATTTTAAAGCTGCTCTGTGATGATTCCATAGTCTGGGTCCTCCATGGGTCTCTTTCTGGTATCTTCTTTCACATCTTGTCATGTTCATTTTTCTCTTAATCTACCTTGGGTTTTTTGTTTTGTTTTGTTTTTTATGAAATAGTGAAAAAAATTACAAAAAATAATCTGAAATTTATGACTGGTACATTATTCCAGAAAAGGATTAAACCTTGCTCATTTAAGGCTGTTAGTAATCCCAATTGATGTTCATTCATTTTCAGATTTTTAGGCTTTATTCTAGTCTACATTTGATTCATCTTTAGTCCCAGAATGAAGTCAGAGTCCCAAAGCAAAGCATTGAAATTTTTTTTTTTTTTTTTTTTGGTTTTTCGAGACAGGGTTTCTCTGTGTAGCTTTGCGCTTTTCCTGGGACTCACTTGGTAGCCCAGGCCGGCCTCGAACTCACAGAGATCCGCCTGGCTCTGCCTCCCGAGTGCTGGGATTAAAGGCGTGCGCCACCACCGCCCGGCCAAAGCATTGAAATTTAATTGGATATAAGTTGTTTTTATTCTTCCTACCTCAAAACGCAAAAGGCCCCCCTCGTGTTTCAGTTCCCTGTCCCCTGTCTGCCTTGGCTAATTGTCCTCAGCAGGGAAGGTATCAAAGTTTGCTGGTAGCTGTGTCAGTCAGGCAGCCGATGGCAATTGAAGTTCAAGGTGTGAGCCCACCAGGAGGCAAGGCTGTGAGGATATAGACTCCAGAATGTCTGTTGCTTCTGTTGTACTTCTACGTGTTTGCTGCTACAATCTTTCCTTGCTGTCTGTCATGGTATGAATGGATGCAGGGAGTCCCCCACTGCCTTTGTTGTAGTGTGTTTATCTCATGAAAATATCCCAATCTACTGGGCGTTTTTATCTGTGGACTGTCAAGATGATTACTCCCTAAGCTGTACTGTTTAATTCATAATAATAATGATAGTCTATACAGAAATTTGATGAAAAAAATACAAGGAAATGCTACACGGTTGGAGCCTATGAGTTTTCCCTATGAAGCTGCTTCAGATTACAGCTCAAGTTAATGAACCAGACTGGCTCAAATTCCTTTAATCCTGTTATTGAGAAATGCAGTCACAGGTCTCAGTGTGCACCTTCAGGGTAGACCTTGCCTAATGGTTTTTAAGACAAACAATCCCAGAAAAGCAATCTGTAGTTCACAAGGACATATTAGCTAGGGTGGTAAATACAAAACAGCCCAATTATTGCTAACCTGGTGAATGATTAATTTTTTGCACCCATTCCTGACATTAATTTCTGCAAATAAATTCTGACTAGCCAGGGCTACAAAAAAAAATTTTGACTCTGTAGCCCAAAAAGTGCTACAGGTTTTCTTTGATAGTCAGGAGCTACATACAGGGCAAAAAGTACATCCTGAGATTTAAAGCATCATGATGCCATAGTATCTTGGGAAGTGCCAACTGAGCTGTAACTGGAAGATATATGGCATCTCAGGAATGTTGACCTGAGCCTGAACTAGAGAATCTACAACATTCCAGGAGTCTCCTTGCCCCCAAACCCAGCACTCTTGGGACACCTTTAGGATTTGAAGCAAACCCAAAATTTACAGCTCCTAATTGCAGGGTGTTACTTCAAAATGTTTACATAGTTGTGAGTTAGTTTAAATTGCCTTTCCCCTCCTGGAAGAATGCAGGGCAAAAAGTCAAATCGCTTATACACTCAAAAGTATAGGTTGCAAGTACACAATTTTCTCATTCTCTGGGGCTTTGCAGCAGTTTAGGTTTGTGAGTCTTTTAAAATTCCTTATAAGATTATCTCTCAAGATAGATAATAAAGTAATTGATTCTTTCTTTATAACCACAGTTTTACAGCCTGTCAACAAAAGGGTTGGCTGAGAAAATGTGTTTTTACTTGCTCATGACAAGCTACTTGGATATATTGTATGTGAATTGTTGGGATTGCTCTGTCTTTACCCATAATCATTCACTTGAGAAATGGAATGTAACATCCTTGTGACTCCTATATTGCCTAAAAGATTGTGTTGGGGTTCATAGACAGTGGAGGGAAAAGAACAGGGAAGAATAAAGAGGGAACCCTTCAGGAGAGTGTTTGAGAGTTTTCTTTCTCTAAATCCCTCAGATAGAGAAGTCTTAGTGTGCCGACGCTGTGGATTTCTCTCGAACCCTGTGCTGCCTTGGGACTGGTTCCCACATGCATTGATAGAAGTTGTCTAGTCTTCCTGCCTCAGAGTTTCAGCAGCAGCATCACATTACTTTACATAACAAAAGATTCTCACAGGCTTCTGACATACTCTCAAAACATTGAGCTGACTTGAATGTTTGAGTCCCTGAGCCATTTGTCTGACCAATGTACAGATGCCACGTACTATAGAACAGGATGAGACTCTAGACCCATATAGCTCTCAGACTAGCCTCAGGGCCTTCCATGTCAGAAAACTGTGTTGCACTAACAGTAATAGACAGGTGTAGTTAAGTGCTGCTGTGGTCAGGCAGACTGACCTTTGAACATTGAGGTTTTTGCCTCATGGTTTAGACTGGGTAACCAAATAAATGGGCTCTAACCTATTCTCTTCAAGAAAAGTTGACAATTTTCAAAGTTGTAAATTAAAAAAAAAACTAACAAACATGCATTTTCATACTAATGATTAAAGTCACAGTGATAAATTCAGATTCTGAGAGAGGAAAAATGAATACCAGGCCAGAAAATAGTTTTAACTAATTTTTGCCATTTGAGAAAGAAATCCAGTATTATTTAATCTCCCATCACTTACTCCTTTGGGAGTATCTGCTACTACTTATATAGTTACTTGCTTAAAAATTTTAAGAATTATAAATAAAAAAAAGTTGCAGACTGTGTTAATTATTAGGAAGTGAGCAGGCCCGGCAGTCCCTTTGTCACCTGGCTAGCCTGAGTTTTCAGATGCTGTACCTTCTTCCAAAAGAACAAACATGTACAGAACAGGACTGTGTGCTGTGGGATCTTCGTGTGTGCCTATGAGATAATGAGCTGGTTTTAGCAGCTATGGACAGTCAGTCACATTCTCTATTCAGAATCTTTATTCCCAGGGAAATACACAGCTCTTCTCAGAAGCTCATTCCCTGGGATCAGGGCTGAGCTGTCTATGAATTTACCTTTTTTTTTTTTTTTTTAAATGGCACTTTAGTAAAGCTTATTTGTACTCGGGAGCAATAATTGGACTTCTGCTACTTGGAGATATAATTGTAATTATGAAAATTATTTATATTTCATAGGAAATGACTCCAAAGTAGATGGCTTAGTAAACTTCGAGAAGCTAAGAATGATTGCCAAGGAAATCCGTCATATTGTTCGAATGACTTCTGCTAACATGGACCCTGCCATGATGTTCCGACAGAGGTATGGAAATCATGTTAGAGTGGCATTGAGGGTGGTAAGGTAATGTCTGTCCTTTGTTGTACACTGTGCTAAGTGTTGTACACACATCATTCTCCAGTGATCATTTATTATAGTAATCCGAACAGGTAAGCAATATTCAGCTTCCTTACATCTGAAGACACTGAAGCTCAAGCAGGTTTGTTTTGTTTTGTATGTATACATGTTTTGCCAGCATGTATGTCTGTGTATCACATGCATGTGATGCTTTCAGAGTCCAGAAGAGGGTGTTGGCTTCTCTGGAACTAGAATTGCAGATGGTTGTGAGTCACCATGTAGGTGCTGGGAATTGAACCCAGGTCCTCTGCAAGAGCAGTCAGTGCTCTTAGCTGCTGAGCATCTCTTTAGCCCCTGAACAGTTTTTATATAACTTGGTAAGACTTGAGCCCATTTCCCAATTACTTTTCTGACTATACAAGTAGTTCTGTATGGTTGTTATAGAAAATATCAGCAAGCAAATAGTAGAAGAATGTTGATCTCCCAGAAATCATCTGAATGCAAATCGTTTCATCTGTTTTCTAACCTAAGTAGCAAAGAATTATTCTGCTTCTCTTTTGTAAAGTCCTAGCTCGTCTAACTGGTTCTTCAGGCTTCTAAAACATTTCTTTTCCAAAAGTTACAGTTATACCACAATTCCCAGAAAGTACCCATTTAACCATGCTTCATCTTGATTAATAATGAGAGTTTCATTTTTGTTTTGATTTCATCTGAGAATACTTTTGAACTCACTTTGTAGATGAGGCTGGTCTAGAACTCATGATCTTGCCTCTACCTTCCAACTGCTGGCTTTACAGGTATACACCACCACATCCAAAATGAGAATGCTTTTTTTTTTTTTTTTTTTTTTTAAGATTTATATATTTGTTATATATACTTGCATGTATCCCTACAGGCCAGAAGTGGGAGCCAGATCTCATTACAGATGGTTGTGAGCCACCATATGGGTGCTGGGGATTGAACTCAGGACCTCTGGAAGAACAGTCAGTGTTCTTAACCTCTGAGCCATCTCCCCAGCCCCGAGAATGCTTTTTTAATTTGACTTTTTGGTGTACTATAAAGGCTACTACAGATTTATGTATAGAGTTTATAGAAAGTGTGTTGTTAAGCTATTCCCAGTAATTTTTATAGTCTTCAGCGTGTAAGTAGGCAATACAGTTTAGATTTTTTTTTTATCAGATTTTCCTTTTGGACCTCTCCATATAGGACATTAAAAATAAATTTTAAGTTCACACAGTTGCTGTGACTTTAAAATACATGTATTCTGCTAAGAAAATAAAAATACTTGATACGTTGTAATCAGTGTGTGTTACACTGAGTTTTGGTTGGGAGAGATACTGCTTTTGTTTCATTTCTGTCATTGTGGAGCAGTCATTGTCTTCCTAAGTAGATGGTCTCAAGTTTGCTCTAGTTTAGAGATTGTCATAGTATCGGGAAAGGAGTGCCAAATCTCTTCTTCACATATCTTTTCTTTCTCTGGGTAATGTGATGAGATGTCACTTCTCCAAAATGTGGAAGCAAAAACCAGTAAGAACCAGGGACCAAAGCACACCTAGAGGAGGCCTCTTGTCTGTTTTCGTTTTTGTTGAATGTCCTGGTACAGTGGACCTTCCACTGTCTCTTGTCTTGATATGAACCTCCATTTACTTATGTATGTTTCCATTCTAGTACCTGAAGACATAATAAATGTTTCCCTGCCAGATCAGTTGATAGCATTCTAAGGTGCCTGCTGCACTTGATAACTAACAAAGGAGAGCCAAGAGCTCACTCAATCACGTGCCTGCAGTGAAAGCTTGAGGACTTGCATTCAGCATCCAGCACCATGTAAAAGACAGGTGTGGTTGCTGTGCTTATAATCCAGCCCTGGAGAGAAAGAAAGACAGGTGGATCCCTAGACCTCACTGGCCAGCCAGTCTAGTCCTAGCTGGCTAGTTACAGGCCAATGAAGAGGATCCTGTCTCAAGAAAAACGCATACAGGTTCATGACACCTTAGGAACAGCATCAGAAGCTTACCACTTCCTTACTCATGCATACACATGCACAAGTGCGTGCAAACACACAAGTAAAAAGAAAATGACTGGAGAATATTAATAAGCCTGGCTGTTTGCTTGGGAATAGCCTGGGTTGAGTAGAAAGTGTATGAGGAAATAAATAGAGTGGACTAAATTCCTCGAGTTCAGTTTTGTCAACCAATACTTAAGTATAATAATTGGGATTTCCTTGTGTTCTCAGACTGGCCTGGAATTCCCCCCCCTCCAAGTCGTAGGAGAATAGGTGCACACCACAGCCCCTGGTTTGATGTCTTCTTATTTTCACTTTTAAGTGGTATTTGCTGGCCAAGTGTTCTTGTAAAATACTTTGTCAGAGAAATTTTTCCACTTAAAAATGGATTTATATATTTGTATGTTCCTTGTAACTTCATTGTCATTTAAATGAGTGGCTCCAAAAATGTGTAACAACTCTGTTCTTAGATTGAGCGTTCTAACTGCTTGTGAATGCACAAGACCACTCCCTACATTTCAAAAAGCAGAATAGAAAATTTGCAGTGAACAGATTACATTGCCTAATCTTAATAGCATCAACTTCTGGGTAGATGAGGCATTAAAAATACAGTTGATCTGAAGCATATTTTAAAGTACATGCTATAGAGGGGTTGCTTTCAGGACTCACTGTGTCCTTCCCATTCCTTCATTCCATTAAAGCCATTTTTAACTGTTAAGCTATATTTTTTCCCTGGTAAATTTTTCTGTTCTGTTCTGTCTGCATAAATTCTCTGACTCTCAACTGTTGTCTTTTTTCTGTGCTTTCCTATTCAAACACATGCTTCAATGTTTGTGGCTCTTGCTTACAGGAAGAAGAGGTGGCGGAGTCTGGGGTAAGTGGGGAATGAACAACTGGAATGAAGGTTGTGCAACTCTTAACATGTGCTGCATCCTTTTCATTAATGCACGCAAATCAGTTAGCATGCATTCTATTAACTCCGTCAGCCTACATTCTGACAAATGCCTTTTGCTAACAAGGTGAAAGTAGTGATGGAACTAGCGTTTTGTTGGTTGTGTTATTATTTTGTTTAGATTTAAATTTAACAGATTCATGAGATGTAGATGATGATAGTAGATATTTGTTGTGTGCTTCCCCTGTGCTCTACTCTGCTGTAAGCTCTCTAAATGAATAACCTTTTTAAAGTCTCCTATTGCCCTATGAACAGGTCTGTGATTCTTGGGGTGCAGATGGGGAAGGTAACTTGCCCAGTCTTATAGCCCATTAATAGTGTGTCCAAACCTACACGATCTGCTTCAAAAGGCAACAATACTTTCTCTAACTTCAATGCCATATTTTATGAAAGTAAACATATAGGTTAATGTACAAAAGGTCCGTTTATAAGGGTTGCATTTTCCATTAGTTTTGCAGAGTCACCTTTATTTGATCTATATCGTAAAAGTGAATACATTTTTAACCCGTCATCAGATCCACTGAATGCCTGAAACTTGAAGCATAGATTGAAATTGACTTTAAATTTCTACCACCTTTATATAAAAAGATCCCTTTGTCTCCCCTAAAGCTTCTCAGCCTTTTGTGGCTTAAAGTAGGTTCTGGTTTCTTAATTCTGCTAGCCATCTAGTTTAGAGCCACAGACAGTTAAAGATCTTCTACATCATTCAGTTTAAATGAGGAAAGAGTGAGTACTTTAGGTGTGTGGAATTACATATATAGAACATACATAGAATTTTAATGTTTAAAACTGACGAGCTGTGAGGTTTAGATACTTACATGTAAGAATTTTCTGAGCCATGTCTTTGAGTCTCGTGGTCTTGTTTTTCATTTGGTGAGCTTGACTTTCCTCCTCTGTTGTGTTTCTTGTGCGTTTTCTTCTGCGTCATACATTTGTGTCTTGGTCTTCCCTGGTTCTTCTTATTGCAAGTAGAAATTGGTAGCCTGGCATTACTACTAAAGCAGGACATACTATGACCTAGTGACTGAGCTACAGTAGTTACTGTTCAACTGTGGGGTTTGGGGCTTCCATACAGCAGGTGTTTTCATTTCACATCAGTATTTGCTGCTTTGGAAGTAGTTCAGCAGAAACTTTATTGTCTTCTATCATTCTCATGCATTAGAACTTTGTATCCTATATTTGTTTACAAGCTGGTTTTTTTTTTTACTTTGGATAGCAACTAAGATCAAATTATTAAACACTAGCATCAAAATTTGCTCCTAAATGCTAAGGCTTCCTTTCACTGTGAGTTTGAACCCTGGAACCCACATAAAGGTAGTTCCACCAGTTCCACACAGTTGTCCTGTGACCTTCGGAGATGCACTGTAGCCTACACATGCACGTTCACACAATAATAATAGTCCCTACATGGTAAGATGTTGTCTTGTATATCAAGAAAAGCCAGTGCAGTACCTTGTCAGTCTATGCTTATTGAAGTGCTTCTCATTTGTCTGGACCTAACTTTACATTTTCCTCCTAACACCCTTGTGTATGCATAAGAGGGAAAACATAAGGAAAGTGAAATGGTTTAGATGTTTCTAAAAGTTCATGTTCAGAATCTTGCAGATCACTCTTAGAATCACCAGTGCCCACGCCTTGCCCCTGGTCACATGTGGTATGCACAGTACTGCCCTCTGTGCCACCAGTATCTTGCTCATCCATCACTGGATAAAACAAATCATAAAAGACGCAAAGCTGACCCTTTGGGCTTCTTGGCTGGCTCAGCACACAGAGCCTGTCTCCCCTTGACATTATTGGAGAGTTACTAAAATGTTCAGGATTCACTCTCTTGAATCAAGTGCTTCTTAAAGGTTAAAGGATAATTCACTGGTTAACTAGATCTTTTTCTTCCAAACCATTCTGCAAATTTTAGTTTTTTCCATGTGTCACTCACAGCCATATCATCATCTCTGCCTGACCAGCAGCAACTAAAAGTTAACCTCACTGGTATACCAGACAGTGGTAGCACATAAGAGGCAAGAGCAGGACGATCTCTGAGTTTCAGGATAGCCAGGGCCACACAGAGGAACCTTGTCTCCAAAAACCAAAAATTAAAAAAAAAAAGTTGCTATCAAATATAAGGCATAACTACCGATTTCCTTCCTCTTTTTTTAAGTTCAGGAACATACAAGATAATAGGTTTCCTTTTAACATTTTCAAGCATGTGTACTTGCCTCCCTTATCCCCCTCTGGGAACCCTACTTCAAAGGTCTTAAAAACATGACAAAAAATACCATTAACAGTTTCTCAGCTGTCTTACATGATTTACAATGAAAACATTAGGATTCAGTGTCTGTTTTAAGTCAGGTATGTGAGCATTGAAGAACAAGTGTATGTTTATGGTCTGTGTTTTAGAGCATTTTATATAAATATGATGCTAATATTGAAAATAGAGATACTCTTACCTTTCAATTAAAGATCATTTGAGTCATTCAAGCCTGGAATCCTGAGTGATACCTGGAGTCCACATAAAAGTAGTAGGAGAGACCCACTCTCAGACCTCCACAGACTTGCTGTGGCATGTACCCACCTCTGCATACACATGGTAGTAAACAAACAAATAATCCTCTACAAACGTTTAATTTGATAGCCTGTTAGAAAGGACCAGCTACATTGCAGTTGCTACCTTCCATGAGTTCTGGATGTAAATTGTTTAAGCAGGCTTGACGAAAAAGATAGAGTTGGATAAAGCTGTAGCTTATTTGAATAGTACTTATTTCTAAGATCCAGTTCCATCATGTTCAGATGTATTGCAATGGTAGAATCTTAGCTCCTACTTCTAGAATGCAAGTAATATCTGACCACATCATATTTGCAGAAACAGGAGCATTTTTTTTTACTGTGTTTCTAATCTCTGACTATGCTGGATTGAAATGTTATTTTCAGATATTATCTTGATTGTTCTCTTTAATTTCTGGTCAAAATATGGTTACTGGTAAAATTGGTCACCGTACTTGAAGTGATTCTTGCTGTCACAGAATGGTGCTTTAATAACATATTGCAAGCAGCACAGGTATAAAGCTGATCTGTTTGCCCTTGCTGAAGGACTAATGACGAATTTACCCTGACCTAGACTCTTGCCACATCTTAGAGTGAATGGCCTGAACGGACCAGAGGAAAGCTTTTCTTGGTACAGTTGTGCCGTGGGTTGCATAGGCACATGCAGGTGTAATGGAATATGGTGCTCAGGGAGGGACTAGTACATTACTCTTTTGAATCCCATGTTTTGCCAGATCTTGTTCTTAATTGAGAACATTGCCATCTGTGCCAAATTACTTTGCATTAATGCTCTTCATCTTTTAACTCATTTACATCAGCATGCAATAGCATTAACAGAAAAAAAATCTTTGAATCTTCACTCTTTCATGCTAAATTCTCATCTTTACAGGCTTTCATTGCAGTTTCTGTCTCCTTACAGGTCCTTGAGTCAAGGCAGCACAAACTCAAACATGCTGGATGTTCAGGGGGGTGCTCACAAGAAAAGAGCACGCCGCAGCTCACTGCTGAATGCCAAGAAGCTATATGAAGATGCGCAAATGGCCAGGAAAGTGAAACAGTATCTTTCTAGTCTGGACATAGACACAGATGAGGAGAAGTTCCAGATGATATCACTGCAGTGGGAGCCTGCATATGGTACCTGTGAGTATGTCCTTTTTCATCACACTGGTGAGCACAACAAAGGAGGGATTTTGTTCTCCACAGTTAGTGCTGATTTCAGTTGCAAGGACAACTGCTGTGCTCAAGCTGCATGGTCTGTTCATGACCTACTGAGCCCCAGCTCTTACATAACTCTGTAGGAGCAGGAGAGATAAATAGTTCTTCTTTTAAAGGCTTTATAAATCCTCTTTTAAAAATTGAAGCATTAATAAATTTTTAAATGGGGAGGGGGTTGCAGAAGTCACTGGAGAGCTGGCTCAGCTATTAAGAGCACTTGCTGTTCTCACAGGACCTGAGTTCAGTTCCCTATACCCACATGGTGTCTCACAACTATCTGTAACACCAGTTAGAGGATCTGATCCCCTCTTCTGGACTCCATGGGCACTACAAATACATGGTGCACAGATACACATGCTGACAAAACACCCATGCACATAAAATAGGAATGTCTGGAATTTTTTTAATTAGAACATTATAGAAAATACTCTGAGAACATTGTTGCCTTCATCTCTAAATGAAAAGTGACATCTGTACTAGGTGAAAATCAGTTCCCAACTAGAAATCTTAGGGGTTTGATTCAAACACTAGCAGTGATGCCTTATCAGTAAGATACAAAAGGAAGCAGACATGTCCTGACACTGTGGAAAAGATTCTCTCCTCACTACTGGCACCTCACAGTCTACCTGCCCACTACTGCTCTGCTTAGTAAGTACTGTGTCCCCAAGCATCACCCTGACCTTTAAGTGCAGGCTTCAGAACACATCTCTGGGTTAAGAATATAATGAGTTACAGGAATTGAAGGCGGGGAAGGGTTCCTCTTAAATTGTAGGTTAAATGGTAAACTCCTAAGAAGCACAGTAGAATTACAAGTTTTCTGTTGACAGAAGGGAATGGTATTCTCCATGGATTGACCCCAAAAATTGATAAATGTGTTGGTAGTTCCATTGTAACATAATAACATTACAGCTGAGTAGAAAAGAGAAAGTGTACATGGAAACATATACTGATTTCACAATGAATTTAAAATACTGGGTAAAGAATCATTCAGTACAACCATATTAGCAAAAGCTGGACATAGTGGTGTGTTAATCCCACTGAACAAGAATAAGAACACTACCAAATATTTGAGCCAAATTTGAAGCAAGCTTTATTAAATACTGAACAGGACAATGGACACTGGCCAGATCCATGCCCAAGATTCTCAGAGAATGGCTACAAATTAAGTTAGTCAGGTGCTTACAAAGGCAAGACTCGCAAGACTATGTACTTCCTGCCTTTGTCCAGTGGGGGTAGGGAACAAGCATACATCCTGATATACTTCCTGCCCATGATCTACAAGTGATAAGCACATCCTGAACAGTTGGGGCAACCAACCTTGTTTACAGAAGTGGAAACACCTAGCTTGTTATCTTACATGAACAGCCCCAGAAAGTTACCTGTCCTTGGGCAAGTAGGGTTTTCAGTTAGAGGCATTTTTGCTTTATAGCTCTCTTTTTTTTTTTTTTTTTTTTTTTGGTTTTTCGAGACAGGGTTTCTCTGTGTAGCTTTGCGCCTTCCCTGGAACTCACTTGGTAGCCCAGGCTGGCCTCGAACTCACAGAGATCCACCTGGCTCTGCCTCCCAAGTGCTGGGATTAAAGGCATGCGCCACCACCGCCCAGCTGCTTTATAGCTCTCTTAAGCACAGTAATTAAAACTTAAAACATAATTTTAGCCCTCAAAGGTGCATTCCAGTAATTAACGATACTTGGGAGACTAAGATGGGAGGATGTTAGGGCCAGCCTGAGCTACATAATTAAGACCTGCCTGGGGTGGGGGGCAGAATTAAGCTATTATCAAAACAATGTATTCGAAACAGTCAGTGGTGACACACACCTTTAATCCCAGCACTCAGGAGGCAGAGGCAGGCAGATTCTGAGAGTTCGAGGCCAGCCAGGAATACACAGTAAGACTCTTGTCTTTAGAAAAAAAACCTGAACTTTGGCTAGCATTAAAAACATGTTTTATCTCTTCTGATTCTTTATCAAGCCTACTAAATTTGAAAACAGAAATAATAAACACTAGAAATTTAGAGCCTTCAATATGGCAGCAACATTCTTACTCAGTACTCTATAGACATTGTCCTTAGTGTGGTGGTGCACACTTCAGTCCCAGCTACTAAGAAGAGGAAGGCAGGAGGATCAGTCACTGGAGGACTTACATTGGAGACCAGCCTGCACAGCCTAACAAGACTCCAACTCACAGTGATGCACCTGCCTCTGCCTCTTGGGTGCTGGTAATAAAGTTGTGTGCCACTGCCGCTTGGTTCCATCTCAGACTATCTTTTAAAATTTTAGAAGATGCCGGGCGGTGGTGGCGCACGCCTTTAATCCTAGCACTCGGGAGGCAGAGCCAGGTGGATCTCTGTGAGTTCGAGGCCAGCCTGGGCTACCAAGTGAGTCCCAGGAAAGGCGCAAAGCTACACAGAGAAACCCTGTCTCGAAAAACCAAAAAAAAAAAAAAAAAAATTTTAGAAGATGCCGGGCGGTGGTGGTGCACGCTTTTAATCCCAGCACTCAGGAGGCAGAGGCAGTTGGATGGATCTCTGAGTTCCAAGACAGCCGGAACTACACAGAGAAACACTATTTTGTTTTGTTTAATTTAGAAGAAAGAAAACAAAAACACAAATGCCAGCACCATAGAGGCTGAAGCAGGAAGATTACAAGCTCAAGGCCATCCTGCGCTACATATCAAGACTGCCTCAAATTTTGAAAATTGCCATTTACTTCTATTAACTCTCTCTAATAGCTAATGTTGAATTCTTGTTGTAATGAGATAATGCACCTAAAAAGTATTGATAAGAGTGATATTTCTCCAAACTGTAGCAGTTATGATGTCAGTAAAATAAAAAGTTATTTATAGCCAGAAATGGTGATGGAATCAAAACCTTGGGTTTAGTGTTTGCCATTATACTAACAGGAATTGATAAAGAGAAATGGGTTTATTCACAGTGTGGGCCAGAATTGAGGAGATAAAAATGCTTAGCTTTTCCCCCCACCCATTATCTGAAGCAGTATTTTAATTTATAGAAAAAATGAAACAAAGGCCAAGGAATGTGCATGCATAGATTCAGTGACCAGGAGTGTGAGGTGATCAGCCATCCCCAGGGATGGTTCCTCTCTATATTCCTCCTAGTTTAGGACTTGAGCCTGTCCTTACTCCTGCATATTTCCTAGGGAGTTTTTAATATTTTTTTTCAAGTACTTTTTTACTGTGGTGCCTGCCTGTAATCCCAGCACTTGAAATACTGAGACAGGAGGGCCATGAGTTGTTTTGGGGGGGGAAAAAAAAAAAAAACAGTATTAGGCTGGCTACATCAGCAGTTCTCAACCTGTGGGTCTTGGCCCATTTCACAGGGGGTCACATATCAGATATTTACATTATGGTTTATAACAGTAGCAACATTACAGTTATGAAGTAACAACAAAATCATTTTATGGTTGGGGGTCCCCACAACATGAGGAACTGTATTAAAGAGTCACAGTATTAGGAAGGTTGAGAACCCCTGGGCTACATACTGAGTTTGAAGCCAGCCTGCACTATGCAGTGAGACTTTTCAAAAAACAGTTTCAAAAGAGCAGAAATGTGTTTCATATTTCTAATCTTGAATTCAGTTAGTTGATAAGCAATTTCATATTATCCCCTTGAGTCCCTCTGTTTTAGCTTCTAGATGTCCCCTGCCTCTTGTTACCAGGTGAAATATTTTCACGATCTCACAGTGAAAGCATGAATACTACCTATTTACAGCTAGGCTGGCACAGGTAAACATCTGTTGGTTGCTTTATCTTGGTGTTTGGGACCTGTGTATAAAACCATCCTAAATAATTAACCAAAGGACTAAAAGGGCTGGCTGAGAAAGAATTTCTTTCCTTTGGACCACAATACTGATTTTGGGTGATGAAAGCAGTTTGGTTTGGTTTGGTTTGGTTCTGTTTTTTCCTTATTCACTCTGTCTAGTTAGGTCTCACTGGTATTGTCATTGCAGAATGCACAGTGTTAGAAAAGGTTCTGTGAGTTTACGAGAAAGTGGATCTGAAAGATGCAGGAGACAATTGGTGTAAAGTGATTCAACCAAGGCAAAGGCTGACTTGATAGAAACCTCAAGCATATGGGATTGAAGAGTGGGGAAGTACATAGTGGAGGCAGGTTGATAGTGAGTTTTTGTGGCTTTACAGACCTTGCTGGAGGCATTTGAGTCTTCTTCCTGAGAGGAAGGGGAGTTGTGAGGTCTATGGAACACAGAGAGGGAAGGTAGTAGCTACGAGTTCCATGTTAGCTGTTGCTCTGTCATCTGGAGAAGGGCTGGAGGCACCCTGGAATTGATCCAGCAAGAGGATTTCAGTCCTAGAGAGGAGAAAGTGAACTTGGCCTCTGGAAGTAGACAATGGATTCAAGAATTTAGGAAGCAAACAGCTTGTTCTACAGCAGCTTCAGAGAGAGAATTTATGTTTAAATTTCTTTTATGAAAGTAGATCTTTAATTTTTTGTATATAATGTATAATTTTTAAACAACTACCTGTAAATGATAATAGTCTTCCTTTAAAAATTAGCAGTTACCTGACACTTCTCTCTTCGTAGTGACAAAGAACTTAACTGAAAAAAGGTCAGCCAAGTCATCTGAAATGTCTCCCGTGCCTTTGAGGTCAGTTGGCCAAACAGCAAAAGTCCACCTGCATCAGCCACACAGAGTGAGCCAGGTGCTTCAGGTGCCAGCAGTTAATTTGCACCCCATCCGGAAGAGAGGACAAGCCAAAGACCATGTGCTGAGTGAGTGCTCAAAGCCTTAATCCATTTCATTCTTAATTCAGAAGAGTATGGTCATTACATCGTTGTATCAAAAATGTTTTGTTTTGCCTCAATTTGATGACAGTATGGCGGGTTTTTTTTGTTTGGTTGGTTGGTCGGTTGGTTGGTTTTGGTTTTGGTTTTTCAAGACAGAGTTTCTGTGTAATGTAGCTGAAGTTTTTCTGGACCCACCTGGCTCCTGTGGCCCCACAGCTCCGCAGCTGCTCAGACCCAAATAAACACATACAGGCTTCTATTATTTTTAAACTATGGCCATGGCAGGCTTCTTGCTAGCTAGCTCTTATATTGTAAATTAACCCATTTCTATAAATCTATACTTGGCTTGCGGCTTACCAGTATCTTCACATCTTGCCTCTCCTGGTGGCAGCTAGCAACGTCTCCTCTGCTCTCTGCCTTTCTCTCTCTCTAGTTAGAATGTCCCGCCTAACCTTATTCTGCCTCACCATTGGCCAAGCAGCCTTATTTATCAACCAATCAGAGCAACACATATTCACAGCATACAGAATGGCATCACTCATCAGTGTCATAGCCCTGGCTGTCCTAGAGCTCACTTTGTAGACCAGGCTGGTCTCGAACTCAGAGATCCACCTGCCTCTGCCTCCCAGCACTTGGTGTGCACCATCACTGCCCAATGATGACAGTGTGTTTTAAATACTATGGTGGGATTTCTATATTACTGAAATCTGTTCATCAACAGAAATCTTACACAACTGTACATCTTGAATATCTACACCAAATCTTAGGTAATACATCAAGCTAAAGTTCATTCTGTTTTCAAAGCTATGAGAATCAAATTGTTTTTTATGAAAAATACTTACACACTGCTTTTGTTTTCATTAATGTCCCCTTCTGAAGACCTCAGTAGGAGAAAAGAACATGTAGAAGACAAAAAGAGTGTGAGGCTGGAGATATGGCTCAGTGGTTAAGAGCATTGGCTGTTCTTCCAGGCCTGAGTTTGATTCCTTGTGCCCACATACCAGCTCACAACCATCTGTAACTCCAGTTCCAGGGGATCCAGCATCCTCTCCTAGCCTCCATAAGGCACTGCACAAATATGATATACAGGCATACATGCAGTCAAAACACCCATACACACCAAATTGTAAAGAAAAAAATTTTAATTAAAAATAAATGTGGGGGCTAGAAAGATGGCTCAGAAGCTGCAGGAGTATGCTGCTTTCATGAGAACCTGTTAGAGTCCCAGCACCTACATCAGATGCCTCACAACTGCCTGTAACTTGAGCTCCAAGGAATCAAATTCCTCTGGCCTCCTGGGGCATCTGTACTCTCTTGTACATACCCACACCAGGCACATAATTAAAAAAAATTTAAGTGACAGGGCTAGAGAGATGGTACAATGGTTAAGAGTACTTGTTGCTGTTGTATAGGGACCTGGGTTTGGTTCCCAGCACCCATATAATGGCTCACAACCATCCACTACTCTAGTTCTGGGAGATCCAATGCCTCTTCTGACCTCCATGGTTACCAGGTACACATGTGGTGCACATACATACAGGCAAAACATTCATATATGTAAAATAATAAAATGTTTTAAACATAAAATACATAAGTGTAATCTTCAACTCTGTTTCCACCATTAAGTCTTACTTACATTACTGGAATTACTTTTATTTGTTGTTTTAACCGTTTCTCTGTGTCCACTTTTATTTGGGAAGCTAGATTATATTTGCTTTCTGGTATTGTAAACATGGTCCATGTATTATACATATTTCATGCTTAGTAGAAATATGTTTTGTTTTTGTTTTTTTGGTTTGGTTTTTCGAGACAGGGTTTCACTGTGTAACAGCCTTGGCTGTCTTGTTCTGTAGACCAGGCTGGCCTCGAACTCACAGGGATCAGCCTGCCTCTGCCTCCGAGTGCTCACCACCTCACCACCCAGCAAATGATGTGATTTTAATTTGATTTGATCTGATGTACAGAGTTGAATAAGAAATGGCTAGAGTTTCAGTCTAGTGTTACTAAAGATAGAAACAGATGGCTTTATTATGTGTGTACTAACACAGTGCATGGAAAAGAAAAAGCAAGAGGAGCCCTTAGCAAAGGCCGGGATAATGAAGGGCTTTAGAAGGCTTTAGAAGGGTTTCCTTGAGGCAGAGATATGATTTGGTGTCTATAAGGAGCTACAAACAGTTTGGCTTACTGCAAATTGCATGCATATTAAGAGGTAACAACTGAAGGTCGGGGTTGGGGATTTGACTTGGTAATAGAGTGCTTGACTAGTGTGCACAAAGCCATGGGGGCTCAGCCTAGTTCCCAGCAACATGCACACAAGTAATTGAAGCTCACATTTAACACTTACTGAGTTTCAGACACAGTCCATCTTTATTAAAAACTTTATATATCTACTTAGTCTTCATAATAGCCCTATGAGATGGTAATTTAGCCTTATTCTACACAGAGTCTTAGTAATTTACACAGTGCCAGTACATGATCAGTCTAGTGGTTGATCCTAAGCTGGTTGGCTCTAAAATCCTTCCTTTTTATCCACCAGACTAAACAGCCTCCCAGGATATGAGAAGTGAAGTCATAAATATGTCTAGATTATAGAGGTGCCAAGCACAATTTGTCACTGAGAAACCACTGAAGAGATTTGAAGTCTTGCATGGTGTACACCCCTCTAATCCTAGCACTTGGGAGACTGAGGCAGGAAGATTGCATGTTCAGTGTTAACCTAGGCTACAAGTTTGAGACCAGACTGACCTATCTAGTGATACTCTGTTAAGAGAGCGACAGGAAGAGACAGGAAAGGAGGTAAAAGGAGAAAGAAGATGGGGTGAAAATGGAGGCTGAGATAGATTTGAACCAAAGAAAGTTGGGAGAAGGGAGTAGAACAAGGCCACAGGCAAGCGAGCCTGCTTGGTGGGAGTGCCTTTCCTGAAGACTGCTGTTGCTGTACCAGCTCTATAGCTCAGTGACTTCCTAGAAACTCTAAAAAGTAACTGGGCTGGAATCATTTGTAGTGCGTCTTTCTCTGTCCCACCAGTCAGCTCCCAAACCATGACCTGGAGAGTTGTCTCCTCCACCCCCCACCACCATCCCCGACAGGATTTCTATGTGTAACAGCCCTGGCTGTCCTGCAACTCACTTTGTAGACCAGGCTGGCCTCAAACTCACAGAGATCCACCTGGCTCTGCTTCCCAAGTGCTGGGATTAAAGGTGTGCACCACCACTGCCCAGCCCTCACTAGCTCTTATATCTTAATTTACCCATTTCTGTTATATGCTGCCACATGGCTCGTGACTGTTACCTCTCCTCCTGCATGTCTTGCTTGTTCAACATCTCTTGGCATCTCTGCGTTCTTCTTCCAAGTATCCTCTCTGCCCTGAAAATCCTGCCTAGCTGTTGGCCATTCAGCTTTTTATTAAACCAATCTAAGTGACACATCTTCACAGTGTACACAAGATTATTCCACAACAACCATTTCAGAATCTGAGCTATGTTCAATAGCTAGCTAGTGGAGAAGAGAACTTTCCAAGAATGTTTTTGGGAGCACCATCCATTGTCCTGTCTGTTGCTTACTTTTCTTCTGTAGTATGAATTTAGTGCTCTTGAAAAGGGCTGACCTGGCAGTCCCACAGCCTCTGTGTATCCACAGGAGAGATGCCCCTCAGGAGGTAACAATACCAGCACCACACACTCCCTCGAACGTATTTTGCTCTCTCCTGAAGGGGCTACCTCAAGAGGGAAGGGCAGAGTTTGAACCTCAATCTTCTCTCTTAAGATATAATTGTGGGAGTTTAGGGACTATGCTTGGACTGTGTAATTGATTTCCCTCTGCCACAAAGCAAATTGCCTATTATAATCTTATCTGTACTGGCCAACTGAGTTTGAACAAATAACCTAGAGAATGAAACCTATATGCCAACTCCCAGCCACTTAATCCCTCAGTGCACTGACATGTCTTGGTTGACTATACCAGCCATTGTCTCAGGGTTTGAGTTACTGGTGATTTAAACAGCTACATACGTTTTAATTGTAAAATGATACTTACTTGCTTCTTTATTTTTATGTTTTTTATTTATTTAATTTTAGGTACAAGTTTACCTCAGAAAGGTTTAGGACCAACTGAAGAAGTGAGTGGTAAGAAACACACAGAAGACACTGTTTCTGTGGCATCCTCTCTGCATTCTAGCCCTCCTGCATCTCCTCAAAGTTCCCCTCGCAAAGGTAAGATGAGACTTTTCCTGCTAGCTCTTCTCAGACCAAACAACATGTCAGCACGCCTGGCTTTTCAGTCTGTAAGCAAATGACAGAACAGTGAATTAATGTTTCCATTGAATTGTTCAAACATTTTTCAGGTGTCAGTCACCCTGTAACTAGGACTCCAGTATACAGGGCATGATCCTTAGCTTCTTGGACACAGGACAGGCATGGGTAGAAATGAGGGCATAAGACACAGTTGTTTTGGTCTTTGCCAGTGCACAATGCCATCTTTCCAGTTTTGTATATTTGAACATTTCTGTAGAGAATTTGCAAAAAATTCTACAAGAAATTGTATTTATACTGGGTGTGATGGTGCACACCTGTAATCCCAGCATTTGGAGGAGACAAGGGGGTCAGGAAGTCAAGGTCATCAGCAGCTATATAATAGGTTCAGTGCCTGAGACCCAGCTCCAAAAAATGTTTTCTTTTGTTTTCGTTCAAGTACAAATTGTAGGGGTAGGAGGGGTAGCAATATTAGCTGGGCATGGTGATGCACCCCCTTTAATCCCAGCACTTGGGCAACAGAGGCAGGCAGCTCTCTTAGCCTGGTCTACAATGTGAGTTCCAGGACAGCCAGGCCTATACAGAGAAACCCTGTCTCAAAAAAGAAAAAAAAAGAAGCAGTTATTTAGGTTTCTCTTTTTGGTTTGTTCTGTTTTTCTTATTTATGGAGATTTAAAATACTGTATGCCTTTCTGTGGTTTTTACATTTGTACAAAACCAACAAGGAAAAGTCAGAAATCCTTGTTTTTCACATGCATTTTCATGAGTCAGACTGAAACTCTTCTTGGATAGCCTGGACTCTGAGATGTCACATGATGTTGACCATGCATACAACATGCTAAAGAGTATATGTTTAGTACTCTGGCCCTCCACACTGAGTCTATGCTAGAGATAGAGGTATCCTAGTCCTGGGCTCCTTGTGAGTGTAAAAGAAAAAAGGGGGGAAAAGTTTTAATCCTAGCAGAGGACATTACCTGGCCAAAGGGAAATTAAGTGTGTTAGTCCTGGTTAGACTAACAGCTCACTCTGTTCCCAAGGTCTAAGTTTCACTCTTCAGAACCTTTTTTGCCAGCTGGGGTACAGTGATGTAACACCTGAGTCTGACACTCTGTCCCTTGCTATTTCTTTATTACCATTCGTGACTTGTTTATAAGGTTCAGAAAGACCCTCTCTCTTAGGACCTATGTAAACAGTTTAAAGGAAATGGTATTTCTATAGTGATCAGTGATTAGTAAATTCAAGTGTCTCTTCCTTTCACTGCTGTTGCTCCAGCGTAGCAGAGCTAGCTTGCTCCCCAGCCTTTCTACCTTCAGATAGCTGAGATTTTACTAAGGAATGCTTCATGACAATCAACTAGAATATAGAAGGAATATGTATATTCAGAAACAGTTTCTGATCATGCTGTGTCTCATTATACTTTTGCAGGACACATAGATCTGTGTCTTTTCTTTGTCTGTATGAGCTGAGTATCCAGAATGCCTTCATCAGATCTCTACAAGTGATCTGATCTTTAGGCAGGCCCGTGGTCCTCCTGCAGGACCAGTGTTTAGAAGTTGTGCACAGACAGCTCTGTAAGCAAGAAGCTGATAGTTCTGATTGCAGTTTATGTTTACTGTGACTTGGGAAGAAGTATTTTGGAGAGGAATATCCCAACAAATCACTTTTTGGTTTTTCAGGACAGGGTTTATTATATAGCTGCTCTAGAACTCACTGTGTAGACCATGCTGGTCTCAAACTCACAGAGATCTGCTTGTAGGTGAAGTTTTCCTGTCCCAAACACCAGCTCCCAAATAATCACTCAGAGGTTTAATAAAAATTAGAAATGCGTGACCAACAGCTCAGACTTATTACTAACTAGCTCTTACATTTTAAGTTAACTCATATTCCTTATTTACCGTCTGCCACATGGCTGTACCTTTACCCTCATGGCATGTTCATCTGCTCCCTCTGAGTCTGCTGGTGACACCTGAGACTCCACCCTTCTTCATTCCATCATTCTCAGTTTGGCTTTCCTGCCTAACTTTATCCTGTTCAGCTATTGGCCAGTCAGCTTGTTTTTAACCAGTGAGAGTAATACATATTCACAGTGTGCAGAAGGATTATTCCACTGCATCTGCCTGCCTCTGCCTCTGAGTGCTAGGATTTAAAGGTGTGTACTACCACACAAAATCTTCTCTTACCACTGTAGTAAATTGGTCTTTTCTCTAATCTTTGAACATGTGGCTGACAGTTGACCATGATGTTTTTAAGTGTGGGCCTATCATAGTTGTACTGAGAACCTTTAGAAGCTTGAAGAATTCTCTTCAAAAATGATTTCAGAAATTACTTTTAAATATGTAAATACTCCCTCTTAAATATGTAAATACTCCAAAAAGACAGCCAGGCATAGTGGCACATAGCTGTAATAGCAGTATTCAGCCAGCTGAGGCAGGAGGACCTGACCTGAGGCACATCCTTGAGTATGTAGCAAATATGTCGCCACTTGGAACCTCATAGTCAGAACCTTCCAAAAAGAATAGAAAAACCCAACCCCACCTCAGTACCTCTGTTTCCATAAACAGGTTCATGCTAGTAGCCTGTGGCTGAACAAAATTATTACAGTAAAAGTACATTGTTTGGCCGTTCTCAGTTCTTGTTAAACTTTGGAATTAGTTTTATTCTCATCACTAATAAAGTAAACATATTTCGTATCTTCATACGGACAATTTAAACAAGAACTTAGAAGCCAAGAGCTGAGGAAATGGTTCGGTCAGTAAAGCAATTACTGTGCAAGTAGGAAGACCTAGGGCCACCCCAGCACCATGTAAAGCCTTGGGATGATAGCACACTTTGTAATCCTGGGACTGGGCAGGGAGAGACAGACAGATTTCTGGGCCAATCAGTGAGCTGCTCCTCAGGGAGAGCACCACCCAGCTTGTCCTATGCCCTCCACTGGGGCACCTGGGAGAGGGGAAGCCAACAACTTGAACATTGCCTTCCTTCCTTCCGCTTAGAGCCCCGTTGGCCCAGAAATGGTGCTTTATACGGTGCCTTGCATCCTGTGCATGTCCTGTTTGATTTTTAACTGAGGTGGTTTTTTTTTAATCTCCTGGAAATTCTAAAGCATTATTTCTTTACGAAATGATTCTGATCACCTGATATTCTTGTCATATTTCTCTTTATAATTTTTTACCGATTTGACTTGTTTTCAGCTTTGTTTTTCTTTTTTTTTTTCCTTTTTTTTATTGTCAGCTTGTTCTGAGCAAGGTAATATCTATCTGTTCTGTTTCGTCTTGTAGTAACAGAGGTGTTTATGCTGTATAGTAGCTACATAGTTTCTTCATTTACTTAAAAAAAACTGTTACTATAGTTCAATTCTTTAAGTATTGTCAAGATGATTAAGTTTTAAAATAGTGAAATGTTATGTAAACCAAGCTAATTGTGACTAATGGAAAAGAACTAATTGACCATGTCAGGGTTTTTGCATCTCTCCCTCCAGTTGGCAGTATCCTATCTGATCACAGCATCCTGCTGCGTCTCTCAGGGTCTTCCTCATCCCCTCCCCGTGAGCCCAGCACCAAGATCAGTGGCCAGAGCTGCCCCGGAATAGGTGGGGTTTACTTGCAAAAGAAAATCCTTCAGATTACTGGGAGCACAGCAAAAAGAACAGACAGGACCAAGAAGGCCACTGAGGAGAATAGAGACAGGACAAGTTGTGAGACCACAACCAGGAAAAGAGTGACATCCCCGTTTAGAAGATTTAGGGAGAGAACTCTTTCAAGGGAGAGACTAGTCAACAGCCAGAAAGAGGACACAGATCACAATCAAGCTCCAGACAGCTGTGAGAAAGAGAAGGGTGTTGGAAGCCACGTCACAGATGAGAAAGGGAATGCCATCTGCGCCTCCAGTAGCCAAGGCCACAGTACCGCTCTAAACTGCTTCTGTACGCGGTTCAAGCCTAAGCGGAGAAAGACTCTCTGAAAAGTTCCTTATTCAATATTAGTGTTAAGTTTGCTTTAAGTTATTCATGTAAATGTGGCTTGAATTCAGCCATCTGTCAGAGGTTGGACAAGCGAATGCTTAGTAGTAAATACTACTAAGCATTTTATGGTGAGTGCTGTAGAGTCTTTAGTAGCAAAGAATTACTAATTTATTGTGCCTCACTTGTACATATGTTCTCTGACCGCTGTGTTGAGTTAGTAAACTTTTATCTACTTGTTTTCTATAGTTTGCTGTATTTTCTTCTGGTAACAGCTGAGACTGAGTGAAATTCTCAGAGAAAACTTCTTAGGAACCAGTGTTCTGTTTCATGTAAACCCCCATCACAAGCTGCTTTCACCCTCTACCACAGAACCTGTTTGCCATCTTGCTTCCTCAACTCTGGGGCAAAAAAAACCAAAAAACAACAACTATGTGCCAAGAAAGGCATCTTTTCCTGGGTCCTCTATCATCACTTTGAAATGCCTCTGGGAGAGCAGTTAGCCCAACAGGTTCAGAATCATCTGGAAACTTTAAGTGAAACTACCATGTCCCACCCCAGATTTCATAAATTTGAATTTGAGTGCCAGATGTATATGTAATTCAATAAATGTTCCAGGCAATTCTTGGTATCAATTACATTTGAGAGGTTCTGATGTAACAAACCTAAGGATAAAATTGATTTGAAATAATGAAGCAAGTCTGTACTGAGTAGTGAAAGAGACAGTGATTCTCTTTGGAAGTCGAGGGTTAACTGGTGTGAATGCTTACTTGCCATGTCCGTTGTCCTGGTCGTCTTAAAAGCTGCAGAATCATTTCATGGGCACTGGTGAGTGAGAGCGGTCCCTAGCGCAAGGCTATGTGGTAGAAGTCAGAAACACTAGCTCGGCCTGTCTTACTGGGTTCTTGGCCCCATAAGCCCAAAGGTAAACCACACGTTTCTGGATCTTGATTTTTCTGTGAAATGATTAATGGCACCTCTTGACATTTCACAGCCATTTTTTTCTTCAGTGAATTTAGTTAAACATGCTGAAATCCTTAAGGCGTAAGGAGATGCTTAGCTTGCTGTCTTCCTTTTTTGTATTACGGAGGGTCGGTAATGTACAAGAGCCTCCATTTCTTCCTTAACAATGTATCTGGGAATTAGTCCAAAAGTCATGTGACCTGTCAGACCTCACTCTGCCCTGAGAACAAGAAGGTATTGTTGCTTCTTGTTGTGGACCTGCTATGGCATTTTCTTTTATCAAAATCGACCACTTTGTACATGTCGCTGTCATACTGTGGATGTGGTTTGGGGCCCTTCACCTCTCTTCATCCCTATTCTTTTATCCCTCCTTTTATTCATGCCTCTGTAGCCATGCACTGTGCAGTAAGATGTATGGAAAGTAGATAGATGGTGTTTTCATCATCATACTTCCTAATCTGATCAGCTACTTAATTCTTAACAAAGGTAATCATGTCCAAACCTAAAACAGTTTGTTTAAAAATACTGAAACAGGGCTAGGAAGATCTTTCACTGTGAGGACTTGAGTCTATATCCCCTGCATCCAGGTGAAAAATCCATTGTGCATTATATTACCCTAGCACAGAGCAGGGGGATAGAGACTCTCTGGCCAGCTAATGGAGCTGCAAATTCAGTGTGAGCCCGTATCTTAAAAAATACAGTAGAGAGCCGGGCGGTGGTGGCGCACGCCTTTAATCCCAGCACTTGGGAGGCAGAGCCAGGCGGATCTCTGTGAGTTCGAGACCAGCCTGGACTACAGAGTGAGTTCCAGGAGAGGCACCAAAACTACACAGAGAAACCCTGTCTGGGGGGGGGGGGGGGGGGGGGGGGGGGGGGGGGGGGGGGGGCGGGGGGGGCCGGAATACAGTAGAGAGCAGTCAAGGAAGACACCTTACATCAGCCTCTGACCTACACACACATGTACACACGCACATGAACATACACCACATACGTGTGTGCACGCATGCACAAAAATAGGACTGGAGCTCTTATTTGCCCAGCCTATACGAGGTCCTGAGTTGTATTCTTAGAATTGCAAAAAATTGATTGAAAGTACTGAAATAGTGATCCTCAACTTGGGAAAAGACTTGGGTAAAATATCTGAGAGAAGAGTGTGCACTTGGAAGATGTCCAGGTACATTTCTTTGAGTGTGTCTCCATTCCTATCCCTTCCGCAGTGTGAGCCATGAAATATTTTATGTCATTCAAAGAAGGGGGACACAGGTTAAAAAACTGTACTGTGAATACTTGCTGATGTTTATAATGTGTCCATTGTTCTTGTTCTGTTCTATTTGAAAGTGTGTGAGCCTGGACAGTAAACCAGCTTGTGACTTTTTCCTTCAGTGTGGAGTTCTGTGGGTGTAGTATGGATGGTAGGTGAATGGCTATGTAGGAAGGGTATGGAGAAAATTGCCGTCCTTACACTCTCACGCATGAAAACTGAGATTTCCTACTGCTTTGCTTTTTGTCCCCTATCTTTTCTTGGTCTCCCCATGGCTGCCCCTGCCTGTCCCCTTACTTTGTAGCTTAATTGGTGTCTTTTCTCCTGCAGGTTATACACTCATACCATCAGCTAAGTCTGACAACTTGTCTGACTCCAGCCACAGTGAAATCTCCTCTCGGTCCAGCATTGTGAGCAACTGTTCTGCGGACTCCATGTCTGCAGCTCTGCAGGATGAGCGGTGTTCTGCCCACACCCTAGCAGTTCCTGAGCCCACAGGGGCATTGGAAAAGACAGATCACCCTTCAGGGATCAGAGACCACAGTCAGCTTGGTCATGGGTAAATACTCATGTCTGTGTTCCTCTCAAAAGTGGAATCAGTATGTAGCACTCACACCCTGATCTTGCACCCTCTTCCAGGTCAGTTGTAAGACATTCCATGTAAGACTGTGAGGTACACACATGCCCCTTATACATACTGGGTATGGAAATACATACTATCTGAAAGATACTTGGATACGCTTTTGTTGTGTTCCTGAATTCCCTTTATTCAAGTTACTTTCTGCCATGTATCCTGTCGATTGCTAAGATCACATTGTGGGGCTGGAGGAGCATTGGCTGTTCTTTCAGAGGTCCTGAGTTCAAATCCTAGCAACCACATGGTGGCTCACAACCATCTGTAATGGGATCTTGTGCCCTCTTCTGGCCTGAAGGGATACATGCAGGCAGGACACTGTATACGTAATAAGTAAATCTTTTTTTAAAAAAAAAGTGTGTACCACCACAGCAAGAAAAAAAAAAAAAAGAACACATTGTGTGCCTGCTGTTGTTACTAGAGACGTGGCTCCTGGCCTTTAGAGATTACTCAGAAAGATTGTATTATACAACAGACTTCCAATCTAGCATGTATGTCTAGCACATTACAGGAGCTAGGAGAGTGGAGCCAGGCCTTGATCTGCATTCTCATGTCTAGTCTTTGGACATTGAAACTCTGTTGTCTTTGAAAAAGTTGACATTCAAGAACGGCACAATTGAGTTACACCACACACACACACACACACACACACACACACACACACACTCACTCACTCACTCACATTAAAGAAATACCACACAGTGTTGTAAATATGCGTACCGAGTTTATGATGTGCTGTGTTCATCACTGTGTGTGCCAGCATGCAGGCTGCAGATTGGACATACATAGAACCATTTAAAATACAGAAACCATCCATATGAAACCCGACTGTACAGACATGGGCTGTTGGATACATGTGGCCCATGTTTGGGAACCTTGCTATAAATGTTGGCATCTATTCAGTTGGCACTTTGGGAAGTTGCTGTGGATGTCCCATCATACTTGGTTAACCTCACATGTTAGTAAAAAAAATAAAATATGGCTCCCCGGCTTAGGAATGCTGAATTCTCCACATTGGGGAGCAGTGTGTTGGCAAGGGTGTACTTATTTGCATTAATTTCAAATTTCATCTTGTGTTTTTATTTAAAGTCAGTCAGGGTTTCTTGGAGGAAACATTGCCTACCTAAGCATTCAGGTATATCCTGGTCTCTTGCAGGAGGGACACTCGTGCTGGGAAGTCTCCAGTATGCCACTAAAGCACCCATTCCTCATCTGTGTGTCTCCACTTTTAGGTGGATGCTGTCGAAGCCGTCTCTTATCAAGGGTGTAGCTGTCCCGTCTTCTCTGAGCAGTGAAGAGATGTCTCAGGAGCAGGTTGTGCTGGAAGCAGCTGACAGTGGGCGGGGCAGTTGGACTTCCTGCTCCAGTAGTTCCCATGACAACTTCCAAAGCCTTCCAAACCCGAAAAGCTGGGACTTTCTGAACACTTACAGACACACACATTTAGATGACCCTATTGCTGAGGTTGAGCCTACTGACTGTGAGCCCTGTGCCTGCCCTAAAGGCTGCTCAAGAACTTGTGGCCAGTGCAAAGGCAGCCTAGAGACAACCCAGCTGAGGCAGAGTTGGGCCTCTTCCAGCTCCCTTTCTGACACATACGAACCGAACTATGGGACAGTTAAGAGGAGGGTATTGGAAAGTGCACCAGCAGAGGCACCTGATGGCTTGGAGCCCAGGGACACCACTGACCCTGTTTATAAAATGGTCACTTCCAGTACAGACAGAGGTTTGATTGGTAAGTGCAGGTTTGTTTATGTCACTGGTGTTGAGGGGTTATGTGTCCGCTCCCCCTAAAAGAGGGTATTGGGCTACCTTGACCAGATTTTATTATTTCTCTCATTCTACACTTTTTTCTTCCTTCCGTAATTTATCACCCCCAAATTTATGGCTTCTCAGCTTTTTCTTTCCCTTGGTCATACATATCCTTGTATTTATATATAAAATGCTAAGGGAAATGAGAGTGACTACCAGAAAAAAAGACACATGGCCATCAGATACATAGGGAACACACAGATGCACATGTAAAGCCATGGTGATGCCTTTTCAAAAGTTCCTGAGGAGGTACTCAAGCCGTCAGAGTGAACAGGAGTATTAGCAGAAGGAGGAATGTTGTTAGGAACTGTTTGTTAGGTTCACTGTTGAGATCCGTCTGGTTGTATTGAGTGTGGTTGGTATCACTGCAGACTATGAAGTAATGAAGAAAAGATTGTTCTGGTGACCTCATAAGTTGTCGATACCACAGGTGCTATGTATACATGATGGAAACAGCAAGTCCTCTGTTACCTTTAGGCAGAGAGACATGCTGAGATCCTGAACCAGCTCAGTGATAAAGTAGGTCTTATCATCATGGCAAGGCCCCGCATCCACTCTTGGGCACCACAGAGCAGAGACAGAGAGACCCCAGCCTTTCAGTGTGCATAGCCTGCTGGGCATCACCGGGTAGCAGCTGATTTGTGGATTGCTGTGTAGTACGCCCTTTTACTATATTTAGCCATCAAATTGTTTATTCCCTGAATTATATGAATACTTACACATAATATCTCTGCTTCTCTGCTATGTGAAATGACCAACTCAGTGTCCTTATGATATAATTATTTAAAAAAAAAAAAAAAAAAAGGGGAAAAACCGAAAGGGAAATGTGCTAGCCTTGCAGTTTCTTGGATTTGTTTAGGGCACTTTGTCAGGATTCTAGGAATATACAAGTCTGTGTCCCTCTGAATATTTCTAAATCTTTCACTTCTTGGTGAATTTGGGCATATCCTCCTCCATCTTTCTCTCCTTTGGCAGCTACCCACTGCCATGCTCCATTATGCCTGCTTGTCCTCAGATGGAAACAGGCTCCTCCGACCCTGACTTGACATGCGGGTTTTACTGTAGAGAGTAGACTTCCACATGGACAAGCCTCTTGTTGATGTGAGCATTGTCTAATGCTCCTGAAATCCTTCCGCTTGTGTGTGGACAGAGTGTCGTCTTCAATGTCCTCTGTGTGATCAACATGTTGTGGAGCTTCCTCTTTTCCTTTTCTGATGCTTTGTAAAGCTTCACTCTAGTTCCAGGGGATTATTGCACATTTAGCAGGAAGAAATTATTCATGATGTCACATTTCCTAAACTTCAGGTTTTTTTCTATGCTTAGTCAGAAAACAGGTGTTAAAAGTAAAATTCCAGCCAGGCAATGGTGATCCACACCTTTAATCCCAACACCAGAAAGCAGAGTCACTCAATCTCTGTTTGTTCCAGCCAGCCAGGGCTATGTAGAGACCCTGTCACAAAACAGAAATAAGATCCCACGGGGAATAAGTTCATCTCAACTGGGAACATTCATTGGTTCGCATGCCTGGACTAAGGATGCGTCTGCCCCGAGGGCCAGGAGGTGGCCTCTGTGACCCAGGTGCCAGTGCTGTGATTCAGATAGAGAGTCTTCAGCTTGAGGGCATGACTGAGCTGTGTCATGAGTTTTCTTAAAATAGCCAATAGATTTAACTATTAGTGTTTGTAAGAACGTTTTCAGTTTGCTGTCATTGTATTTAAATGTATTCATTTTGTGTTTTTAAGTTATATTTTTGCCATTGTAATGTTCAGTGTGGGGTTCTTTTTCCTTTGTTTCTTACGTTTTTCCATTAACATTTCCACTGCTTATTTTTTCACACCAGTGTACTGTGTCACCTCACCCAAGAAAGGTGATAGGTATAGGGAGCCACCTCCCACTCCTCCAGGATATCTGGGAATTTCTTTAGCGGACCTAAAGGAAGGACCCCACCCTCATCTAAAACCTCCAGACTATAGCGTGGCAGTACAGAGGTCAAAGATGATGTTTAACAGCCTGTCTAGACTGCCGCCAGCTCCTCCCAGTAGCCACACCTCGGCCTGGGTTCCCTCGAAGACTGGATCCCAGCCTCACAGGCATAGCTTGCAGCCGTCCCATCCCAAACTAGCAGATGTGGCTGATGCAGATAGCGAAGCAGATGGTATGTTGACAAACTGTCTCAATGGCTCTTAAGTGGGTTATGGAGCATAAAAAGGTCTTTACTCTGATATTTGTGATAATTTGTAATGTTTTTAAATCTCTTCAAATTTGTTTCAAAAAATAGGATCTGGGCATATAGGTTGGTGGTAGAGCTCTTGACTAGCATGCACAGACCCTGGGTTCAAACTCCAGCACTACAATAAAAGAGGATTTATGATTCTTCTGGGCTGTCAAGAGCACTTGTGCAAGCCTGGCAGCCTGAGTTCTGTCCCCTAAACCCACACAAAGGAAAGAGTCATCACCCCAAAAATTACCCCCTGGCCTCCACGAACACTGTAGTGCACACACACTAATTATAAGGAACATTTAAGAGTCACTAAATATGATGCATTTTGTAAACACAGTCAAGCTATTGTCTCTGTGAACCCATTGCTTTGATGCTAGCTCACATGGAATATTGTTAACTTTGATAAAGAAACAGCAGCTCCCATAGGAGAATTCTGAGAAAAAGTACTTGATGTCTGTTGAGTAAAGTTTTACACAATATGACAGCTACAAATGGCAGTTGTATAAAAGACACTGTGGACTCAGCTCCCCTGGCAAGCAAAACTCTTGATGAACTTTGTAACTGTAGCAAAGGTTGAAAAGTAGTTTCTTCATTGGAAATAAATTTTTTAGCCTTCTAAACAGTATAGTAATAAAGTGATATATTGAAGCCATCTGTGGTCTGGGGAGGTGACTCAGTGGAAGAAGCATGAGGACCAGAATCCAGGGCCCCAGGACCTATGTAAAAGCTGGAGACAGGTTCCCCAGGGCAAGCTGGCTACCTGGACTAGTCAGGTTAGCAAGCTCTAGGTTCAGTGAGAGATCCTGACTAGAGTGATCCATCCAGTAAAGCATCATATGTCAACCTCTAGCCTCCATACACATTCACACATACCCATACACACATACATGTAACCCTCTACATACACACACCAAAGAAAATAAAACGACAGGGGCCAGCAAGATGGCTCAGCAGTGCCTTTGCACTTCCTGCCAAACCTGATCCCCAGAATCCTCATGATGGAAGAAGAGAAGCAGTTCTGCAAATTGTCCTCTGACCTTCACACATGCACAGTAGCATTTGTACACACACACACGAGAAGTAAGTGTAAAAGGATTTTAATTTTGAAATTTTAGTTTCCTATCAGCCCTCAGTGTGGTTAGAAACCATGGTGTTACAGTGAAGTCTGGGTCTTAATGGAATATCTGCCAAGATTTGTTGAGATGAGGAGAGTTTCTTTTGTAGCAGATAATCTGTTGGTTATTGCTTGATCTGCATTAACAGATAGGTGTGCCAGCTAATTGTATCTTTATTATTTTCAGAAAATGAGCAGGTGTCTGCAGTCTAGCCTTTGGATGCCCGTTGGAGACCCCTGGAAGTCAGGAGCATGGACAAGAAAGAGCTCGTGGTTCTGCAGGCCAAGGCCAACAGCTCACTGCTGCCACCAACCCTGAGGTTTCCTCGCTGGGCTGAGGAGGAGCTCTTCCTGAGTCATGCTTCCTTTTCTTCTGTCCCTGCAGGTGCAGTCTCCCTAACTGGATGTTGCACCTGATCCCAGCCTACACTTTGCACATCACTCCTGCCTTGGGACCATATTCAAGCTCAGAGTTGCCCCCCTGTATATCACTATAGGTTTCTCTTTTTGTACATCATTTTAAAGATAGTGGTATTATTATTTCCAAGCCATAGCTTGGGCTAAAGGACACATTCAAAATGTCTGCCAGTACCAAGGATAGTCTTGTGTATTTGAAAAGTAACTTATTATTTAAAGTATTGTGGTTTGTTTGTATTCAGGAGCTCTTGTTCGCTGTTGTTTGTCTGAGGCTATAAAGCTGTCTATGGTCTGAGCAGCAGATATAATCCTGACACAGGTACAGAGATATGGCACTATTGTAGCAGACACTCAGGTGGGAACTAGACCCCTGTACAGGTGAAGTGTGAGCAGCCTGCTCATCATGGCATGGGCTGTATCAGCCACAGGGGTCTTGGCAATCTTTTGAAAAGGAGAGCAGAGATCGAATAGGAAGGGAGAACCCCAATTTCCAAAGAAGGAACAGTTAACATTGAGTCTGTTTCTGAAGTGACCATCATGCTGCATCCAGTTGTGAGGATCCTATAAATCCAATGGGAATGGCTTCTAGAAAGTTTTGTTTCTATAGGAACCCTCCCTAAGCTAACATTTCACAACTCAAGCGTAGAACTCCTAGTTTAAAAGAAATATTGTAGAAGCTGGAGAGATGGCTCGGGTTAAGATACTCTTGCAGAGGGCCCTGGTTTACTTCCTAGCACTCACATGGCGGCTTACAACTGCCTGTAACTCCAGGAGAGGGGTCCAACACCCTCTTCTGGCCTCCAGAAGCACTGCATGTATGTGGTGCACAGACATACGTACAGGCAGAACACCCCTACACACAAAATCATGGGTAATAATAATTTTTCTGAAGTATCATGGATGTAATTCTGGTCACCTTGACTCACTCGATGGCTTGCACTCCACAACCACGTGTGCGGTCGGACTTGAGCTTCGGACCCTCCACAGAGCTCAGCAACAAGGGATAGACTTGTGTAAGAGAGGGGTACTAGGATAACAGAGGGGACTTCTGCCCTGGAGAAGACATCCTTTGGGACCTCCTGGATATGGCACTCTATTCAAATCCAGTGACTGCTTAATAAAGTGGACTTTTCACATTTTTACAAATTAAACGTAATACTTTGTAGTTAATGTATTTAAATGTTAAATAACATTTAAAGTTTTTCATTTGCTTTTTAATGAAAAGGCAAATAAGATTTCATAAACTTCTGTAATTACCAAAAAAAAAAAAAAAGCCAAAGCCATTATAAGTGCACTAACCATGACAGCATTGCTACAGAGCAGTCACATGACCAACTGCCTTTTCAAGACTCTGCTTTTCCGTTGCTCTCTTCCTGTTTCCTGCCCGATCACTTGAGAATCAGAACAGTTGTAAATGTAACAGTGTGTGTCCTCCCACAGAATGCCTGTGTCTTTAGGAAAAGTAGTGGCTGAAGAATTCCCCTGGGGAGACATTAACCCAAAAGCCTTAGACATGAGCCGAGGGGCACTGCAGTGCGCTGAGGCAGAGCTTTGCTGGCCCTCTAAAACTGAAAGCAGCCTGGGTAGCAGCTGAAGCTTGACAGCCATGCTTAACTCATCTGGCCTATGAACTGTGCTGTCCTCTGGTTGTGAATTTTTTATTCACCTATTTGCATAATATTGTTTTCATGTCCAAAACAAAATAAATATTTTTGCTATATCCACCTTTTTAATCAAAGTTTGGGTACTCACTGTCACCATTTTCTATCCATGACTCTAGAAAAACATGCTGTATGCACAGCCTCTGTTCATCCAACAGGTCTTCAGACGGAGCCTCGCCTGCCTTGGTCCTTAATGGTATAAATATCTTGCACAGAGCATTGAGGCCTGTGGCTTTGAACTTGCACTGTGTAGCTGCCTTGGTTATATCGAGCTTTATCTGTGAGTGTTCAGACCAACTGATCACATTGATCAGAATGAAAACCAAATGTTTGATGTATATGAGTCCCTGAAAAAAATCATGTCTGCCTTTTTTTACTTTGTCATGTGACTAGAGCAAGGGAAGCCTTAAAGCCCATGCTTGCTCCAGTTCCAACTGCCCATTTGTCCCTGTTCTGTGTCCAACATCACTAAAGAGACTAGTGCCCAGCGTCTGCCAAGACTGTCGAAGCAGGAGACCCTGAGTGCAGACTTTTTCAAACAGTGAAAGAGTCGATTAGTGAGTCCCAGTGCTACTTAAAGCAGGGGCACTTGCAATCCCCAGACTTCGTTTCCTCTAACTGGTGTCTTTCAACAGGACCTTCGGGGAGAAAAATCCTTTAGAGAGTATTTATGAGGGTGACATGTTCATCACCTCTGTGTTCTCTACCAAACTGGAAGAGTAGCAGAAACTATCAAGAGTTTCTTTATAATTACAAAGAAAAAAAAAAAAAGGGACTCCTTAAATTTAAAACAGTGATCATTTGGAAGGTTCTACACAGACATTGAGTGTAGTCTTTCAGAATTCCATTACATGCTACAAAAAAGGGGGGGGATCAGCCTTGAGACGAGTTGGGTACATTTTCAAGTTGAAACTTGAACCTTAATTCATCTTTAGCTTTTGTGCTATTTAAAAGGCCTCTTTATTTTTAATGTACAGAATGCAGTTGAACATGATAGATGTTTTAACATTGAAATGTGAGTTTATCAAAAAGCAAAAGCAAAATTGCACAGTTATGTAATCAAGTGACAGTTTCTGCACAATTCAGTGATTGTAAGGCATCCTGTAACAAGCAATGTTGTCTCCTAGTTTCTGATGCCTCTTAAACTTATGTCTTTTAGAAAGACAGTGCCTCTGTATGCTTTTGTATTTTTACTGAGTGTAAATACTTGTTATATTTTTGGTTAAGAGAATGTAAGGGTATCATTTATTACCACATCTCCTAACACATTGGAACCAATAAAGAACCTGCATTAACTGTGTGCACTTCATTCCAAGTTTCTACAGAGCCCATGAAACAGCTAACAGGTCACTTCGGAGCAGTGTTCAGACTGCAATGTGGCTCATTGGGAGACTTTGTGCCTCCCTAGCATGCACAAAGCCCTGGGTTCGATTCCTGAAACCACATAAAAGTGGGTATTATAACACACAGAGGTGGAGGCAAGAGGACCAAGATTTCAGCTTTCAACTAAATGGAGGGTTCGAAGCTAGCTTAGGACACCCTAACTAAAAACAAGAGTGCCAACTTGGGACCCATGGTGCCTCCACGTCACCAGAGAAATTGGAGTCTTCTGTTACTGTTGACCATATGTAATCTGTAAAACAGCTCTAATATACCTCTCCATGATGTTTCTGGTTGCAAATGAAGTAACAATGACTTAAACCCCATTGAGCTTGCTTCCTAACAGCAATGTCCATGGGCCCACTGTCAGGGCTGGTGCAGTCACTGTTAGTTCCTAAAGAACCCGTCAGCTTCCATTTATACCAGGACATCACCTCAAGGACAATGTCCAGTGAAAAGAGCAAACATGGTCCCTTTTTATGGGAAGATGAGCTTTCCAGAAGCTCTGCTCACATCGAGGTCATCAGAGCCACACTGAGAAATGAGCTTGTAAGGAAGCCTGTGTGCTGTGGCAGAACCCCACAGAGTCCGGTGAATAAAGGAAACAAGGGCATCCAGCTGAGGATCCTTGGCAGCCAGTGAGCCTGCGCACTCCACCCAGCCTTGGATGGTACTCAGGTGGCCATTTCTTTTCTGGAATATGGTCCCTCTAGACCTTGGCAGAGAAGGGATTCTGCTGCCCCCTCTTTTTTTTTTTTTTTTTTTTTTTTTTTTTTGGTTTTTCGAGACAGGGTTTCTCTGTGTAGCTTTGCGCCTCTCCTGGAACTCACTTGGTAGCCCAGGCTGGCCTCGAACTTACAGAGATCCGCCTGACTCTGCCTCCCGAGTGCTGGGATTAAAGGCGTGCGCCACCACCGCCCGGCATGCTGCCCGCTCTTAGACCTGTGATTTGTGTGGGAGCTAACACCTGCCAGCACATGGCTTCCCAGCCTTTCCCTCTCTCGCCGTTCCCCTGGTCTCACTAGTGCATTGCTCTGTTTAGAATACACAGTCTTGATCAGGATGAAGAATGGCCAGTTTGCAATCCTAATCCCGGGACCCTGCAGGTGGTTTTTCTCTGGGAAACAAGTCCTTGCCTTCACCTTGAGTTTGGCCAGCAAATGTCATCATTCATGTTTGGGTTCCTGCTGCTCAGGGGTGTGCTCCATAGAATACTTTGGGAACCCACTAACCTTCACCCCTAGAAGCCTGTGATGAGAACAGCTGAGAGGAACTGGCCATCCCAGAGTGGCCTCAGGAGCAGTCCAGCCAGCCTGCTCCTCACGGGAAGCAGACAGGTGAGCATGCAGTACATTTGATGCAGTTGGCCAGATCTTGTAATGCTTGGCCTCCTGTTTCTGGGTGTGTGACTTGTTCTAACTTGGGTCCCAGGGGAGCTAGCTGCATGCACACAGGATCTCACCCTCATGGTTTCATTCCACCTCTTCTGGCCTCACTGCTCTGGCCAGTGTGTCTAATGCAGTGTTGAGGGGTGGTCACAACGAGTCCCTTTCTGTTAGTTTATTTCCAGTAGGGTTCACAGGGTCATCAACCACCTTACCAGTGATGACGCGATTGAGGAAGGCATCTCTCCCTACCTAGCAGGCCCTCCATCTTGACCACATAGGATAGTATATCCTACAGCTGCTCCACCGTGTAGTGGAGGCTGAGCCTTGCCCAGATCCGTGAAGATGTAGGAATGGAAACAGCACCATCCATCCAACAGATCTGTAGAAACACCTCTGGACCACACATCAGAATGGAATGCTTGACCACTGAAAAGCTACCAACACAGCTGGGCACAGTGGCCACACGCCTGTAGTCACAGCCACTGGGAGATGAAGCAGGAGTGTAAGCCCGTATAACAAAACGGGATCCTTTTTTGTTTTGTTTTTTTATCTTTAAATTTCAGGGCTTGGGAGCAAGGACATTAACCATCAATCCTGATGATCTGAGTTCAATCTTTGAACCTACATGTTGGAAGGGGAACTGAGTCCTGCAAGCTACCCTCTAGTATCCACGTACTATGGTGCATGCATGCACACACAAATTAATTTTGAAGATTTATTTTGAAGCTGGGCAGTGGTAGTGCATGCCTTTAATCCCAGCACTTAGGAGGCAGAGGCAGGTGGATCTCGCTGAGTTCAAGCCCAACCTGGTCAACAAAGTGATTTCCAGGACAACCCAGGACTGTTACATAGAGAAACCTTGTCTCAAAATATATATGAATGGTCTCAACTCCATGATCCTGACTGTCCTGGAACTCTCCTATGTAGGCCAGTCTGGCCTCAGGCTCGCAGAGATCTACCTGCCTCTGCCTCCCAAGTGCTGAGATTAAAGGTGCGTGCCACCACACTCAAAACCTATCAGTTTAACACCACACTTAAAGGGACACTGATAGCTTTTAGATGCATATATTAGACAAGAAATGCTAAAGATCAAGTATTCTCAAGAAACCAGAATAGTAGATGAAACCAAAATTAATGGAAAGATACCAGCATAAACTAATTAGGTAAATATACCCCGAACAACTACAGGTCGGCTCTTTGAAAATACGTGGTTAGAATGTAAGGAGAGGACTAAGCCAAGTCAATAATGAGAAGTTTTCACAGTAGCATGCCTCTGAGATGGTACTAAAAACAACTCCTCAAAACCATGATAAGGAAAACCAAGGTGCCCTAGTTGAAGCTGAGAGTATAGTGGACCTGTTGGGAGAGTACTTGCCCAGCACCATTCCAGACTAGGTAGAGGCGGGAAATCAGATGTTCAAAATCGTCCACTGCCTCATGAGTTTGAGGCTAGCCTAAATGACAGAAGACTCTGGCTTTTGGGGGAGTGGGGAGGAGGTGAACCTGTCATTAAAAGCTGTAAATATCGTACTACTGCTCTCGTCAGTCATGCTCACATGGAACCTACCTATCAATCTCAGGGGATTCTTAAAAGAATGTTTGAGCAAGGCATACTGGTGTAGACATTTAATTCCACCAGTCAGGAGGCAGAAGCAGGTGGATCTCTGAATTTGAGGCCATCTGGTCTACATAGGAGAGTTCCAGGACAGCCAGAGCTAAAAAGAAAAGAAAACTGGAAAGGCTGGGAAGTTAGGGACTGTTAGTTCACAACCTCTACGGGAGGCTATGTCAAGTGATTGAGTATACCAAAAGAATGAACTTGACCTGCATCCACATGAAGACGGGAGCAGAGACCCAACTCTGAAAAGTTGTCCTGCACCTCCATGCATAACCCACACAGGAATCATGCACACACATTAATAGTAATTTTTGATTTAAGTACTCAGAAGAAAGTGCAGGGTATGTCTGAGGTCAAGCTCACTCTTTGTAGTTTGTACTAGGTTTCTCGGGCTGGGACTTACAGTCTTCTTGTTATTCAGCCAATCTTATAATAGGGACTTCTTTGAGTTTTTGCAACTTGAGCTCTGTGGCAGCTAGAGGAAGAGTCTCCCCCAGGGCATGATTAGAACACTCCAGGCTGTTGATGTACATCAGGGTCAGTTATATCACTGAGTTCATTCTCTTATTTTTGCACAAATGCAGAAGTTTTATATATAAAGTCACTAAATTCCTTGCTCCTCAGAGAGGTAAGTCAGGATGCTATCAAAAGCCCTCCCCTCCCCCTGTATCTGTCCTGAGATCTCTCCTAGAGTCTGGGGGAAGACGCTTACAAGCATCGGGATTCTAATCTGAGGGATCTCAAATCTATGCACATCGTGCTCTTTCAGACCATTCATTTTATTCTAAGTTCTAAATCTGTGGTTTGTTTCAGCTCTCCTTTTTCGTTCCTCTCTTGCCTGACTCTCTGCCATCTGCTGTTCTCTCTTCTTAGTTCTCTTTAAAGTTTCTTTTTTTAATCTCATCCTTCTCTCTTGCCTGACTTCCCATATTTCTCTAACAGGAGACCCCTTGCAATCCTGAGAAACGTCTCAAAACCCTCAAGGTCATAGCACATTCCTAGAACAGATGATAAGGAGCAGAACTGTTACCATAGTAACGCAAAGTTCCAAGGTCTCAGGACCAGAAGAGGAGGTGCAGTGCCCAGTGCCACAAACTCTGAGACATAGCTTTTTATCAGCAGACTTGGCAAGCAAAGAATTGGCAGGCATTTCTTAAGGCGTTTTGTGTTGGTATATCCTTGGTGAGACACCTGCAACTCTGACCTTGTGCATAACTGTAAAGTTTTAAACTCATGATCTATTTACAAAGGCCTTTAGTCTAGTTTGAACTTGCTCTGAGGTAAAAATGAGCTAAATGTGTGCAGTTTGTGTTAGGCTGAGGAGAGATTATTATTTTCTGTGGTAGTCTGAGCAAAAGGCACAAAGCAGACTTTAAATGTCTAGTCTCAAGGGACAATGGATCTCGCTATGAAGCATATCCTAGTGTATTTCTATATATCAAAATTTTACAGCTAAATGAAAAATCATCTTCCTGACCACCCACAGATGCATATGCCTATAAGATTGAGATGTAATCATGAGATTACCTATATACAATTTATGAAAATGCATGGTAATGGGAAGATATCATGGCTGTTATTGCACAGGAAGTTTACAAGAAAGAGCCAGTTCATTCAGAAGGCAGTAATTCACAAATGCCTTGCACGATGGTTTCCTCCAACAAAGCCATTGGTTCTGATAGGTTGACCTTCTGAACATTAGTTGTCCCCTACTGTATTCTCCCATGGCCTTTTGCTACCAGCAGCTCTCAATAGAATGCATTTATTTCAGTAAATTCATTAAATAGTTCACACCATGGATTTTCGCTGCTCTCCATGCTTCTAGGAGAGACTTCAGTAACCAGGTATGGGCAAATTGGAAAGCCTGTTCCAGATACTTTAAAACATCCATCCTTACCTGTCTGCTGCTCTAGA